GAAAAAAAAAAACCTTAGCAATAGATGAAATATCAACATCAATAGATATGATAGATGAAAGAGAGCTTTCACCAGTAGCCTACAAAAAAACCAAAAAAAAATATAAAAAATAAAAAATTAAATAAAAAAAAATTATAATATAGATCATAAATGTTCATATACCTGATCAAAATCATTGGAAATACTATGATTTGATTCCTTAGAACTAGAAGGAATTTCTTCTACAACAGCTGATTTTAAGCCGACCTATATTTTTAAATTATAAAAATCAATATTAATAAAATATAAATAAAATGTTTTTTTTGGCACATTTGAATTTACCTGAGCCCGTTTATTGCTCAAAACAATCAATTCAATGGGATCACTAATAGAATTAGCATAAGTAACAGCACAACCGTTCTCATCAAGTTCCTATTTAAAAAAAAAACATAAATGATCATTTACGAAAACTGAAATGATCAATTTGAAAATATGAAATGATCATATACCTGTACAACTGCTTGCCCTATACCCCTTTTGTAAGGAGTGTACAGAGACTTTTTCCTCTTGAAATTACCCTTTGCCTTGTTACACTGCTTCTCCAAGGTACTCTTAGGCCTTACATTCCTCTCACCTTTAGGCCTAGCTTTTGGAGGATTCTTGATCTCAAGATCAACAATTTCAACCTCTTTAACAGGTTCACTAAAGTCAATTACACCTGATACACTCTCAACCTTTTCTTTTAACAGATTGAAATAACACTCAACCTCTGCCCTTGCATTCAAAGAATTCTGACAACTTGTTATCAACTTAACAAACTTTCTGATTGTTTGTGACCTCCAAACACTAGTAGCCACAACATTTGTCCTCAAAGTAGGTTCTTCAATACCATGACTACACATGGCAGCCTTTGTCCATCGTTTCATTATATACTCTTGTGGAATATTACGCACACAATGCAAATGATATACTCGAAGAGAATGAGAACAAAGTAAACCAGTCTCACTAAAGTACATGCATGTGCAACAAATTGCATGTGTTTCCTTATTAAAAACAACTTCATGCTTAATTATATCCTTCCCAGGCCTCCAAAGAAGATATGAATATTCTGGAAAACGCAAACCATTATCAACATGATCATAAGCTGTCCCCCTAATGAACTCCTCTTCAAAAAGAACATAAGCTTGAATAGTGTACAATGATCTTGCATGAACTAATATACCAATATTAGCAAAAGCTAGGTGCCTATTACCCCTCAGAGTATTGTAATCTCTTGCACCTTCCTTACTTCTCCACTCAGAAATGACATCAAGAAAAACATGATAAAAATCACATAAACCTTGAGTCTTATTAAGACGTTGTGAAACTGACTTATTAGTAGTTTCACTACGTTGAGAAGACAATATACCACCAGACCAATACTTCTTAGAATAAGCAGGACACCACATTTCCTTTATTTTATACAAATCACATAACCAATCATCATTTTCACATTTGTATTTATCACACATCCTGTATAACAGAAATGATCATATATTAATTTAAAAATGAACAAAATATAAATTAAAATATGTACATTTGTGTAAAGAATAATGATCATAAACAATATGGACACTAATAATATTATGATAACATACATAACAAAGTAAATTGTATGATCATATGTAAAACACTAAATGTTCATATATATATCACATAATAATCAAATATATCACATAATAAAAATAAAAAATAAATATAAAAAACAATAATTTACCTTTTCCAGAAATATTCAAATTCAGCAGGAGTTTCACAATACTTCAAAAGATATCCAAACAAATCTGTAAAGCCTTCCAAAGCTCTCAATGCTCCAATGTGTTTCTTAGAATTTTGTTCAAGATGCCATACACATAAACGATGATGAACAGTTGAAGGAAAAATGTTTCTTATACCCGCTGCAATCGCTTGTGCTTGATCAGTCATAATTGTAATGGGACTTTTCCTCCCCATTGAGTGCAAAAATGTATCAAACAACCAATCAAAAGACTCGGTGCGCTCATTAAGAATAAAACCCATACCAAACATGACATTGTTACCATGATGGTTCATCCCAACAAATGGAGCACATATCATTCCATATTTATTAGTTCTATAAGTTGTATCAAAAACCAACAAATCTCCAAAGTAATGATAATCTCTCATCATCCTACCATCACGCCAAAAAAAAACTAACTAAAGCACCACTATCATCTTGTTCAAAATCATAATAAAAATCTGTCTCATCCACATGTCTCTTGGCAAAATATTTAATCAATTGGTTACCATCACATCCTTCAATTTGGGCAGCTTTTTCAGATGACAATGCATTATAAGCATCAGAAGCAGTAAAACAAAGATTAGGAGATCCCCCAACCTCCTTCTTTAGAACCCTCAAAGAATCAGTAACTTTGACTCCACTCAATTTCATTGTTGAAATGAAAAGAAGCTGCTCTTTATTCACATCTCTTTGAGACCTTATCAAATGCCTTTTTTCAGGAGGAATCATAGCATGATTATGAACCATTTCATGTCTTGTACATGTATAGACCCCTAAATGATCAATATGAAACTGCACAAAAGCTAAACAACCAGTTCGATGATCCAACTTCTCATAAATCCTTTTATTCTTACACTTATTATCTTTGAATCCCTCATTACAACAAACAAATCTTTTCATCAAAAAAGAATCATCTCTTCTTCTCTTACTCTTCCCAATTCGAATTCCAAAACCTTTCCTAAAAGCATATTCATTATACGCTTCGAAAGCTTCATCTTCAGATTTAAATTCTTTATCCTTTAATTCAGACTGTTCTGCTTCTAAATACATAATATCATCATTTTTTTCCACTGCACAATATACAATTATAAATGATCATAAAGAGTTTCATGAATGAACAATAACAAATAAGTAAAATGTTCAATATCAAAACAGCACATGATCAATTGCAAAAAGAATTTCAGCACATAATATTTTGAACAATATTTTCATTATTTACCACTACACATAATATCGATATAAAAATGTAAAAATAAATGATCAAAAATGACTTTAAGACTGAACATAAACACATTAGTAACAATGAATAAGAAAACATAAACGATTAATTGAAAGTATAATCTACAAAATATACGACAAAAACACACAATTCTAAAACACAGAGAAAACAACAAATGAAACAACAAATGAAGCAACAAAATGTTCATACAAAGTACAACAATCCAAAAACGTTCATCATAATGTAATCAAAGTAGTAAATTCAAAAATCGAAAGTGAATAATAATACATCAATTAAGTTCAAATTAACAGAGCATTATAACTGAACAAATTAGGGATAATTAAAAATTGAAAAATTATGATCACAATTACTCACATTGTTGCACAAACGAATCAACGAAACGAAGTCCAGAAGGAAACACACGCTCGCAATCGCGATCAAAATCAACGCAATCTCCAGATGCAGAATTCGCCATTGATGATCGGTAACAATTAACGAATTCGTTCAAAAAATCAAATGAAGAAGATGAATTAGCGAGAGAAAAATGTAGATCAAAAATGGAGGTTGGTTGATCAATTGAAGAGAGAGAAAAAATAGGGTTTAAAATCATATATATACATAAATTGAATAATAAGAATCAAAGGAAAAAGGAAAAAAGAGGAAGAAAAGAAAAAAAGAAAAAAAGGAAAAAAAAAAAAAAAAAAAAGGAAAGAATCGCAAAAGGAAAGAAGCTGCACATGAGAACTCAATACCAGCTACAAAACGACGTAGCATAGGGGGGGTGTAGGGAACACACCCTACACTAGGGTGTAGGGTAAAATTTTCATCTAAACCCCATACCTCATGGGTTTGAGGTATGGGTTTAAAAATCATATTTTTGACAACCAAACATATGGTATGGATTTTGGTCATTCTAAACCCATACCTAATACCTATAATCCGCGAACCAAGCGCCCCTAAAGGGTTTATCAACCTAGCCCATATAATTAAACCAGTTGAAAATTCCAACCTAAGATTCAACCTATAATCGATTAATTTTAGCTTATCTTTGAATTGATTTAGACATGTTGATAAGGTTGTCGATTTTTCCTAGCTCCAAAGGTACTTGTATAGTTGTGTTATAGGTTGTAGCCTTGTGGGGGACTACTTACTAGGGTGTATGACTAGTATGTCTTTGCTTCTCTAGTTCTCTCTATTAATTTAAAAAGTGGTATTTTGTAACACATTTTTTTAATTTGGTGGTCTTTTACAACATTTTTTTTTTTAAAAAAAAAGGTGATTATATGCAAAAAAATAAAATAAAATAAAAAGGTGGGTTTTTTTTTTTTTTGGCAAAATTTCCAATTTTTTTTAGGAATCCAAAACTTTCACTTTTAGTACAAAGTATGGGAAATAGATCCACAATTTTAGTAACCTTTTTAATACATTACCCAATGGGTAACAAAAAAAATTCAAGGTCTTAAAAAGGTTGTTTTGCCAAATGCATAAGATAACTCCACAATTTATTGCAACTCTGTGTTTTTGGCAGTGCTCATTTCCATTAAAAATAATGTTGTTAACCTCTTAAATTAAATAATTATAAAACAACTATCAGCTTTCATCAACCTTGGTTGTAACTTTCCAATGTCTCTATTGCCTTGTCTAGACTCTAGAATTTGATTCCAATTACAATATTTGGCAAAATTAATGAAGTAGTGATCATCTAATTAATTATAGAATTACCTTACATAAAATTAATTTGTTGCATTTATAAATGCATGATGAATTGAAACTATAATTGCGTATAAATTTGGAATCAATTAAGGAAGAAACCTATTTGAGAAAAGCAAAATTATACATAAACAATCACTTTTAAGTTTTTAGCTTTATCTTTATATATGTACCTTCCTAGTCATGTCAATTGTCCTAGAGAACAAAGTTAGTAATAACAGTAAATACATATACAACTCACAACTGGTCAAAACTCAAAAGTATTCAATTCTCTTAATTAAATGGTTGGTAGATCCAAATTTATGTATACTCTCACACAATAATAGCTCTCTATATATTAAACCCTTCTCATACGTCTTTTACATACTACATACACTATCATATTGTAAGTGTCAATTTTTTCCACTCTAAAAACACATGGAACTCTTAGACATACTCTTACTCCTCCTAGTAACAATCTTTCTCCCTTTGTGGTGGCGACGAATGTCATCCACCACTGGTAAGGGCCCGAGGAGTAACCTTCCCCCGGGCCCACCAGGGTGGCCTATCGTTGGAAATCTCTTTCAAGTCATACTCCAACGTAGGCCTTTTATGTATGTGGTTCAAGACCTACGAAAGGAGTACGGGCCTATCTTCACGATGCAGATGGGCCAACGAACCTTGATCATCCTTACGGATGCAAACCTAATCCATGAAGCCCTTGTTCAGCGGGGCGCACTCTTTGCGAGCCGCCCTGCTGAGTCCCCCACCCGGTTGGTCTTTAGCCTCGGGAAGTGCGCCATCAACTCGGCGGAGTATGGCCCGCTATGGCGGGCCTTACGTAAGAACTTTGCCGCCGAGGTGGTGGGCTCGGCCCGGGTTAAGCAATGCGGGTGGGTAAGGAAGTGGGCCATGGAGAACCACATGGGCCGGCTCAAGGAGGAGGCCCATGAAAAGGGCTACGTAGAGGTAATGAGCCAATGTAGGCTAACAATATGTAGCATTATAATCTGCCTTTGCTTCGGAGCCAAGTTATCCGAAGAGTTGATAAAAAACATTGAAAGTGTCCTCAAGGATGTTATGCTTATGACTCTACCGAAGCTTCCAGACTTTCTGCCCGTTCTAACCCCGTTGGTTGCCCGGGGGCAGCTTAGGCGGGCGAAGGCGCTAAGAAAAAAACAAATGGAGATCCTCGGCCCGCTAGTCCAGGCCCGAAAGGGTTTTGTCGAGAGCCGTGGGAGCCCGAAGAGTAGCTCTTTCGACATGGCGAGCCCGGTTGGGGCGGCCTACGTGGATTCTCTCCTAAGCCTTGACCCGCCGGGGAGGCCCGACGGGCTTGGGGAGGAAGAGCTGGTGACTTTGTGCTCGGAGGTGATCAATGCCGGAACTGACACTAGTGCCACCATCATCGAGTGGGCCCTCCTACACCTTGTGTTGGACCAGAAGGTAAGAGATCTTACAACCATTATTGCTTTAAAGTTTAAACCTACCTAGTACTAATATGAAGTACAAGCTGTGTTAATGATTATGAAATGGTTTCAAAGTATTAATTATGAGTATTAATTCGTTTATTTTAAGAAGTACAAGAAACTTTAGAAGAATATATTGATGTTTACAATATAATACAAACTACTATGTATATATATGCAAGTTGTAACGACTAATTTAATCTAGAGAATAAAATGTTAAACCTAGATAATTAAGGGACAAATAAAGATAATAAAGAATAATCTCCTATAATTATGGTTAAACCCTGTAAGATGGACGGTCGAACGACGAGACCATTTTCACGTTTCACGGACAAAATGATAATAATCTAGACCAAGGTGCTTCATTTTTTAGTGGAACTTGGGATTGGTAGCCACATAAGTTGCCCTCATCTTATCACAAACAATAGTAGGCAAATACAATAATGAATTAAGGTCAAACCCAGTTAGCAAGTTCGTTGATGACTAAAAAAACCTTCTTAATTCGTTTCATATTATTTGCAACGATTTGACGTAAAATGTGATGAAAAAAAAACTAATTATTATATGTAAGTAATTCAAATTATTTTAAGCAATTTTTTTCATTTTTTAAAAACTTTGGCTAAAGTAAATTTTGTCACTATTATAGTGAGTTAATCCTTAATCATATTAACTTCTATGGTTTTATTTATATTTTTTTTTTGTGTTCCATTCGGTTCACCCTTCGGGTTAATCCGGATTTGTTGTTGCGGGCGATCAAACACGGGTCCTCCCTACCAAGTGTGGTCTCAATCACCACTACACCAACAACCAATTATTTCTATGGTTTTATTATTAAACATATGGAGTATCTCGCTAATCATATGTACATTGTACAATATTAATAATGTGAATTTATCGATCATTATCTAAATTAATATTCTTTACTAAATACTTATAAACTAGTATTTTATTGTTAAGATACTTAGGCGAGCACTTATATTAGCTTAGAAAGATGTTGGTAGAATGCTAAATAGTTTAGTTTCATTGATTGTGTACTTGCTACTAGTTGAATTTATTTCAGTTGTCAGCTCCTAAAAGAATTACTACTACTGTTAATGATATTTCATATATATTATTCCACTTATTTTTACAGGTTCAACAGAAATTGTACGAAGAAATCGTAGATGTGATAGGACATAATAATGGGGTTGTTTCTGAGGATGATCTCGAGAAGATGGTATACCTCAACGCCTTCATCAAGGAGACGTTGCGGCGGCACCCACCAAGCCACTTCCTCCTCTCTCATGCCGCGAGGGAGGACGCCGTCCTAGGCGGCTACACCATCCCAAAAGATGCAAATCTCGAGATTTACACGGCATGGGTGACCCAAGACCCGGCCCTATGGCCCGACCCGGAAGCTTTCCGGCCCGAGAGGTTCTTGCCCGGAGGTGAAGGGTATGAGGTGGATTGGACGGGTAACCGGGGGGTTCGGATGCTGCCCTTTGGGGCGGGTAGGCGGATCTGCCCGGCTTGGAGTTTGGGTACGTTGCATGTGGGTCTAATGCTTGCTAGGATGGTGCATGCTTTTCGTTGGGTTCCTTATCCGGGTAGCCCGCCCGACCCGACCGAAACTTTTGCTTTTACTATGGTGATGAAGAACCCCCTCAAGGCTGTCATTTTTCCTAGGTGTTGATAATGGATCTGAGATCAGAAATTACAATATATATTAAGGCCGGGTTAATATATAATTTACTTAATTTAATTGAATTATTGGTTTAAGCATTTTCTATGTACTATGTTAATTAATGTAATAGGATAAATTTATATATATATAGGTGGTGTAGCTTATGAAAAATGATCAAGTACGATAATATATAAACCGAGAATGGTAATACATCATGCATGCATGTATGATAATTTATGTAATTGGTTTTCTTAATTTCTCATTTTATAAATATATTTTCTTCTATTATATATTATAAGTATAGAGTATATTTCCCTTTCATACTAGTTATTGATCATCATCATATCATTATTTACGTCTATAGTATGTTCACATTCCTTCCATTAATTAATATATAGTATAACATTCAATCACCAAACAAGTTTTCGCATAATCAAAATGTTCGAATCTTACAAGCATGAAATGAATTGTTGGATCAAATCGGACTAGGAGGCTCATTAGTAAAAATATAGATTATATTCCCCGCACATTCTTTTATTTACCCTAGCTTTAATTTCTCCCTCACTTTTTAAGGGGATGATTCCGCCTTAATTACCATTTTTCTTACCTTAATAATTCGTACATGCTCTTCAAGTATAGAGAAGATCAAGCTTCCTAGAACCAAAAAATTATGTAATTATGTAAGAGACTGTACATTTAAAAATTACATCCAATAAGATATTCAATATGCAAAGGATATATAAATGTAAGTTGAGAAAGTCTACTTCAAGCTTTACTACAAAAGTAACAAAACTGTAACCTAGCCTAACTTATTTAAGATATTATACATACAACTTAGTGAAATTACAATAAGACCCCATCCACGAGGACGAGTTACTAGACGATCTGAATGCCTAACAGAGCCATTTTTTCCCCCAACTTTAATTTTGGGATCTCATCGTTGCAACATAACATGTTGCACAATTAATCAATTAGATTTTTTGTAAATTATATTATTTATATACTCATATAACTACTCCGCATATACTTTTTTCCGTTCTATTTACTTGACCTATAGTTACACACAATTTATGGAGTAAATTTAAGAAGACAAACATATATTTTTAATTAAAAAAAATACAACCACCAATAAAAGGGATAAATTGGGGTTTTATGACGAGGAGAATTAATTTATTTTTAAAATAGAGGAAGTAATAATTAAGGGTTTGTTCACATTTACTGAACTGAATTGAGCTGAAATGAATATTTTATGAGAGAGGAAAATTAAGAGCTAAACTAAACTGATTGAAGCTAAACTGAATTGAAATTAAGTACATATGAACACACGCTCTAAGATGTTACAAATATTTCAATGTATCATGTACAACGTAGTACGTACGTATGCATATACTCAGGCGGTGGCATGTTAAAACACAAACCTTAATGCCTTACTTCTGTCTTCATTCTGTAATGCCAGTAAAGGCATTAAATTTTTCTATATATGACTCATTAATATTTCTTGATATTTAGAACAGATTAGATCTAGAGGACTAAGATGGAGTCTAGAAACAGTTGATATATTTTTCTCTTGAGCTCCATACTCTATTTAATTTTAATTATTTAGTTGTACTACGTATATTCATATAATAACAACATGATATAATTACTTCGTATGTAATACGGGCATTTCATTATAACGAAATACATATATACGGAATATATACTTATCCGGATATCCTATACAATTATTATTTTAGAACTTAGAAGTACTCGTATTAATTAATTTTGAAATATGCTCGTGTGTTGTCGTACCCTTAGGTGTTAACTTGTTAAAGATGAGCTTGCATTATTGGATCGGCATAAAAGGCCAAAAAGGGCCTAGATCGACTTCTAATCTATAAGAACAGTAGCATTGAAGTATAGTTTCAAAAAAAAAAAAAAACCGAAAACTAAAACACAAGCAAATGGGCCTTAATTTATATGGAAGAATAATATTTTCCTAAGTCCTAACAATTGATATATATTATACTACCTCCGATTTTATTTTAGTTAGCTGCTTGCAACTTTGGAATATTTTATATCTCACAAATAATACCTCAAAGTTACAACTAATAAAAATTGGAGGTAGTGCTTCTTCAAAAAAAAAAAAAAAGGATAAAATAAATTAATCAGTTATGAATTTGCAAGTACATCTAATTAGCTTGCTTATTAATTCACCATAATATTTTGAAGTACAATGATATTAATTTCCCCTAGTACAAAATTTACAGCTCAACTTATCTTCATATAGCTAGACTTTTACTAACTTGCCATATATAATCTAGGTGCTCAGAATCAAAGTCACAGAGCATTTACGATAGGATGCCAATAATGCCCATTTTAGTGATTTTACTCCTATAGAAGTATCATATAGTCATGTAGACCATATAAACCAAAGTAAAATGTAGTTTAATTTTGCAGCCTTTTATTGCATTAAATTATAGCAATAGGGTTTATTTCACCAAAAGGGTTATTGAGTACTTGATCTGCCAGTTAAATAAAGGTTTGATGTATGGTGATAACTTGCTTGTTACAATGCTCATGAGTCATGACTAGATAATTTATTGTACAACAATTACATCATATTACGTATATACGAGTAATATATTGGTGCGACTTTGTCAATTCACTAAAATAAAGATGGTTGTGGTGAGGGAAGTTACAATCAATTTTGACTCAACTTGTTATGAGTGAAATGTTTAGTTGAATAGCAAGAGATTTAGGGTTGTAGTTGAATAGCAAGAGATTTAGGGTTGTAGGTTGCATATGGCGTATAAAATTCAATTTATATTAATGTACTATATAAAAAGTGACCCATAATTTTGACAAGTTCAAACATTAAAGAAGGGTTATTAGTTATTACTCATATGTACGACTACACGAGATTCTATTGTCGCTAATATGTAGTGATTTGACTCATGAATACAGGTAATAATAGAAAAAAAACGAGTATATAGAGTTTAGTTCTGCTTATTAAATTAATCACAAAGCTTCCATTATGCTTGAACGTGTGCCAAGTTATCTTAACTCGCATGTAGAGACCGAGGGTCTATTTCAATTTACTGAAAAAACTGAACTAAATTAGACTAAAATAAACTGATTTGATATGAACTAAACTGAAATGAATTGTTTATGAGAGAAAGAAATTAAAAATTGAATTGAAATAAACTCATTGGAGCTAACTAAACTAAACTGAACTAAAATTAAGCTGAACAGAACAGGCCCCGAGTATCATTTAAGGCATGAAATAAAAAGCTGTGGTGATGGACTCATAGTACTACATATAGTATTGAATTTAATTATTTTATGAGTAAATAATGCAAGTATGGAGTGAGCATGGGTTAAGATTTGGGATGTCAATGTCACAGATAATAGGCAGCATAAGGTTTCGCATTTGATGTACAAGCCTCTTAATTTCTCCTCGGAAATTCAAACTTATATACAAGTATAAACATAAATAAATAAATAAATTCTACTTTATAACTATATTTCATTTACTATAATATATGTAACACTTGGCAATATTGGTCTTATTTTTTCATATCTTTATTTACTCGTAACTATACTACTCGTACTATATAACTACATGTTGCGACACGATGCTGCATTATGGAGAAAGATTGGCAATGTTTTTGGTAAGTCAGATGAGGCCGCTCAGTACCCAGGAGGAGTTAGTATACAATCTTGACAACTAAGTTTTTTGGTTGGATATTCAATGAGGAATGGGCAATGTTGTTGAGAGGTAGCCGCCCTCTTGAAAATCGATGGGCTATGTATTTGTTAGGGATTTAAGTTCCCGACCCATTGAAAATCGGAGTTGTGTGTATTTGCATCACAATTAATACGAACTCGTAGTGAGAAGACTCTTTAAAGATTCCGCTTGATGGAGGTTACAAGTTTGAATCCTACCAATTACATTTTATTGAGAGTTTACAGAAAGTATATTATATTCAAATTATTAAACTTTCTTTTTTCATAAAGCTCGCAAAATTTGACACAACATGACAAATTTACATATAAATTACGTGAGAGAGGATCCTTACATACGAATATCCGATCTCACCTAAAAATTCAACCTTGAAAGCAAGATCAATCAACTAGAGCGATTCTTGCATGCACCTTATGCAAATATAGGATAGAGTTTAATTATCTTTCTACTTAACATTGTCAATCTTTGTGCTTGTGAAACTTGCTTCTATAGTACAGTTTGAGTTAGGTTAGGGCCTTAGTCTGGGCTTCTTCCAATGGCCCAAGCATGATGATGGGTCAATAAAAGAGTGGACCTATCACAGACACAACTCACACAAGTCGCACACTATAAATCCACAATTGCTGGCTGGTTCATTACTAGAATAATTAGAGTCTGCTATTCAAAAAAAAAAAAAAAAAAAAGAATAATTAGAGTTTGAATATCGGATAGACTTGTATAGAATTCAATCTGAAATCACTTGATCAGATTTGTCTCGAATCGATTTGAATTGAAATCACTTGATCAGAAAGTCTTACTCGATATAACTCGACCTAAATTAATCCAATTTGAATTAAACAATTTTTCACTTTATAATTGGTTATACTTTATAAGCTACATAAGCTATATGGAGTACAATTTTACCCTGCACTCTTATTAGGCCTGCTCTCTTTTAACTAAGTAAAAATAAATTCAGCTCAACAAAAATATATCCAATTTAGTACGGAATACTCTTGTAAAAAAAAATATTAAATAGTAATTTTTTTTTTTTTTGACAAGGTGAATAGATTAACAAATATGTGTCCGTGTGGCTAGTCATCTCAAGGGTAACTTCGTTAGTGTTATAGTAGAGTTAACCAGTTGGTCATTATTACGGGGTTACTTCGTCAGTATAGTAGGATTTACTTCGTTAGTGCGAAGTTACTTTCATCAATATTGTCGGTATTAAATTCAGTAAAAATAATTTAATGTTTTGTAAAATAAAAATGATTTAGGGCAAATACAAGACATCCAAATTTGGTGAGTCCAAAATCATTGGCCCTCCTCGGATAAACTGTAGAAACAGTCACACACCAAACAGGGCTGCTTCAATTCTGCAATAATAATTCGTTAAATCATTGAAGATGGAGATGATGGATTGGTGGGTATCCATGCCTAAAGTTGAACTTCATGCTCATCTCAATGGTTCTGTTCGAAATTCCACTCTACTGTATAATTCTCTCAAAACCCTCTTTTAAATCTCATTTTCATCTTCTGTAATCATATTTTGATTAATTTTTGTAGCATAATTCTAATACCCAGTTTCGATTTTCTGCATTTTCATCTTCTAGCATTTGAATTGCGTGAAGATTTGACCAAATTTGAGTTGTATTACAGAGAACTTGCTAAAGAATTGGGTGAAAAGGGTATTATTGTTTTTTCTGAAGTTGAGCATGTTATCCTCAAAAGTATGTATGATTGTTTTTGTTTAAGATAGTTTTGAATTGCCAAGATTTTTTGTGGGTTGTAAGTTGTTATGATTATGTTCTGCAGATGATAGATCTTTGACTGAAGTGTTCAAGTTGTTTGATTTGATTCATATTCTTACCACTGATCATGCTACTGTCACCAGAATCACCAAAGAAGTATGGTGATGTTTCCTTTTCTTGGTGTAATTATGGTTCTTTTTTCGCTTCGATTTCGTTGAATTAGCTATAATCCATGCCCAAGGTAGTTTGATCACTTTGATGTTAGGGGAAAAATTATATTAGAAGTGATTTCTCAATATTAGTTTGATTGACCTTTTCACGAATTCTGCTTTAGCATGTGTAAGTAGAAATTTGAGTAGAATATTCCTCAACATTAGCTTAAGTTGACTTGGATAAAGGGAGACATGATGAAAATGGGTTTGTAATATAGCAAAAGATGGAAGCAAATGTAGGAAGTTAGATTCTTGGTTCTTGTTGCCAACCCTATCATTTTGGTAAAATGGCTTTGATTCTGTGATTTATATTGTTGTTTTAGCCTAAGTTGAAGTTGAACCACAAGATAAGGTGATTGTGATGACTGATTAATCTGGCTTAAGTATGTTAGGAGGAGGGACTTTAAACGGGGGAGTTTAGTGGAGTATTTAGAGTTGGGACTTTATTAGGAATGTTGCAGAACTTGGGATTGTTGCTGTCAATACTTAAAAGTACAGAGGTATCTTGAAAGGTAAGAACATTTGTTAGGATATAAACTTGTTAGTTCTTATATTTTATCTTACCTGTTTAGGTTGTTGAAGATTTTGCTGCTGAGAATGTTGTCTATTTGGAATTGAGAACTACCCCTAAGGTACTAAAGCCAAGTTGTTGGCTAAATTTGTCCAATGTGAAGATTTGAGCTAAGTTTAACTAAAATGAAAGTAACTTGGCTTATTGACTGGGAATGTAGAGGAATGATTCTAGAGGAATGTCCAAACGTTCTTACATGGAAGCTGTGATTGAGGGTTTAAGAAAAGTTGACGTCTTCGACATTGATTTTGCTTCTACTAAAAATGGATTGGAGGAAAAAGGGAAGTCTGGTCAAATGATTGATGACTGTGTCGGCTTTTCTAGGACAAAGATATATGTTAGGCTTCTCCTGAGCATTGATCGCCGTGAGACACTTGCAGCTGCAATGGAAACTGTATGTATCTTGCTTTTTCATGAGGTTTAGCTTTGTTTTTTTATGGTTCACTGAGCAAAGAAAATTAGAAAGTTTATTCTTATACTGATGGAATGTAACAACTTGCAAAAATGATTATAGGTCAAGCTGGCATTGGAAATGAAAGATCTTGGAGTGGTAGGTATTGATCTATCCGGGAATCCTAAAGTGGGAGAATGGTATATGCTAGAACAATTTTTCATACAGTTATTCAATCAATGTGCTTCACTCCATTTGAAAGTGTTATGCATGGGGGTATGTTTGAATTTTGTTGTAGGATAACATTTTTGCCAGCTTTGAGATTTGCCAGAGAACAAGGTCTTCGTGTTACTCTGCATTGTGGAGAGGTATATTGGTATTTGCCACATGTCCTTTGTGCAAGTCCCTTTTATTATTGTCTTCATTTTAACTAATTTGGAATTGCTCTGATTTGTCTGTAAACGTAGTGTTGTCTAGGTCCCTAATCAGGAGGAAATACATGCAATGCTGGACTTTCTTCCTGAGAGGATTGGTCATGCTTGCTGCTTGGAAGAGGATGCATGGAGAAAATTAAAAAATTCCAAGATCCCGGTTTGTGCCCTTATACGAATTATAAAATTAACAGTCATTGTCCCTAAATAGTTAATAATTTATGTTAAGTGCCTTATTTGAAAATCTTTATGAAACCGGGCTTTGAATCCATATCATTATCTAAGGATGATGCCTTTGTAGTTCTAACATAATCTTACATCACCTTTGTGCTTGGACTCCTTGGAGGCTCAAGTGCCACATAACCTAAGCTCATGGTCAGGGGAGTCATTTGTGGTGTGGGCCTCTGGACTAGGCTTACACATCACCCCAGAAATCGACTCTTGCAACAATCTTGGGCTGGTTAGTTTATTTATGTTTCAGGGTGTCTATGCCCAACTGTGTAGTGTCATCCCCTCCCTTAGCTCCCAATGTTTGAAGCTCAGTCCTTTTATTTTCTATTTATCGCTAAGTAAACTGCCACCATACTACTCCCTCTGTCAGGAATTTTGCTGTGGCATTGTCTTGACTAATGATCAAGGATTTGACATGATCTTATAAAAATGCTCTTCATAATAGTTGTTTTTTTTTTTTCTTTTTCTCCCCACCATTTATGTAGTGGTCTTTTATGACTTCCTATCTTAACCCATCACTTGAATTTTTCCAGATGGAGGGTGCATATTAGATAAACTCCGGCTTTTCTCTGTTTCTTTATGCTTATTAATGAGGTAGATGGGCAATGCTGGATTGTTGTTGAGCATAATTTTCAATTTTGCAGGTTGAAATATGTTTGACATCTAACATCCGAACTAATACAATTTCCTCCATCGATGTTCATCATTTTGGTTCGGTTCCTTTCTAGTTAAATTCTCAAGTTAAATCTTATGGAATTAGTCTACTTTTTCAGTGAGCATAAGCTCTTTGAGAATATGATGCATTTGTTTGTTTGACAGCTGATTTATACAATACAAACCATCCACTTATCCTATGCACTGATGACACCGGGGTGTTCTCTACTAGTTTATCTAAAGAATACGCCATTGCTGCTACTGCTTTTGGTAGGATTTCTTTTCTTAGTCCAGAGTATATTCAACTAACCTGGTTATTGCTGCTTGTTTCCATTATCTTATTTCTTTTATTTGTGAAAAGGTCTTGGGAAGAAGGAAATGTTCCAGCTAGCAAGGACCGCGGTTGAATATTCATTTGTCGAGGAACAAGTTGCAAGTAAATTGAAAGATTTGTTTGATCTGTTAGATAAGAGTTTAGCTTACAATGATTGATTTGTTGCAACTACATTAGGTATGGCTTACTAGTATTTTTCCCAAAATCTATGTTCCTTATTCTATTTAATGTACTAGCTTTGCTCTCAACAATGAAACAGATTTCTCAGGATTGAAACAAACAGCCTAATTGGTTATCTTAATCCTAGACAGATTGTTAGGTCTCCAACTAGCAACAATGGCTAGCAATTGTGCAATTGCGTTTGGATTTCTTTGGCATTTCTAACTACTAGTTTGATAAATAGTACTATACATTTATTTGTTTTATTGTTGACATTAAATTCTGCACCATACGAACTATTAACAAAGCTGATCGAATATAAGTGAACATACTAAAGGAACACTAAATATTAATGGTAACGAGTTTACATGTACAGAGTATTTTGTAAGGTAAGGTGGTACTGAGAGGGAATAAAACGTTACATTTTTTGAAGCACGAGTTCAAATGTTCAATTACGAAGTATTAATCTTATATACTTCGTAGTACAGAGTATAACTTAGCTTACATTGCATATAATGCTGCTATCAAAATGTACAAAAATTGTTGACTTTGATCTGCTCATGTACGAAGGATATCATTATTAAATTAAAGATGAATTAGTGCATCTTTTTAAGCTGGAAACTTGATGATTAATTTGTCTTTTAATGATGTTGTAGAATGTTCAACTAAACTAAAATTAAGGCATCTTGATTTGGTGGTTGTTTGGATTGACCCTTGCATTAATTTTTAAGTGGTTGACTAGCTGATAATTTGGTATAAAGTACTCCATATAATGGGTTAGGTCAATCATTTAATGCAAATATGCCATAAATAATGCCATTCCACTTTCTAATTATCTTTTGGAAGGGAGATTGAGTTAGTTGGATTTGTATTTTGACTTTCAGGTAGGATATTGTGGGAGAATACACTTTGATAGCCAGGTATACCGTACACCTTTACTCGTTTGTTGATTGAATGAGTCTCATAAAGTTTGATCCCTAGACCTCAGGGATACAAGATGGGAACGATGTCACTACTCCATCACATCAACTTCATTTACATGCCTAACTTGGCGAACATATTTGGTCCTTTTTTTAAGTGTATGAAGTGCTAGTTATCTAACACGTTTGTCAAACTTTTTCATCGTCAAAGAAGTATCATCATAAACTAATAATTTATTTCTTAGTGAGTGACTAGCAATCTTAATTTGTTTTAAAAGTATAGATTACTTTCTAATTTAGTACTCCGTAATTTAAATTTGAGCTTCTCATAGTATTATTCTTACATTAATTAATTTTTTTTTTATATAATCTTTATTTATACGCCCATTAATTTAGGGTCTCTTCTTTCAACTTAATTTCAGTTCAGTTGAGCTCTAATTAGTTCAGTTTATTTCAGTTCAACTCCTAATTTCCTTCTCTCATAAAATATTTATTTTCAGCTCTATTCTGTTCAATTCAGTTCAGCTCAGTTGAGTTCAATAAATGTGAACGGGTCTTAGGGTCGTGTGTTGTGTATTTAATAAGATGGACCCCTTTTGAAGAGGGAAAAAAACCCATAAAATCAGAGTCTTCTAATAAAACACTGACTTTGATGCAACGACGTCGTCGTTTTAGCGGGAGAAACTGAAAAACAAAGAAAAGTACTCATCATCTTCATCCTCAAGATTCAAGAACACACGAAAATATTGAAAAACCTTCAATTTTTCATTTTAAAAAAATAATAATAAAAATTTAAAGTTGCTTCGATTTGACATTTCTGATACGTCTTTCTCTCTCGTCTTTATCGTTGTAACTACTATAAATACATCATTCAATTTCCATTTTTTCATTCATTCATTAATACTACTATTTTTCAATCAAATTGATTTGGGGAATTTTCCAGAATTCTCTCAATTTCGCACATTACCTTAAACCCTAAGTTACCGATTAATTTCTGGAAATCGGCGAATTTGCATCAATTTTGAGCTAATTTTTGTGATCAAAAGCGAAATGTCATGGGGATTAGGTTGGAAAAGACCGTCGGAAGCATTCCATTTGACGCTCCATTTCGGCGAAGAAGCGGAGGATGATGAAGATGAAGAGGAGAGAGATTCAATTGTTGTGGTCGACAATGGCGGCGATTTCTCGAAGAAAACGGTGGAGATGGATTGGACAGCAGGAGACGATGAGGATCAGGTGGCGTTGAGGTTGCAGTCGAAGTTAATGGTGGAGATGCCGCCACCGGAGGATACGGTTGTTGTTGAATTGGAGGAGAGAGAAAATGATGGCGGAGTTGCGGTGGAGATGAAGGTTGTGAGGAGAAGAGAGCCATTGAGAGCGATTACAATGGGGAAAACTGCTGGTTCTGGTCAGCAGAGTGATGGCATTGGGGTTTTGACGAGGTTGTTGCGGTCTAAGGTTGCCGCGACAGCGGTGGCTACTGGTGTTGGTGATGGTTGTGTGAATTTTTCAGACCATTGGAATACTGTTACTGCTTTGAGTCTTTGTGGTTGTGGTATTTCTGTAAGTATGCTTCAAATTATCTTGTATTCAATGAGTTTTGTTGGATTGTTTGAATTTGATTGGAATCTTTTTGATAATTGAATGATAGGGTTTTGCCTTTAAAGATTTATATGTTATGGACCTATGATTTTATGTTTACGCGGGTTCTTGAGGTGAAATGAAGAGCACGAATAACATAAGCTGATGCATGTTTTGTATGTTACCTAATGTGTAATATTATAGGAATTGCCAGTGCCTTTAACTTGATAGAATTACTGTAACTTCTAAATTTCCTTTAATAAACATATCGAAGATTTGATATGATCGCGTTTGAATTGATCAAATTAAGCCTCCCACGTTGATTTAAGCCTAGTAGGTGTCAAAGTTGTTATACTGAAAGATGGCCTATGCTAAACTGATTGGAGTCTTAGAGACATCTCAGAGGTACAGGAAGAAAGGTGGAATTTTGAAGCTTAGAAAAATTATGTAGTTTCTGGAAGTATAAATAATGATAGTGCGAACGAGATGGTCAATAGATGTATGAATTTTTATAAGTCTATGACACATACACCATTATTTATGTGGATATCGCTGCTGGTGAGTTCAGAAATCTCAGAGGTCAATATGTAAGTAATTTTGTCCTGGCATTGTTTACGAGGCAAAGAATAATACAGAGTATCTGCTATGGTTATGGTTAAATTGACCTAATTGACAAAACATACAAGTTGATAACATTGATGGACTTTTTATGATTTGTTACAATGGAACAATGTGCTATTTATGACTGTCTGTTGAAACATTCCAAAAAGTTAATTAGGATATCTGACTTGGAAACGGCAGGGAGTAGACTAATGATTAGTACTATGTGGTTGTTAATGCATATTTACCACTAACATTTTCTGATTATTCGCCAATTTCACTAGTTAGCAAGAAACTTGAAACAAAAATGTTTGTATTTGGAACTATAATAGCTTTCCCGTGTTAGATAATTTGTGATTTTGATTCTTTAATAACTGGTCATGACTGAGTTTTGTCAGTTGTGTGATGCAATTTTTCTGTGCATTCAACAGGTGTTGCCAGTGGAAGTGACAAAACTTCCTTTACTTGAGAAGCTATACCTTAATAATAACAAGCTATCAGTTCTACCTCCTGAAGTTGGTCAGCTCAAAAACTTGAAAGTTCTAAGAGCTGATGATAACGCTCTAGTCTCTGTTCCAGGCAAGCATAATATCTATTCTGTTCGTTAATTCACGTGCATAAGAATGATCTTGCTAAGAACTTAAGAGTGGGAGAGCTTTTAGATAGTGAAACTTTCTACTAGTTACTCATTATCCTTTTATTTATGGATTGTGGAAGCAGTGGAGCTAAGACAGTGTGTTGGACTTGTGGAGCTTTCACTGGAACATAACAAGCTGATTCGTCCATTACTAGACTTCAGGTTATTTTTTCTGTGATCAACATCTGCCACCTTTCAAACACGTAAACCCTTGTATGTTTTCTTGGTTGAAGCTTACAAAGAAATTTTTGCAAGAGACCTAATGTTATTTTAATTTTCTGTTCATGACAGGGCTGTGGCTGAATTGCGTGTTTTAAGATTGTTTGGAAATCCACTTGAGTTCCTTCCTGAAATTTTGCCGCTACAAAAACTGCGTCACTTATCTCTTGCCAATGTCAGAATTGTTGCTGATGAACATTTAAAATCAGTGAATGTGCAAATAGAGGTACTAAAGAATTATGTGCTGATTTATTTACTGAGTTCCACTTGATGCTGTTTGACTTTAACCTTTTCCTCGAAATGCAACTTGATGAATACAGACAGAGGCAACTTCCTATTTTGGTGCATCTAGACACAAGCTTAGTGCCTTTTTCTCCCTTATATTCCGATTTTCTTCTTGCCGGCATCCCCTATTGGCATCTGCACTGGGAAAAATCATGCAAGACCAAGATAATCGTGTTGTAGTTGGTAAAGATGAAAATGCAGTCCGTCAGCTCATTAGTATGATCAGCACTGACAACCATCACGTGGTATGTCAGGCAGTTGTGATATTTTCTTTTTCCTACCCTTCTTAGATAGTAGCTGAAGTACTATTATTGTTTTATATTTGTAGGTTGAGCAAGCATGCTTTGCCCTTTCATCTCTTGCTGCAGATGTATCTGTTGCAATGCTTCTAATGAAATGTGATATCATGAAACCTATCGAAGCTGTTCTCAGATCTGCTGTTGAGAAGGAATTAATATCTGTGCTACAAGTCGTGGAACGCCTTGCTTTTGCTTCTGATGCTGTAGCTCAGAAAATATTCTCCAAGGATGTAATGAAATCATTGAAATTATTATGTGCCCATAAGAATCCAGAGGTAATCTCTAGCAGTGTGTTAGTTTAATTGATTCATCCTGAAGGCATTTAATGAAATTTATAAATGCCCATCTTAGGTCCAAAGATTAGCTCTGTGGGTGATTGGAAATTTGGCTTTCTGTTTAGAGAATCGGAAAAAGATGGTTACTTCCGAAAGTCTGCGGGAACTTCTTATGCGCCTGACATCCACAGCTGAGCCACGGGTCAATAAAGCTGCTGCTCGAGCCTTGGCAATTCTTGGTTTGTTCTGAGACCTAAAAATCTTCTTCTATTGCTTAGGTTTAGTGTAGTGATCATCTTCATCATATTTGATGCAGGAGAGAATGAGATACTACGACGTGCCATAAAGGGGAGACCAGTAGCAAGGCAAGGGCTTCGGATACTCACGATGGATGGGGGTGGAATGAAAGGTCTCGCAACTGTGAAAATCCTGAAAGAATTGGAAAAGGGGACAGGGAAACCGATACATGAAATGTTTGACCTCATATGTGGCACATCAACTGGTGGTATGCTAGCTGTGGCTCTTGGGATCAAATCAATGACATTGGATGAGTGTGAGGAAATATACAAGAAACTTGGTGAGTGGCATGCACTGGTTATAGATGCTATCCTTTTTCATCCTTTAGATTGCATATATATTGGTTTTGAACCTTTTTTTTTTTCCCCTGGCGTGCTTGATCAGGCAAACTTGTTTTTGCTGAACCTGTCTCTAAAGACAGCGAGGCAGCAACTTGGAGAGAGAAGTTGGATCAATTGTACAAAAGCTCATCTCAGAGGTTCAGAGTTGCTGTACATGGAGCAAAAGTAAAGATTGCTTTCATTTTCCCCTCTTCCTACTATTGTTGATGTAAAGTTGAAACTTTATAGTGGGTGTTGGAAATAAGATACAATTACTTGTTTCTTGCAGCACAGTGCAGATCAATTTGAGAGATTGTTGAAAGAGATGTGTGATGATGAAGATGGAGACCTTTTGATAGATTCTGCTGTGAAAAAAATACCTAAAGTTTTTGCTGTATCAACTCTAGTTAGCGTGGTTCCTGCACAGCCTTTTGTATTTCGGAATTACCAGGTTTACGGTTATTTTTAACTTTTATTTTAGCTTTTCACGACGTTTCTACCACTTGCACTGTTGCACATTAGTCTAATTGGAAAAATTTATAAAATGTGCATTTGTGGTGTATGTTGATTAAAGGTTTGCACACTTTTTTATTTTTTTGCCATTAAAACTATATCTCAGTATCCATCTGGAACTCCGGAGATGTACCTGTCACCCTCTGAAAGCTCAGCAATCAGTATGTCAGGTGGAGACAACCCAAATGCGGAAGTTGGATATAAACATAATGCTTTCATTGGGAGTTGTAAACACAAGGTCTGGCAAGCTATAAGAGCTTCATCTGCCGCACCATATTATTTAGATGATTTTTCAGATGGTAATTTAGTGTGCTGCTTTATTTCCTTTCCTCACTTAGTTTTGTTTTTTCCATTTCTCTCTCCCTTCTGATCTTTCTTGTCTGCTAGCAGATGTCAATCGCTGGCAAGATGGTGCTATAGTGGCAAACAACCCTACCATTTTTGCTATACGGGAAGCTCAACTTTTGTGGCCTGACACTAAAATTGACTGTTTGGTTTCTATTGGATGTGGCTCCGTTCCAACAAAGGTTAATAAGGCTAAGATCTCAGCATCAATATCATCATAGTCTTCATTTCTCATAAAATTAGAAGTAAAACACGTAATAAAGGAACAAGGTGAAGTGAATTTTATTAATCATCTAATTTTGTAGGCACGGAAGGCTGGTTGGCTTATTTGGGATACGGTGCCAGTGTTAATTGAGAGTGCATGTTCAGTGGAACGAGTTGAGGAAGCTTTAAGTACACTACTACCGATGCTTCCTGATATACAATACTTTCGTTTTAATCCTGGTTAGAACTCGAATGCCTTGCTTTTACAATATATGCTTATTGTTGCTAGCAATGCTTCTTTCCTGTCTGTAGTCCACAGCATTGTGGGAAACTTTTGTTCTTATTTGAGCAGTTTGTGGTTGTATTAACATCACATTTATCATTCCCCTTCCTTTCTTTAGATTATAATGAGAAATGTATCTCATTGAAAATTTTCATTTGTGTGCTCAGTTGATGACCGTTGCGATATGGAGCTGGACGAAACCGACCCTGCTGGTTGGCTGAGGTTGGAAACAGCCGCAGAGGATTACGTCAAAAATAATTCAGAAGCATTCAAAAGTGTTTGTCAGAGGCTAACGTTGCCATACCAACAGGACGAAAGATTTTCAGATGGTGTGAAATCTCAAAATCTGTCAAAATCAAAGCCAGAGAATGGTACTAATCTAATATTTTATGATTAAATTTTTTTCGGCCGGTAACAATCTTTTTTTTTTTGGGTTCTCCATTCTTCACGCACATATAATTCTGCTGTTGGCTGAATCTAAAAGGCCTCAGTATATACCACATTCAATCTTATTCTGTTGTTTTTACATTGCCAGATGATGGTAGTCCTTCCTTGGGATGGCGGCGGAACGTACTCCTTGTGGAGGCTTCTAATAGTCCAGATTCTGGAAGAATCACACACCATACAAGATCACTTGAAACATTTTGTTCCCATAGTGGAGTAAGATTGTCTACTGTAACAGGAATGTCAAATTCTCCTAAGCCGGTGACTGGTACTTCCATCAACTCACCATTTGCATCACCTATGTTTACTGGAAGTTTTCCATCAAGCCCATTACTGTACAGTCCAGAAGTTGCGCAGAGGATTGGCCGAATTGACTTAGTTCCTCCTTTGAGCTTGGATGGCCATCAGGCTCCAAGATCAACTGCTTCACCTCCAAAGTCTCCTTCAGGACCCAGGCAGCTGTGCTTGCCTGTGCAATCATTGTTGAATAAGCTGAAGAATTCACCACAAGTCGGCATTATTCATTTAGCGCTCCAAAATGACACTACTGGTGCAATTTTGAGGTCAATGTCTTTGTCCTGCTACATTTTAGTTTCTTCTTTCTCCATGGCTTCTATCTTGTCCCAGTTTGTGTAGATAGGCATTAGATGTTAAGATTTTTGCTTTTGAGCAGAGCTTGACTCTGGTAAAATGTTTTGTAGCTGGCAGAATGATGTATTTGTGGTTGCTGAACCTGGGGAGCTTGCAGACAAGTTTGTACAGAGTGTTCGCTTTAGTTTGTTGTCAACTGTTCGGGGTAGAAAGGAGATGTCAAAACTTAACTCCATCTCAACCATAGCTGACCTGGTGGCATATAGGCCTTATTTTCAAATTGGATGTGTTGTCCATCGGTATATAGGACGCCAAACCCAGGTATGCCTTTTAGTTTCTTTACTGCTGCATATATGTCTCTTCTATAATAGCAGGCTTATCAAGCTTTTAACTTTATGAAGGTTATGGAAGATGACCGTGAAATTGGGGCATTTATGTTTCGGAGAACTGTCCCATCCATGCATCTAGTGGCTGATGATATCCGCTGGATGGTATGTTACATATGATTCTTTGATTTATTTGTGCTATACTTGGTATTACTTTTGTGTCTTTCTGATCCATAAGATGAACCTGTGGTTCTTGAAGTATTAGATCAAAGTATTTGTTACTGTTGGAAGGCTGTCCTCGTTTAACATGAGCACCCCCCCTTTTTTAAAAAAATCTTGTTCATTATATATAATACTACTACGTATATAGGAAAAATGTATCCTGGACTAATTTTATGTACCATGTCATCTCTCAGGTTGGTGCCTGGAGAGATAGAATTGTAATCAGCACAGGAAGATACGGGATGGTTAAGCCCTTAATTAAGGCCATTCTAGATTCTGGTGCAAAGGCTGTTATATGTCCATCCAGTGAACCTCCTCAGATGCAATTAGCGTCATTCCATGGATCAGGCGATTTTGATGATTTGGAGAATGGCAAATTTGAGCTTGGGGAGGACGATGCAGAAGATGAAGAACCAGCAGAACCAGGGAGTCCTATCAGTGACTGGGAAGATAGTGACCTTGAGAAAAGTACAGAAAATACATCAAAGGCTTTCTGGGACCACGAGGAAGAGGAATTGTCCCAGTTTGTTTGTCATTTATATGATTCAGTGTTTCGGGAAGGAGCAAATGTGCATACTGCACTGCAAAATGCGCTTGCTTCACATCGGAAGTTGAGGTATTCATGCCATCTACCAAGTACGTCCTAGTTGTTTAAGTAGAATACACACACAGATGATATGTTAATATTCGAACGTTATTATACTGAATGCCAATACTTATAAGGGGATTAGGGAAGGCAATAAAAGTAATACAGGGGTGTCGGAAACTAGTAATAATTGATTAGGCTAGTCTCTACAACCCACCCCCATCCCCGCTGTTTTTTTTGGGAGTCATAACTGTGTATTGTGTCTGTCACATTGGAACCTCGGAAAATTCTTGACGAGTGTAAATTTATAGAGAAATCAATTTTTGAATTCTTATACTCATATTGGATACACAAGTGTTCTTAGCTAATGCCCTCAGTGGAATTACAGTATTTTTTCTCTCTTCATCTCCTATCACCCTTCAAGTTAGATCCAATGGAGAAATTGTAACATCACATGGTTATTCAGAGATACGAAGTACTTATCCTTCTTGCAAGGGGTGAGAATCGAATCCTTCTCTCAAGGTTAGAAGAGGACGGCCTCATTCATAGATCCATATTCCATAGCATATGATTATATATAGTAAGAATTAAGGAAGGAATAGAAAGCTCAAAACATGTCTTTAAATTCCAAATGATCTAGTTACAATGAAATTATTTCTAATGGAGTACCTTACATCTCTTAGAATAAGTTTCGCCCTCGTTTTAAATACAGTATATCAGTAGTCACCACACCGACAAATCAAAAAATAATTTCGGGCCTATATCTTATATACGACTCTTCAAAACTTTACTAACTCTGTAAATGGAAAAAGAAATGTGATGAAATGATTAGAGTGAGCACTAGGAATGTGCACAATCAATTACAATAATAGATGTGTAACTTTATGCTGGTCCTTAAAAATAAGGTGATACCTAATAAATTATAGCTAACCTTGTTGCCACTATTGGTATTGGACTATTGGACAATAGGCAAACAAAAGAAATAGAAGAAAAGATTAAAGAAGGCCGACCATTATAGTCATGCCTTAGGGCCAACGCACTCGAAACCAATCACGTTTGTTACATTTTTTTAATACTACACTACATATTCTTAATCATTGACTTTGACTTTTACCCTGATTAATTATTCACCAAAAATTAATCACTTTTCAGTTTTTATTTATTTTGTACCTTTTGTCTGGTTTACTGAGGCTTGATTGATCGAATTACTTGATGAAATATGCGTGACTTTCGGCTCTAATTGTTATTATCATAATATGAAAAATAAAAAATAAAAAGAAAAAAAAAGGGTTCTTGAACATCAAATATATTTAGGCTTTGTATTGAATTATACAAGTCCATTTCGAAAAAGGTACCATCATCAAAAAATAAATATAATAACTTGTTGATATAAATCTATGAAGTTACTCATTTTTGTACAAGTTAGATTGATATAAAAGTACTTTTTTTTTATATATTTTTTTTAACGAATATAAAAATTATTATTCTACGGTGAAGTGAATAAGACTTCGTGACATAATGTTTTACAAGAAACTCAAAATGAAACTACTCGTCATTAATTATGAGAATTGTTAACATATACCTTTAGAATTGTTAAACAGACACTGTTTCATACATATTTATAATCCATATTGTTAATAATCGCAAACATTTTAAATTAATACCGGTGTTGTATGATTGCACATAGCCTTAGAAATGGCCATGAGAACCTTGCTTTAATGTCCCTTGATTTATGCTTTACTTTTAATAATACTATGATGAAATTTATGGTAATCCAAAGTCCTTATCATATGAAAAAGAAATTCTCATGCTGCTTGCCCCCTTTACATAAAGCAGACATATACAACTCTATAAAGCAAAAGATTAGAGATGCCTAAATCCCAAAGCAATCCTCCTAAATAGACAAAGACTCAGAGATCCATCATATTGTGCTTCATTTCCAAGCCTCTCTCACAAACACACAAATATTTTGTATAAAAAAAAATAACAACTTATCTTTAAAATGTTATATAAGGCAAGTACCTCAACAAACATACTCATCAAAGAAAAAATGGGCACAACAGCTCCTATTGCAATAGGCACCAGAGGGACCGTTGGATCGCTTGTCAGACGAGAGATTGAGTATTTTCGTAGGCTTGAGAGGGACTGTGGTGATACATCTAAGAAACTCGAGGCAAAAACTTATGTAGGAGTCTCTAGGAAAACTACCAGTTTACCAACTAGTCGAGTGAAGACAGCTTCATTAGGATCATTGCTGAGCATGAGCTGGAGAAAGAAGAGGAGAAGCAATAATAACAGCAGCAGCAGCAACAGCAGTAGTAATAATAATAGCAGTAGTTTTCTGCCTAGTATGTGTTCTGCTGTGGATGTCTCAGAAAGCAAGAGGTTTGGCGGGTTTAGTTATAGAAGCCTCAAAACAGATGTTAGTATTGATCCTTAAAAACTTTTCATTTATTCAGAGTTCACTATTATCCTAGGCTTAAGGCTTGTTTTCTTTCTTTTCCTATATCAGTATATAAATTTTCTATTTGTAAGTAGTATTATCATTTTAGTATCCGAAACCTTAGATGAATGATCTTTTGGTTGTTTGTTGCACAAAGCTTTAGATGATCCTTAGCTGTCTTATGACCATTTCTTGTGTTCAAAGGGATGCTTGTAATGAATCAATTTGGTGATAAATCTTTCAGAGTTTGCAATTTTCAATCTTTTATGTTCAGATCATCAGAAACAACAGGCTGGTTTCAGGTTAGTCTTGTCATGTTTCGTATCTGATTGGATTTGGATCATATTTAATTAGATTGGTGGGGATGTGCTTTCATCAGATTCAGACTAAATTGTCATTTAAGATAACAATAAGAGTTTGATAATGATCCTATTATGAAAATATGACAATCTATCCAATCCGAATTCGATTTCTCTAGTCACTTCATCACCTTACACATATATGCTTGATGATGTAAGAAATAGACCTCAACTGAGATAAGTAAAAGGAAGAAAGCTCTGTTTCATTTGTTTACTGAGATAAGTAATAGTCTTTTTTTTTGGTATCAGTTTACTGAAAGAGGAATTTGAGCATATTTGTAAAGTGCTAAATCTACCTGTATTACACTCAATTATGTTTTATAGTATAAGGTTATCATAAGTAGCAACTATAAGCGCCAATTTATAGAAATCATCATCTAAACTTACCTTCATTTTTCTTCACCATGGCTTCCTCCATGTCTATAACCCGTCTGAGCTGGGTGCTTTGTATACCACTCAGCTTTCTCTATCTAGCCGGTGGGCGGCTCACCTTCAATTCCAAGAAGATAGGCTCTGAAGCTTCATCTAAGAGCATAGTTACGGCAACATATAAACCAAACTCAAATGGTACCTGAAGTAAACTGATAAATTATAGGCATTAGTGCAGTTGCATAAACCTATTCTAAATGTATACCTTTCACCAGCATCAGATTACTCTTGGCTGGTGATTTTTCCGGCCAAACGATGTAGTTAGCTTTTTATGACTCATGGAAAGTTCAGCAACCTTGAGATGTATCAAATATTTTCGATTCTTGATCATAAAATTATATAGTCAGAATATGTCAACTCAAAATTAGACAACAAACAGAAGTAATTCTAACATTATTAGATCAATTATGTCAACCAAAAATATAGAAGAAGCTTAAAAGTTGCTCTTGAAGGAAAAAACGAAGTGAAAGCTATTGTTCTAACATTATTAGATCAATAATGTTACAGATAGTAATACTAACAAAAGTATACATAAACAACGAAAGGACCCAAAAAGGGCACGTAGTAATCAAGCTGAATCGTGTTCTACAGTATCATAACGCTTGCTTCTGTGACTGTGACTGTAACTCTCAGATGGGCCGTATGCTCGACAACACAGAAGAAAATACAGGAAATTAATCAAACTCAGAAAAGCAACCAACCAGTAATAGTAGTCCACATGACCCTTATTCAGATTGCTTGATAACCAGCTCACTTTTCCCCCAGTGCTTGTAAAAGTATCAACAAGATTAACCAAGAGGCTACCCACCACACTTGATACCGCCATTCCTAGTGTGAATATAGCCATTGCAATGCTTGACATGCTCTTAGACAGGTGAGCATAATAAAACTCTATCTGGCCAACAGCGTTAAAGGCCTCAGCAAATCCTAGCACCACAAGCTGTGGCGCCAACCACAGTGCTGACATGTTGACTACTGCATCAGGTTTATCTTCCAATCCCTCATCAATAGCAACTTTTCGTCTAATGGACTCCACTACTCCAGCAATTATCAGTGACGCACATGATAACAGTAACCCAGTTCCCATACGAACTCTAGGTCCAAGCCCGCGTGGCATGCTAAGGTACTTGGCCATCAACGGCACGACAACACGATCATAAAATGCTACCCAAAACGTAATAGTTACAATTGAAAAAGCTTGAAAAGTACCAGCTGGAATTTCAAAACCTGAAATGATCTGTCGGTCCATACTTTTTGCTTGAAGGGTTGTATAGCTGTTGTTTAGAGCTACTAGCATCATGATTCCTGTAGTCCACATAGGCATAATTCTTAAAATAGATTTAAGTCTTTCCACTCGCTCCACAGTGCAGAGGTTCCAAGGGCTTGATGCAGATCCATCTGGATTCAAGTCCCTTGCAGGATCTATAATTACGCAAGCACTGTTTAAACACCTACAAATTGCAGCAGATACAGCACAATCAACTAAATATGGATAGCTAATTACACTATTAGAAGTGTTCCACCCGTAAAAACCTAGGAAATTTGAGCTATCTTACATGGACTCTTCATTTCACCTTAAAAATCCATGTGGACAATGTCAAATAGTAGACACCCTAACATGGAAAAGGGTATTTAGGCACTTAATTGTAGACCAAAATTTATGAAAATGAAGAAGTTATCCACTAACTCATATCAATGTTGGATATATGGTAATTCCGAGTTCTATATAGCTTCAATTGAATTAGAAAACAAGAAACCACAAAGCATTGTGAGGCTGGTTGCAGAAGTATATAGACATTCAGTGATGAAGAATGTCAAACTAAACCGTAAAACACTGTGAGGTCGGTGGCAGAAGTATTCAGACAATCAGTTATGAAGGATGTCAAACTAATTAAGTGTACCTTATGTGATCACTTGGGGCAGTGACCTCAGAGTCATTTTCGCAATAGTAATGCACTTCAGCAGCATTAACAGGGAAACTAATTTTCCTTCTTCGGTATGCAGCTACTGGAACTTGAAACAAACCGAGAAATAAGTTTTCTTTGGCCTTTATATGTACATACAATGGAGAACCGAGTAGGAAGGTCACAAGAGAAAGAACCATCAAAATTGCAGGCACACCAAATCCAATTTGCCAGCCAAATTTATCTTGGATATACACAATAAATGTCAGGGCAATGATAGTAGACAATCCTGTTGAGGCATAATACCAGTTAAAGAAACTATCTAAAACCCTTTCATTATTGGGGTTCTCTTTATCATTCACTTGATCAGCCCCAAAAGCCAAGGAACAAGGTCGCACACAACCAGCTCCAATGGAGATTAGGCCAAAAGAGCCAAACAAAACAAGATATTGAAGCGAAGTAGCTGTGTCACAATCCTTACTATACTTTGCACAAGGTGCAGGTTTCATCCAAGGGATCATAGAAGTTGACCAAAGCATGATTGTTCCCTGTAGAAAATGATCACGCAGATTCTCAGTTTACTGATGCATACTGTCTGTTAATTAACAACAAGTCAAGGGTTAAGCATGATAACTTTTTTCTCCAAGAAATTCCTACAGATTTTTCAACTTAATGCTGCCCACTAACAAAAAAGGAATTCTTCTTTAGATTCAAATTATATATGAAGTCTGACAAAAGCCTATCACTGTGTTCAAGCTAGAGAAGTATTCACAATTTCCCTAACCTTGTGGAAATAACTTTAATCCACATTAGAACTCTAATGGCAATGTATAGTTTACTAAAATGACAATACATTGCTTTCATAAGAAATCTTACCATGGATCTTTCCTTTACAATATCATCTAACTCGCTTAATAGTATAATTTTCATTATCATTTACAGAGCCACAAGTCACATACTCCAATAACAGAACAAACATAGAATTTAATGTAAGGGGCCCAAAAAGCTTCTCCTAGCAAGGCAGTAGGAAAATTAACAGCATTGCAATCATATGCCGTCACAATGAGCATAAATTCAAACCAACATGTCCTACTTTATCAAATACTCTATTAACTACTTAGTATATAAATTATTCCAGGCACAAAAGAAGATAGAAATATTCAGAATCCTAATAAAATTCCCCAAAAACAGTAAGAACCCTGAATTGGAAATATTTAAAACAAGACATTAAAACAATCCAAATATCAACTTACAAGAAGGCTGCAAAAAGTCCCAAAAGCAATGACCCGAAAACGACCCAAGTAAGAATCTGAGAGAAACCCCCCAAAAATGGCCAGTACATTGGAAGAAGCAGACCATAGTGACAATATGATACTCCCTTTTGCAGCTTCCAAGTGATACACATTCATCAAGTAAAATATCATGTTGGGCAATAAACCATAGCTTGCTACCTTCTCAAATGACTCATTCACTGCCCACAAAAATCAAATTGCAAAACCAAAAAATGCAAACAACCCATCAAAAGTATAAACATTAAGCATTAATTACACAAATTGAAGCATGAATATGCTATATACTTCAGTAGTATTTCTAATCCAACAAACAGAATATACTTAATGATGCAAAACCACAAAAAAAGGCAAACAACCCACTAAAAGTGTAAACTTTAAGCATTAAATAAGCAATAATAACACTGATTAAAGCATGATTTTGGCATATATCAAAACCGTCAAAACAAAGAATATAATCCAAAGCAACTAAATTCAAAATTTCCAAAATCAGAAAGAAGTATAAGCTAATTAAAGAATTGGGAAAATGCTTAAATAGAAGAAATTAAGTTGTACCAATTATGAAAGGCAGAGTAAGTAGACCACCCCTTCTTCTGGGTTTAGGGGATTCATGATGTGAGTTCTGATTATTTAATAATAACGCCCTTTCTTCCTCTTCTACACTTTCATCAATCGCCATTTTTTGATTTCTTGTAGTTTCAGAAGTTGCCAAAAAAAATGATATTGAGCAACTGGAAGATTATATAGTGATGAAGATTTAATTTGAAAAGAATTTGATATTGTGCAAGAAATTAGAATCCAAGTCAATAGGATTGTGAATACGACCGCCTTCGCAAGAATTTAATTACACATAGCGTGGCCCTCGTGGTTTCTTTGGTAGCCAGTACAAATTATAAATTTTATGTCATGTTTTTCTGTAGCTCTATTCTTTATTTCAGATATAAAATGGGGTCAAGAGATGGCCTATGGGTGGGTCTAGGCTGGGTTGGGTTGGGTTAAGTTCGATGTAAGTTGGGATGGGGCATGGCAAAACCCGAGGTGGGACTGGGTTGGTTGAGGCCCGCCTAACTTTGGCTGGTTTAAGGGTTGATCGAAACATGTACGAGTTGAGTTGGATTGAGTGATTTATGGGTTAGGAAACGGATTTGGGATTTTTATTTTTTTATTTTTTTGTTAGGAATTAGAATCTAAGCCAATAGGATAGTGAATACAACCGTCTTCGTGTGATTTAATTATACAAAGTGATACAATCGTGGCGTTGCTTGTACTAGCATAAACTACTCATGAAGTGTTGTTTTTTTTTGCTCATCTTTTATTTATTTCGTATATGGAATTGTCAAGAGATAGCCAACATGTCGAGTTGGGTTGTGCTCGTTGTGTGTTGGGATGGGCCATGGTGACACAGATAAGACCACCGGGTTAGTATGGGCCGACACAACTTGGGCTGCTTTGTGGGTTGATTGGATTAGGTGTTTGGTTAGATTGGGCATTTTATGGGTTAGGAAGCGAATTTGAGTCTTCCCTTTTTTTGTTTATAGTTGGGAAATTTAGTTTAGGTATTTGGTTAGGTGTTAGGTTATGAGTTTAATGAGTCAAATCAATTAAAAGCTAACATTTATTGTTAATTTTGTGAATAGATTGTGAATAATCAATTATATTCTAATGATAGTTTAACTCAACGAAACATTTGAAATGAGGTGATTATAGAAAGTTGATAGCCCATTCATCTAGCTACCAACAACCTAATTGTCTTGTGACTTGATTGTGTGTTTCAACAATTAAGGGACCAATTCTACGTATACCATTTAAAAAAACGCGTATTTCTTAGTTATGAGTCACGATTATTATACAAGACGAAATAATCATACCGATATACGGAGTAGATCGGTTGTAATGATTTCTCCACCTACAGAAAAATCAAAAAATTATCACACATTTCAACCATTCTCAAAGAAAAGGGTTTAGCTATGAATTTAGCTTGAATCATTTAGTACCAAATAGGAGTTTAAGAAACAAGTTCATATCATAATAAACCCCTTTAATAATCTATTAATGTTCATTGAGGGAGAAATTTTAATTTGCCTACAATCTACATGCTCTAGCATTTCATAAACACAAATGAATGGCCCAAAATAGGCAAAATCTACACCACAACATTCATATCACGCATTACTATCCGGCATAGGAAGAGGGTGACTAGTTTCGAAATGCCGGTTAGGCGAGGACTCATCTATATCTACCACATAACCATGTTGGTGCACCTTCTTATCATCATCTTCATCTTCATCTTCATTTTCATCGTCTTTATGATAATCTTCCTCATGATCATTCTCCATGTCTTCCTCTTCGACAGCATGTATGATGACAGAATTCCTAGGGCTTTCATAGTCATCTTCCGGTTTCGATAGGAATGCCAAGGCAGTTACAACATCACTAATCAAAGGTCTTGTGCTAGCTTCTTCTTGTAGGCACATTGCTGCTACTGCAAGGGCTTGATACAAACTTTTCACTGGATACTTGTCTTTTAGTAGTGGGTCTGCCATCTTTGTGAACATCTTTCTATCCTTAAAGAGTGGTTGTGCCTACAAGATGGTGAAAAATTACGCGTTATAAACTTCAACATGAGATAAACAGGTATAGTTTATATGCATAGTAGAGCTGATCATGGGTCGGGCCATATAAGGTTGTAGTACAACCATTTTTTGCCAAGCCCAAATCCACAATATTCAAGAAAGGAGGATTGGGTTAGGTGAACTATGACCAAATTAGGTTTAGAACGCTTTTAAATCCAATATATCCTACACAAAAACTTGGAATGGAAAATAAATTAGTTTTGAGACTTTTGACTAATAGTACTAACCTAGATGTAATAAAAATAATTGTGTAATTTTACTGAAGTGAAATTATTTTTACTGAACTTAAATTATTTTTACTGAACTCAAATTAATTTTACTGAACTGAAATTATTTTTGCTAAACTGAAATTATTTTTACTGATTTTCTATTATAATTCTTCTTTAATAAAACTGAACTTTGTTGAACTGAACTTATTTTTACTAAACTCAAATTATTTTTACTGAACTGAACTTATTTTTACTGAACTGAAATTATTTTTACTTAATATTATTTTGTAAGGTGAAGAAAACAGGGCCTTAATGTAACAAATTTTTATGATTTCTGCTAATAGATAATTAAACATAATAACTGTCAAAGCCTCTACAAATTTGCAAAACAAAAAATTGAAACAAATATAGCAGAGTTGCTAGTTTAAGAAGTTAGACATACCCAAGAAATGAGGTTTTGTTCAGCTGTTGGTTTAGTAGTATCAACAGCTCTCCTTCCTGAAATGAGCTCAAGGAAGACAACTCCAAAGCTATAAACGTCGGATTTTGTGGTGAGCTTACCAGTCATGGCATACTCGGGTGCACAATATCCGTACGTGCCCATGACTCTAGTCGAGACATGTTCTTTGTCCCCAGTTGGACCAATTCTAGCTAGCCCAAAGTCTGAGAGTTTAGGATTAAATTCTTCGTCTAATAGGATGTTTGATGCTTTAAAATCGCGATATATCACTGGTGGTTTGCTAGTCTCGTGCAAATACTCGAGCCCCTTGGCAGCTCCCTCGGCTATCTTCATCCTTGTCTGCCAAGACAAGGGCTCCGTGTTCGGAGGAAGATCTAGAATAGGTGTCAATAGACTAGTCAAACAATTGACTCGGCCTGCTAAAATCCGACCAAAAATAACTTGATAGCCCGTGTAAATTTATCTAAAAAATGAACTATTAAGCTAACAAATAACATATTGTATAAGATCCAATAGATTATATGAACTTGAGAATGAAATTGACTCAATCTAAACCTGATCATTTTAAATAAAGATTTCGATAACCCTAAAAAGTGGGTAATGGAAACAAAACACGAAAGGTACGAATGACACGTCTAGCTACATAAAGATTAAGAATGCTACATGATTATACTAGAAGATTGCAACTATTAAGAAATTGATATTACCTAAAAGATGATCTTCCAAGGATCCAAAAGCCATATATTCATATACTAAGATTCTCTGATCACCATCTGCACAATATCCAATCAAATTGACAAGATTTGGGTGATCAACAAGGCTTAACATGAAAACCTCTGATAGAAATTCTCTGTTTCCTTGCAGTCCATTCCTGTCAAGCTGCTTCACTGCCACAACCTGATTCAAACAACAACATATCTAAAAAATTAAAGATCATTCATCCATATTCGCGACAAATTAAGCTGATATACATTGGTTTTTCACAAACGTATGATTCTAGACTAATCATAATACTTTCGTTTCTTAAAATTGCAATTGTTTGACCAACACATTTGTCAATACACAGCTTAAACATTAATATTTAATTAAAGCTTGGTTTAATGAAAACATGTTGAGACAAATCTGACTAACAACATTCATAATACGTTATCAAAATTCGTGTACTAAAAATGCAGAAGTCAAGGTGTTGCAATTTTTTTTAAAAGGAAGTACGACATTACCTTGTCTACACCTTGAAGGTAACCTTTGTACACCCTCCCAAATCCGCCTTCACCTACGAGATTATCAATGCTGAAGTTATTGGTCGTGTTAGCCATTTGTCGAAATGTGAATGTTTGAGCTGCTGAAATCTTTTGGCCGGAGATTGATCGGTCAGAATACTCAACCGTTTGTTGTTTCTTCTTACCTATGACATACATTGATACACAAGAACACAAATATGATTATATGATACCAAAAAAAGTTTGGGACTCTTGTTAGAATTGAATAAACAAAAAAAGTCAATATTATACAAATTAAATTAGGCAATAATTATTTCTTTGGGTGTTGCTTACATTAATTTGACATGATCTAAGATCATCATCATTCTTCATTTTGACATTACACATAAGGCATTCGGGTTATAAGGTGTTCCGGTCAATTTAGATCATATACAAATATATTGTCTTTTCTTGTCAATATAAATCTATCAATATTATATACTACGTATTAATTTAATTTTAATTTGATTTGGGTTTTAATTGGATATTCAAAAAAAAAATGCAAAAAAGGAGGAAACACGTTCTTAACGCAAAAAATACATATGTACATGAATCATCATCCCTAAAATCATAACATATTAACATACAAACCAAATAATTTAATCATCATGTTTATTTCATGTAAGATAATTTTCAAAATAATTAAAGTTTGAAAAACATAATTAATTAGCATTTTGAAAAGAAAAAAAAAAGAAAAGAAAACCTTTTGTAGTAGTTCTGAAAGAGAAGGTCTTAACAACGGTAGCAATAGACATCTTAGCATGATAATTCCCGTTATTATTCATAATGGCTCTCTTACCACTCCTCCTCCTCCTCCACCTGTTGCTCTTCCTCGGCGTCGACACGAGGCTGCTACTGCTGCTGCTACGGCCTTCCTCGTCGAGGATTTCCGCCCTGCAGCAGCCTAGAAAGATCATCTTCTTTCAGCTTATTATGCCCTCCTTCCTTAATAATTATTTTCCTTCAAAAATGCAAACACCCCAAACTTAACTTTTCCTCCTTTAGCTTTTTATCATTAACCATTCATTACTATATCAATTTCCCTCCTTTAAATTTTATTATATATAATAAAAATTAAAAACCCTCTTTTTTCTCTAACTTAATTTTATTAATAAATACAAATATTTCCCATTTTATTTCCATTTATAATTAAATTGAAACAGTTGGCATATTACAAGTCTAGGCCTGCAATTTTTGTTTGTTACAACATTACAACTATGTATTGGCTGCACGACCATATGTATGTGATTAGGTTGACAATTTGTTTTTTTAACTGAATTAATTATCTCATCTATTTTATTTTATTTTTTTCCTTTTTTATTCATGTTTATCTCTTTTTTTCCGTAAACTTTTAACTTTTATTGGATGATTTTTTAACTAAGGTGTATTATATCTGATCTTGGTCAACCTCGTGTCAGCATCATCCTAATAGAGATTAATTATTTTTAATGATCATTTAATCGTTCATGCATGCATGTACTTACTTAATTAAGTAGATACATGATCAAATGATTATTATTATATACTTGCAAAAAAAAGGCTTTAAATTTATGTAAGTTGAATTAAGACTGTATTAGTATACAAATTATTTAAAAATTAGTGTATGTATGGTGCAAAGAAATGAAATAAAATGGTGTAATAAAAAACGTACTCCCTCAGTCCCTAAATTACATTTCTCTTTCTCGCATTTATTCCTCACATAATAGAGAGAATGAGGAATGTAATTTAGGGACAGAGGGAGTAACATTATTTCATCTCAAATTCTTGATCATTATTTCATATTTGATTTACATAATTTACATCCCCCACCCCTCTCTAATTTGACCAAATATTTAAATAACAGTCAAAAATAAATAAACAAATAGATAAATAAATAGTAGTCTAACAACATTATAGCAAAAGGTCGGAATTAGAGCATGGTACAAGACTAAATGTATATTGTATACACGACTACATTAATATAAAAGACTAGAATAATATGTGTAGCATTATTGTCAATGTTGTGCGATTAATTACTAAATGAAAATTGATGTTTGTTGGAAAGTTCTAAGGTTTTTGTTTGAGTAATTGCATAGGTGGTTTTAACTTATAAAATCAGTTTGGAACAGATGAGCCATAAAAAATATACCGTACCGAGTATATACGTATTGACATCATGACATATATGAGTAGTACTAGGGTCAAGGGAATTGAATGATCAATTTGATAACTTAGTAGCAATAAGTCAACAATTTACTATTTTATCAAGGGACAAGATTCTATTTTGATCACTTGAGAAAAACAAGTTAATATAAAGGCCATGTTTGACAAAATTAGCAATAGCAAGTAGCTTCTCATCAACTGAACCGGTGAATTATCTGTTTCACCCGTGGGTGATGGATGGATGGATCGAGTGGGGTGGATGGAGGCAGGTGATGGATCCGGGTGATGCTCCACTCGCCTCAAACCCGATCCATTTCCATCTCTACATGATAGTCATATTTCATATTATTTATTGGGTTTCTTATTCTATTCGCAACTTTTAAAGTTTCACCATTTAAAAGTTCACTTTAACCTAAGCATATACGAAGTAATCATTAAAATAATTACATCATTTAGATACCACATAGATTCACTTTCATTTAACGATAGATGTAGCTCGCATGATTTACACCCCTATAGCACGGTCCGACCTGACATGAAAAAACCATAGCCCATGCACGAAACACATAGACATAGATATGTTATCATGTCGATTCATGCGTATTTGGTCGACCCTATAACATCATACGAGTATTTTTTTTACTAGCCTTGTCTTTTCGAAAAATTTAACACGACACGTAGATAGTGAACCAAGCTATCGACGGAGCCTAGCCGATTCCGAAATAAATGGGTTTGACACGAGGCACGCCCCATAGAAGCCACAACCATGTATGTAACTTCTTGTCTACATTTCTTCCTAATCTAAGCTTCCAACTTATGACTAATGGAATAAAAATGGATAGCTAGTCAACCACGTGTTGTGCCACCTCTCATCTTCTTCTTCCCATCTAAAAAACCCTGCTTAAACCTCCATTTTTTCTTTCTTTCTTTCTTCCTCCCCAATTAATTTAATCACTTGTTAATTTGTTATTACAAACCCTAATTTAAATTACACTTTAAATTAACTGTTCGAATTTTTTTTAAAAAAAAAACAATTCAATTCAATTCAATGCTCAATTGATCTTCAAGCTCAACAACAATGGCGATCTTCAGATCCCTTCAGAAGATCATCAAGAACCCTAATCTCAAAATCATCTCCAAAATCAAATCCCAGCAACCATTTTCTCGAAACCCTTTTCTCTCTCCTCTGCATTCCCAATCTCGCTTTCTCTCTCCTCTTTCCTCTGACGTCATCATCTCCCCTTCATTCTCTCTCTTCAATGGACCCCTCTTCCTCTCTTCATCTCCATGGATGCTCTCTCAATCTGCAACCCCACTTCTTGTTCGAAGCGACGTCGTTTTACCCCGTAGCTTGAAGATTCTGCAGAATGCTAAATTAGGGTTTCCGATCAATTTAGGGTTTGTTAAGCCTTCTTCGGATGCGAGGGTTGAGAGAATTGATGCTAAGGATGATGTTAATGGCGGTGGTTTGGTTGATAGCATTGTCAATTTGCCTAATTTCGTCTCGTTTGCGCGGTTGCTTTCGGGTCCTTTGCTCGGTTGGTAAGCATTTTAAGCTCAATTGCTCTTGAATTAGCTAGAATATCTTCAATTTTGCTTTGTTTTTGTAATTGTGTTGTGTTAAGAACTACTATCAAGATTCAAGAATATAACTTTTTAGCACTATTAGAAAGCTACTATGATCACTTTTGGTTGTGGATGAGCTACAATGGCGATACAAATTACAAATGGGGGAAGAAGTTTCGAACTTGTGACCTATCGTACACATGCCCTTATAACACTAGGCCAAGACCTCATTGGTTGATCATTATTATTTGTGACAAACTATTATTTCAACATTGTGGTAAAATAGTAAGTACTAGTATATGCCTAGATGCCCTATTAATTTCAAATTAGAGAGTGTCATACTCTTATTAGAATGATACGGAGTATAAAGTTTCTGTAAGCTTTAACCCAGGATATGAGTTTATGAAGAAGACTAGACAAATCTTTGTCCAGTCGCAAAGTTTCATTTGTGGCTTTATGTGGCCTAGGGGGGGATAGCTATGGTGAGTTTGTTGCCGGTTTCAATGAACTCTATCGCAATTCACAATACTATAAATAAAAAGGGCTATAGTCCTGTGGAGACTGTTGTAAAGGCAAGGGTATGGTGTAGAATCTGTAGATTTTTTGTAAAACCACAGTAACATGTATGCAATTTTGTTATGTAAATGAGAGTAAGAGCAGTCAGAAATATGTTGAACTTATGCACTTATTGGATTTTGGCTTGATTGTCTTCATAACTTATGTTGAACTTATGCTTGCAATAAGTGTTTACCTTCATACCTTTGGCTAGTGCTAATTTCATGCTGTCTTTTGTTGGTCCGGAGGATTGGGGAGGTTTTTGACTGATTGACTGGAGGATAAAAAGGAGGTTTTAATGTGTGATCTGAACATCTGATTATGTGCAGGATGATTGTAAATGAATGGTATCTTCCGGCATTTGCAGGATTAGCCATTTCTGGTGCTTCTGATTGGGTGAGAATGTCTTTCAATCTTGTGTCATCAGATTTTTTTTATGATCAAGACCTAAGTCTTTTTGTTTATGTAGCTGGATGGATTTCTTGCCAGGAAGATGGACATTAATTCAGCTGTTGGCTCCTATCTAGATCCTCTTGCAGATAAGGTAAAGGAGCTATAATACTCTCTTAGTCTCTTCCAAAGTTTCAAGCTTCATTCTTTGAGAAATTTCACACACAATACATATAAGAATGATACACTACAGTTCTCTCTTCCAAGCTTCATTCTTTGAGAAATTTTACCCACACAATACACAAAAGAATGATACATTTGTCCACTTATCTTAAAGGTCTGCAATTATGCATTTTGGTGGTACAGGTTTTAGTTGGATGTGTTGCTGTGGCAATGGTAGAGAAAGGTCTTCTACATCGTAAGTGACCTATCTGTTTACATGTGGGTTAGGAAAAAGAATGATGATCCATATTTCGTATGTAGGCTCTGTTCAATGCTTGCATTTCTTTTTAGGGATAGCAGCAATAGCTTAGTAAATAGTTATCTCTGTTCTAAATTAAATTACAGCCTCCTTGATACTTTACAAATAAGAATGTTATAAGATTTTTATGAAAGGAATTGCTTGTTTGGTTTAGTTTGAGTTGCAAATGTCATCCCTTCTGCTCCATTTGATGTTTTATCTACTTCTATGGAATTTTCGTGCCTTGAGGAATAGAACCCAGAATCCAAATATAAATTGGAGTCAATATGTCTTATTAAATTTCCCATTTTCTGGTTCCTGAAGATTTATAATTTTGTGATGCTTCAAGTGTTACCGTTGTGGTCTTTATTTGATGAACCATTTGAATCAAGTCTGGGATATGCCTTTGAATTAGTCCTATGCCATTCATGGGTAATTTGTTTGGTTCAAGTATATGCATAAATATTCTTGCTATTGGGTGTAAAATCACACACACAGAAAGAAGAACATAACTCAGTAGTGTTTACTTGTTTGGAGAACTAATTATGAAGCTTTGGTGATAATGTGAAGCCGGGCTTGTTAGCATAGTGGTGCTGCGGGACGTAATGCTTGTTGGCGGTGCTTTCTACAAAAGAGGCAGTAGCTTAAGCTGGCAGGTCAGTCTCCTCTCATGAATTGGTAGCTTTTGTCAAGGGGGAAAAATATATATTTTGCTGCTTTACAAACAGAGATCTTTGTACAGTGGAAGAGTTGGTATGATTTCTTCAACATTGATGGAACGCGTCCTGAAAAAATTGAACCTTTATTCATCAGCAAGGTGAGTCTTTTGGTTTTTGTGGAGCTCAGTTCCCGCTTCCTGGATTGTGTTATGGGGCATGTGTCCTTTTCAGGCCATGACAAGTCTTTGTGCAGGTAAATACATTTTTCCAGATCATCTTAGTCGCTGGTGCCTTGCTGCAGCCTGAACTTGGGACTCCTGAGACACAGACATATATCAAATATCTGAGGTATATTGGTGAAAAAGTATTGTTGTTTATACCATTTGGTTAACATGAGCTACTAAGCAAAGCTGGATATATGTTATTTGGTGCAGCTGGCTTGTGGCTTCTACAACAGTGGGGTCAACTGCAGCATATGGAGTGCAGCACATGAGGAACAGATCACTCTCTAAAGTAAGGAGTCGTTAAGGTGGAATATTCACCGCTTCACTCTTAAAGTTGTTGAATGGTTCCGCTTGATGGAAATGATGTGCACTATGCCAAGGTCGGCCTGCCAGACTCTTCTCTACGTCATGCATTAATATTGACTCGGAGTTTGTTCTTTTCAAGCTCACTGGGTAGTAGAGAGTGGATCATTTTTGAGATCCTGAAAGCTGTAGCGATGATCAGACTCCAACCTCTCGAGCTGCAAGGGTTTTAACGAGTGAGGACTGATTACAAAAGAAATGGTAATTAGTCCTCCTGTCCTGTACTTTGCCCTTTTGTAAATTAATAGTTTAGACTGTAGATGCAGAGTAAAGAAATGTAAAAGGGAAGATGTACTATTGGTCTATTGTCAATTTGTCAAGAGTACTATTCCATTTGTTGTTCTCTGGATTTCATGAGAGTATCACAAAAGAAAACTCCAGGATTTTTGCTTTTTCTAGTATCTTCTAATTTTGAATAATGATTACAAAAGCTCTTAAAAAAAATGCAAAGCTGTTTTTAACAGGTTGAAACCAAACAAAAACATATTTTGAACATCAATAATATGGTGCCAAGTTGAAAGCATAAAATTCTCTTCCACTTTACATGAGATCTCGCATGTAATGCTCTACTCACACAAAGGTGTGCACATTACAGAATTCGGAATTCCAGCCCCCTTTCTCTAACAAATCACTTGAAGACTAGTGTGTGCGACTCGCTGACTCCCTGAAGCTGTAGAGGTGTTAATGGTAGATCTTTGTATCTCAATAGCTATAATAATCACCTCAGCTAAGGAAGTACTGGAGTAATACAAATTACAAAACATGCTACACAAAGCTGTTTAAAAATAATCGTCTACAAAATAGCAAAACTGTTTGTATATGTTCTCTAGCTAGATTTCACAAATTATTGCTGCTTTCAGAACAATAATTAGAACAGCAGTGATGAGAGTGGCCATTCAAAAAGCACCATCACTAGGTCAACAAAGAAAAGATTCTAAGGAAACATCAGTAAGCAAAATGAGCTAATGACCTTATCTTATGTCGAAAAAGCTTAGTATCCAGGCTTAAGAACCAAGAGGAGCTTTTACAAAATACGAAGTAGTATCCAAGCAGACATCTCGGCTACAATGTTATTAATTGTATGATATCCAACAAAGCATGTGAAGCTTTAGTCCCCTCCTACTGTGATAGCTTCTCTTCAGTTTCTTTCCAAAGATCAGCATTGTTTGGGAATTTCCCCTTCATTAGAGCAACAAGCTCCTTAGCTTCATCAGCCTTTGATACGCTCACCAGACCGTCCACAAGAGATTTCATGGTAGTAAAATTCGGGACCCAATTCTTCTCTATACTCTCCTTGGCAATCTGCAATGCAGTTTCGTAATCACCACCTTGGCACAAGAAGTATATAAGAGTGAAGTAGCAATTAGTGTCTGGTTTACATCCATGGTTGATCATTCTCTTAAACAACGCCTTTGCGTCCTCAAGCTTCCCTTCCCTACAGAACCCATGGATCAAACTAGTGTAGGTATTTGAATTCGGCTTGATATGCCTTTCAAGCATCCCATCTAACAGAGCCTTAGCCTCAAATGACCTTCCCAACTTACACAAACTCTGGATCCTGACATTATATGTGCTGAGCCCTGGTTTCAGTCCATGCTCTTTCATTAATTCTAGAACTTTTCCCACATCCTCAAACTTCTGCTCCTTGTAAAACCCAGAAATCATATTAGTGAATGTTGTTGCATTTGGCTTGAAATTTTTTCTCCCCATCTCAGCCAAGATTGAATAACCTGAAGTCGACTCACCCGCCTCACAAAAAGCCTTGATCACAGTATTATAAGTTTCAATATCAGGCTGAATGTTATACGTTTTTGGAAAATCCGTAAAAATTCTCTTGACCTCGTTATTTTTCTTAGCAATAATGCAAGAAAACAACAAAGCATTGAGTGATTTGACAGTCCTATGTATACCCAGTTCTTCCATTTGCTGAAAAGTATCAATGGCATTTTGAAGCATACCTGCAAAACAGCATTGTTCATCAGTTAGTTGGCCAAAAAAAAAAAGATAAACTGGAACTTCGGGTCTAGACATCTAAATTAGAAATAAACACACCGTGTTCTAAATTTCTTATCACCTCAAGTTCACTTATCTGAACAGATCTTAACCTATCTCAACATATCAAAACTATTAACTGTTTGTTTGGACAGCAAAGTGGAAGAGAAAGGAAAGGGAGGGAAGAAGAAAGAAGAGGGGGGGGGGGGATAGAATGGGAGGGAGAAGGTAACATTGGAGGGATTTGGTTAATTAGAGTCTTTAGAGAAGGAGGGGAAAATGAATCCTTCCATTTCCCTTCCCCTCCCCTCCCTTCCCTTCCTTCCCCCCTATCAAAAGGTATCCAAAGAAGGGAGGATAAATCCATTCTTATCTCTTCTCTTCCTTTCACTCCAATTCTCTCACTCCAAACAATGTGTAAAACTTACCAAATTTATCAGAAACTTGATGCAGTTGCCAGTTATAAATTAACTTGGGTGACCCCCTATTGAAACACATCTGAAACGTAGATTATACTAAGGTATCCCTTTGAAACCTATCTGCACTTATAAATTTATTAATGTCCCTATTTGAACTAAATGATAGTCTCTTAAGGTGAAAAGATTTGAATTGTTTAACTGACCCACGAATGCCCAGAAAATATTGAGTTCTGAGCTGTCAGATTGACATAGCCTTCTTTACTCCATCACATCGGCAAGTTTCAGAGTTAAACAAAATCTGAACATCAAGATTAAGAACCATCACCGAAATTACTCCATCGCGTACCCTTGTATACCTCCATTTTTTATCACCTTAATAATTGCATATTTGATCTCATTCTAGCTAGCCCAAACAATAGACTTTCCCTCTTAACTGTGCTATGTACTTATATCATTATATGTGAAAGCCCTCATTTAAAACTATCTTTCAGAGCCAAATTCAGCCAGAACAATGTAACTGAATCACAAAGTTCAAACATTATAAATTTCCCACCATAGTCATCTCCCGAATCCTGTTCCAACCCCATTCAACTTCACCCAACACACACATCAGTCCAAACTGACAAATAAACCCAGAAACCTAGTTTTGGCATCTAAAAGGGATTTCAATTCACAGTTCAGATCAATTCAATTTGCAAATTTGTTCATAAAAAGCTGTTAGAAGCAGTAATGTCATCACTTCTATCGTTGAAGGTAAAATTAAGTCTAACCCACCTTCAACCTCAAGGAATGAACAGAATATATACATTATCCAACTCCTCATAATTTGACTTTGCACTGACCCAACACACTACTCAGCAAAAATTATAACTTTGAAACAATACTGAGGAATTAAATTCAAATTCATCAAACTAGCAGCAAATTTGAAGCTAAACCAAGAATTTACACATTTCTAACAAAAATAATTGATTAATTACTCAATTCATCATTTCCAATACCCAAATCCAATTCTAAATCAAACACAAAACAATATTTTCCTATTAATTCATTCCTCAATTCATAGTTCTAGCAACAACCCAAATCAACAATATTGCTTAATAATCTAATAAAATGAAGAAATTGATAAGAAAATGAAGAGAAACGTTTCATACCAGCTTGCCCATATAGTACAATAGAATGTGAAATGAAACGTTCGTTTCGCAAATCTGGGCGTTTCTTAAGATCCTCAATAAAAACGCGAATACCCTCGAAGTAATTCGATTCAGTGAGCTTAGAAACGGCGACAGAAAAACAGATGCGATCAAGGTGAGATTCAGGGGTTAAGGAAGCTGCTCTACAAATGTCGAGGATTTTTTCTGGGTTTTTCTCGGTTTTTAGGAGAGAAAGAGCTGCCCTAGATTTCTCTTTGCTTGTTAAGATTGTTTTGGAATCCGAGCTTAGGATTGATGAGGGAGATAATGAGTAGTTTCGGAGTTGAAGAATTGATCTTGATCGAAATCTGGCGAATAACGCCATTGTTGAAGGTTGAAGAAAGGTTGAGGAGAGAGAAAGAATAGGGTTTTAGTTTTGGCTTTCGGGGGGTTTATGAAGTTTTATGGAGGATTGGGTGCTACTCAAGTGGAGTTGGCGAGTGACTAGTGAGGGTGTAATTGATAGACTCGTAACTCGTTGCACTTAAATGGATACGGAAATAGCACACTTTGAACTCAGAGAAATTTGGACAGATAAAAATATGAATATTGTAGAAAATAAATTTTTGTTGACTTGCTAGCTTAGGAGAGAAATTTTGTGTGATTTTTATGTAAGAGATAAGGTTTTTTTTTTATTCGAATGAAGATGCATTATATACAAAGAAGAAAAAAAAAACAGAAAAATAAACCACACGCACACAAGTCTAAAGGAAATAAACTAAACTGCCTACGGAGGGATTAGACGTGGCAAGGTCACACCTCGAATATCCTCCTGTAAAATACGACGAAGTTCCGCCGGAACATTATTATTGAAAGATTCTAATTGAGAGTCTTGAATGGCTCCGCGGTTGGCCAACCAATCCGCCGCTTTATTGCCTTCTCGGAAAATGTGCACCACCTTAACTTGCCATCGATCATCATTAAGTAGCTCGAGGCATTGCCGAATGCCGTGGATATTTTCACCATAGGCCACCTTATGCGTATGTAACGCATGAACACAGGCTTGATTATCGAGCTGGACTTCAAGCTTATCGATTTGTAGATTCCTGGCTATCTCCAATCCCCTTACAAGAGCCAAAACCTTTGCTCTAAAGGCAGTATTATACCCAAAGTTTGCAGCGAATGAAGCTATCTGATTCCCTGCATAATCTCGAATAATGACACCCTTCCAGTTGGTCCAGGGCACCCCTTAGCGGCCTCATCACAATCAACATACCATCCATAGGGGGGATCATCATTAAGATATAAGGTTCTAGTAATAGATTATTGCTAATGTGGTAAATTCGTAAACGGTTGTGTCTCTAAATATCTTTTATTATTTATGTGTTCAAAAAATGAGAAAAGAGAAAACTTCATATTGAATGTAAGAAATGCATTGAAATTGTTAACTTGCAAATGGATATAGTACGTCACCTATATAAAGTGTTTATATAACTAAAAATCTCATAAACACGTAAAAGCTAATAATAGTCTAATTGTAAACACAAATTTTGAGTCTGCGAAATAGTCAAAATAAATGCAACAAATATAACTTTTATTAATATAATAAATTTGAGTACAATCTCTAATGTAATCCACTGATTCGATTTCCACGCTACGTCGTTAAATGGCTCGATTTGTTGTAGTTGAAACTGGAATTCCTTGATAGAGGGCCGAAAAGGCTTGATCTCAATCAAGGTTGGTCTTCTAGAATGGAACGACACGTCTGGTGCTTGTTGTTCTTCTTCTAGCTCTTGAGATTGGTTTTTCTTAGAGAAGTTTAGAGAGGGTTTTTTTTAGTAGAGAGGTTTTTCTCTAGATTTTTCATGTGTGTGAAATGAGGGAGGAGAGTTCTATTTATAGAGTTCTCCCAAGCTAGGGTTTCAAGATGACCACTGAATGGGCCTCATATCCATTTCCACCTCATTTCATAAATGACTCATTTAAATTAAATCAAATCCATTTTGTTGGACTTTATCATTAATTAAATGAGTTTAACTAAAATAAATAATACGGGCTAAAATAACCCATATTAATTATGTAGTCAATATATTCAAGTCAATAATTTGACTTTGACCTGAACAATGTGTAACGACACTTGATAAAATTTCTGTGCCTACACTAATACATCTATATGTTGCAAAATTTGCATATCCAATGAACCATGAGCATTTTGACAAAGAATCAACTTTTCAATTTTTTTATTTTTTTTTCTAATCCCACGATTAATCTAGTTAGTGAATGCAATTGTGCATTAGATAATGCGTTTGTTTCATTACGTGTCCCTAATATACATGAAAGAGAATACTTCAATTACATGTAAGAAATGCAACCAATTTAGGATACGATTTCTAATACAGTAATTAAAATTTAAAATCTTACAACTTTTGCCAAAAAAAAAATAAATAAATGAAAATAGCAGGTTACATCCAACTCATAAAATCAAATAAAATAAATGAACCAAAAAAAAATGAAAAAAACATCCGTTTAGGATCGGGGGTTTGAACCCGACGTGAATCGAACACGCAACCTTCTGATCTGGAGTCAGACGCGCTACCATTGCGCCACGGATCCTGTTGCTGATTAATTAGCTTGCTTAATCAATATTACAAGACACTAATTACTATTTACTGCAGTAATTTTGTTATTATTCCTAAATTACTTTCGCATTGGACTTTATATAATAAGATTTATTATCAGATTGGATTTAATATCAATCGCTGATTGAATTTGCTATAATTCTTGTTTTACAGGATTATGATGATTCATGAATATGATTATATTATTGAATTTAAACTATCTCTGTTAATTTAAGGCTATTTATTCTACAATTTATGAGTAAATATGAGATTGTATTGTGAAGCGATTACGTGTTTGGCTCGTATATACTCCATATGTGATTATAATTTATACATTCTCATACAATTTATAAAACTTTAACAAGGTGGTTTCAATGCTCAAATATTATCATTTTGTTCAAAATAGGGACTTTGAATCTTTGATCTCTTTCATGATTCCATGACTGTCTAAATAAACAAGACCTCACACAATTTTTTTTAGTCTAGTTTTTACATGACAGACGTTTGGAAGTGAGAGGGGGGCGATAAGAGATCTTCACCATCTTCATCCCCAAAAATTCTACTACCTTGTGAAGTAATGATCTCAAGTTACAAAATGGTTTACCCAACCTTGTTTAGTACTCTATACTATACAAAAACCCTTTTTTTTTTCTTGGTAAGATTAAAAAAAAAAAAAAAATTCTATTCAACGTGCACCTCTTAGGCTCTTACATATTAAGGGTATATTCTCTTCAGCTTAATTTTAGTTCAACTCCAATCACTTCAGTTCATTTCTTAATTTCCTTCTCTCATAAACAATTCAGTTCAGTTTAGTTTAGTTTAGTTTAGCTCCAATCAATTGTGTTCAACTCCAATCAGTTCAACTCAGTTTCGTGAATAAGAAGAGGCCCTAAGTCAACTCAATTACAGTCAACAATTTAGAGTACATGAAGGAGGAAAGAAAATCCCCTAGTACCCCTACTCCTAAACAATTGCAATACGTTATGGAGTATACATATATCCTTATGTATTTAATAATACTGTACGAGTATTCAAATACTACTTCCGTTTTTAATTTGTTGACACGCTTTGACTTTGGCAATGTTCACACACTTTCTTTTGACCGTGTTTTGTGATTTATACGTAATGAAAAACATAATCACGTGGGATCTTGTTAAACTCGTCACGATATATATATTTTCAAAATATCAACTTTTTAGAACTTTTGCTTATAAATAATTAGAGATATTAATGATTGAATTTCAAGAAACGTGTCAGCTAAAAAGAAACGGATAAAGTATTAATGTTGGACAATTGGACCAGGGAATAAAGTTTCAAAATTGAAATTGAATCTAAAATCAAAAGCTTTAGGTATCCACTAGTCAATTCAAGCATTGACCTTGCAAGAAACCCACAAGACTGGTTGGCAATAAGCTTTATTCAAAATACTGGATGCTGACTTCCACTAATCTGCAGTGATTCATCTTCTCCAACTTTTTTACCCAGAAAAAAAATATTCTGGGCAACTCAGAAAATTTTGTGGGAATCAACAATGACATCTGAACTTGAGAAATTGGTGAATAATGTTGAAATTGGAAGGTTAATTACAAGCTGGTGGAATGAAATCAATGACTCAGTTGGGTGGCAAGATGCCATCTTTTTCACTCTTTCTGCTCTTTTTACCCTTATTTCTTCTGTTGCACTGGTAAGTGGTAACTCTCTCTTTCTCTCTCTTCCCTAGAATGTTTAAATTTGTTGTTGAATGGTTAAATTTGTAGTATGCTGAGAAATTTATGTTGGGTTTTCTTTATTTTAATTTTTTATGACTAAATTTTATTGGAAAATGTGAATTTTGATTGTTACAATGATGAAAATGGTTGTGTTTGGATGATATTGGGAATTGGGATTAGTCTATGGGAGTTAGTAAATTTTTGGTAAGGGTGTAATTAATTTAAATTAAATTCTAAGTCCGATTAAAATCGAGCCGAATTATTTTGGTTTAGATTGAATGTTTTGGACTAGACTTTTTTACAAAGTTGGATTTTTGCTTTGATCATGAATTTGATAAATTTGCTCTTTTTTTTTTACTCATTCAGCCAGTTTTGTTCTGTTATATTATGGCAGATAATCTTCTGTTTAATGTTGGAAAAAGGGGGAGGAAGGGTGAGAAGAATGATAATTGGTCTAACTAACATTCTTTGAAATTTATAATGCCAAGATGTTTGTCTCTATTTAATGTATAGTGAGGAAACTTGAAAATTCGATATTCGGTGTGTTTGCCAGTGAGCTTAATGCTTGTGTTTTTTTAAAAGAGCAATGGAGGATCACTGTAATGGACTTTTGCAAAGTAACTATTTCCTGGTTGTTCTCAATTATAAGTTTATAATCTGCAGGTTCAGTTAATTAGAATCGAGTTGAGAGTTCCCGAATATAGATGGACCTTACAGAAGGTGTTTCATCTTATGAACTTCATTGTAAATGGAGGTGAGGCTAGACTCTGTATTTGTAATTTTCTGAGTACAATGGTTATTATTTGTTCCTATTTGTTTTGACAATGAGTTTTATATTTTCAGTTCGAGCAATTGTATTTGGCCTGCACAAGCAAGTATTTATTTTGAGTCCTAGGGTAAGTTTTCTTTCATACCTTAGACGTTCTTTCCTTAACGCTGGTGTTGGTGTTTTTTACACTCTATGGCTCTATGCACTGTGAATTGGTCATAATGTGATTAACAATCAATATGTATTTTGATACTGTACAAGCTAAGAAACCAAATGCAATCATGAAATTGGCAGTACAATTAGTCTATCATTCCATCCATCGCTGTATAAGTTCATAACAGACCTTCATTAGGGGTTATATTAAAGACTCTGAGTTGAGATACAATACCCATCTTCACTGTGTATGTTTTTACTTCCTTAACATGCAATAAGTAATCTTTAATTTTAGTGTATGGTTTTAAAAGCATTTAAGGACGGAGGGAGTATCAGTTTATTATCACAATTTCTCTCTGTAGCCTGACATGCCAATGTAACCATCATGCTGGAAAACTGGGGGATTTCTGGTATGCCTTGTAATGACTGAAAAAGACTATTACTTGTATATTCCTTGTACAAGTATATACTGCCATTTATGATTCTTAATTCCCATTGATTAGTTAGGGACTTGGCTGATAAAATTTATAAATATATGCGTATGCTATTGTTTCATTTGAAGGTTTATTTTTTAGAGTGTTTAGTTCAAACCTTGAAATGTTAATTTCATGTCTTTGCCATCATCCACTTTTGTCTCTCATGTTGGCCCATGAGTCTATGACTCGCTGTTCTTGAATGCATAAATCTTCTCCAGCTATCACTTACCAGGAGTTGTCTCTTTTGATAGTAGTCTCTGAGCGAATTCTAGAGCATGCAAATTTTGACACAATGCACTTTAGTCTGTATCTTTGGAAAATTTGTATAGAAATGTGCATTTGACATTTTTTGTGTCTATCCTATGATAGGTTTTAATGTTGGTGTTACTGGATCTTCCCGGGCTTCTATTTTTCTCCACTTATACTCTTCTTGTCCTGTTTTGGGCAGAGATTGATCATCAGGTAGAGTCTAATTTGATGTTTCCATGCTTACATTTGGTAACAAAGTTGTAAGTTTGTAACAGACATCTCATTTTAGCTCATTTGCCGCCTAACAAATGATTACTAATTTAATCATCAGGCTAGATATCTACCGGCTGATAAGCTGAGGCTTGTTTACATATTGCTCAATGCTGGAATTTACTTCATACAGGTTTGTTACAACTCACATCTACTTGTATTTTTCTTATGTCAGTGATTTGTTACCAGTTTATTTTCAAGGGGTTTGAATACATGATATTAATATTTTGCTCTTCAGGTTTGCATCTGGATTTTTCTCTGGCTGTATAACAATGAAATAGTGGAAACCGTTGGACGGATCTTTATTGCAGGTTCTTTTTTTCATTGATGATGATGTTTTGTTTTGGGACCACTATATCCGTACTCTCATACTTCTTTAAATTCTGTCAGCTGTCTCACTTGTTGCTGCGATCAGTTTCTTGTTCTATGGACGAAGGTCAGATTTTAAATGTTTGATCCTTAAAGTTGAACACCGATGCAGATTTGTTATACCAATATACTTTGTAATTGTGTTTACTAGTCGTGTTTTCCTTGAATGACTCCAGATTATTTCTAATGCTGAGACAGTTCCCAATTGAATCTAAAGGGAGAAGTAAGAAACTATATGAGGTTTGTGCTTTTATCTGAAACATTTTTTAATCCAGTATCTCACATAGATTTTTGATGGATTGCATTTTCTCCATACACAGAGTAGTTTTGTAAAGAATTGGATTGAGTAGAATCCTTTAATCCTCTGCCTAAAATCAGATTTTCATACTTCTAATCATGTTTTCAAAAGTGTAAACAGATAACTTCAATTTCTAACATTAGTTGAAAACCTTGAAACTTGACATACATTTGAGGCTAGTCAATTTCTACAATCTCAGAACTAGAATTTTGAACAGATTCTAGCGTGCCTTTAGTAACGAACCAAAGCTGCACCAGCCGCATCTAAATCCCAATATTTCATATTCCCTCTCCTCATCCTCCAATTTCTTTTTTTCCCATAAGATAAAGATCTTAACTTGCAGTTTCTGACATTGTCAGGTTGGATCAGTAGCAGCTGTATGTTTCACCTGCTTTCTCATAAGATGTATTGTGGTGAGCTTCTTCTTCTTCACTGAGGTGTCATAAAAGTCTTTTTGCTGATTTTCTATGTTTGAGCTTAAACTATCAATGTTGCTTCTTGCTCCTATTTACCTTTTCTGCTTAACTTGGTAAGGAGTATTTTGGACTCTATTTCACACCAATTACTCGACACTTCAACATGTTTGGATACATACCTGTGTCTGAAACAAGTATCCAAGTATGTTAATACTGTGATTAGGCAATGTGTATTGACGTTCACCTGATATAGGTACTCGTATCTGCATTTGATGCGAATGCCTCCCTCGATGTATTGGATCATCCAATCCTGGACTTTTTCTATTATATGGTATAACTTTTACTCCCATCAAATTATTGTTTTTAAGCCTAAATCCGACATGCTACATGTACCTGAGACATTTTTTTGCCAATTATACTATTGATGCAGCTTGTTGAGATCTTACCTTCGGCACTGGTCCTTTTCATCTTGCGGAAGCTGCCTCCAAAAAGAATCTCAGGCATATATCACCCAATCTGTTAAACTCAGGCACCACATCTTCAGCCCTGCGGTTGATGTTTTCCTTTGGAATGCAATTCTCCTCAATTGCAAGAGTTAAGACACTGCACAACATTGAGCTTCATCAAATTTTGTCACAAAGAAATTCTCGACTATTGATCTAGTATGCCCTAAGAAAATCATAAGTCTTTAGCAAATGACAACACTTTGCAGCTAAACAATGGGAAGTTTTTCCCAAATTTTTGTATGGTTCTATGGGATTATGTTATAGCTAGAAGGGCATATATGTGATGGATTTCTTTGTTGCTTCAGTGGTTGCAAATTGCACTACGCAAAGATGGTTCAAAAACTAAGCACAAAGTTTCGTGCCAACTCTTTTGCTGCACAAATCTTGTTTAGGGCCAATCCTGAATTGTTATCCTTTTAACTAGAAAGAAGCATAGGATACTTGGTAAAACTTTTCTCCGAATGAAAACTCAACTCTGGGTTTTTCCCTTACTTTGAGTCGCCTTCCGTAGACAATGCTTACCACCATAACAATAAATCGCTTTAGGGGAGATAGTGATATGGACTAATGCGTTATGAAACCACCTTTGTATAACATAATAATCGCCTTTCAACAATATACTACCTCCGTTAATGGTTATCTGCAACTTTGGAAGTGATAACCATGAGCGGAGGTGGTAAGAAAAGACTCAATAGTACTTGATTCATCAAAGTTGCCTTTACATAATATAGAGTTCACCTCTCGAGTATACAATAATATAATGAAGATTAGAAGTTAACGAGCAACTGGCAAATGAAAAGGCAGATCAAAGAAAAACAATATGCCTCCCAAATTCGAATTAATCCACACATCTCATTCCAAGATTGTCTTGAACACAAAAAAAGTCGTATCTCAAACTCTCAAATCATAAGCACAAAAGAAGTGTTGGAAATTTAACAAATGCACGGAGAATAGGCCTACACTAATGAAAATATCCAGTGACTTAGCTTTGACTGGAAAAAAGTCAAATTGGTCAAACTGGAAGTTTACAGTACAGCTACAATGTAATAATGCTACATTCCCAACAGAGTAATCATCACTGTCACAATAATTAACATTAGCCTATAGTTAGTCATCAGTTAAATGAAATCTTGCAACGGCAACAACCGTGTTCAGCCCCAACTATTGCCGCATATAAAATAATTACAAGAAAACACAAGGCTATAGAGTCTTGGGTTTTAAGAAGAGATTAATCTTGATGAAGCTCGTCTGCTGCAGGGGCTGCAAAACGGACGTTCCCGGGCTGTGCTACCACAACAGGCTCATCAGCAAACAGCGCTTTGATAAAGGACGGAGTTTTAAGAGGGCGACGACCTGTCATTCTTGGATATACATCTTCAAGGAAATAATAAGCATGTCCAGCAATCATTCCCTGCAAACCAGAACCATTAATTGTTGTTGCCAATGGAGTCCAAGAAAAGACTAGCAAAGTTCATAACTTATGCAGGATATCGAGATACAAAATCATCTCTATATATTTATATGGACATCATTTATTAGAACCACTATAAATCACGTAGGCAAAACATGACAAGAAACAGTTGATCCCAGACTCTAGAAAGGTTTTCATAAGGAAAATTGACAAAAATGAACCACTACATATTTGCCTTTACTCAAAACAACCCTGACTTATTCGAAACCCTTATTAATGACCCTCAAGTGGAAAATCTCTCATAAGAAAGCTTTACTCTTAACAGTAGGTTAACAGCATTAAATTTAATGCACCGGTACTTATTTGGTATTCCAATTTTACCACAAAACACAGTCCTCAATGATAAGACCTGAAGTGGACAACCAAAAAAAATAAGAATTTGAGGGTGACATTAAGCTATGCAGTTGAAATTGCCTTGTCTACCCTTGAAAAGTTCAATTTCTTTACAGATTAACTTTGTAATTAACAAAGATTCCAAATACATAGAATATGAAATCTAACCAACCACCAAATTTCGTTAAAAGATACAAAAAGGTTTAAAGGAGATACCAGAAGGTCGACCCAGGGGCTGGCGCCAACCAGGATAGAGAATCCCAACAGCACCTGAAATTAGAGAAAGCAATTTAGTATTTTGTATATGATTATACTTGCAGATAGCAAATAATTATCGAAAAGGCGGCCAGCATTGCGCGTTGTGACAATGAGTACAACTTAGATACACGAACCTAGAGGTTTTATATGCAATATTTTACAGTTGTATATTTGGTTTCCATGACTTTAATAACAGGCACAAAGCAGATACTTTTATCCTAATGCAGTTCTTACCCATGGAAGATAAGCTGCGGTAAATGTAAAGAGGCCCAAGAAGCTCATATGGATAAAAGGATTTTGCTTGCTCCACACATACACCTGCATATTAACCAAAAATATGAGGGCACCGTAAAAGAGCAGATACCACTATGGCACTATTGATGCAAAAAATGGACACAAGGAAAAGAAAAAAAACTGACCATCATAAATGTCAAAGAATTGCTCAAGAATATGATTCTTGCAAACGACTCAGACACATATGGTATCATTCCTCCAACAAGAACAATTCCAGTCAGAACAGTAGCCCCAAACAAGAGCATGTAAAAGAAATCTGCAGTCCTTCCCCGGAATGAGTTTTCCTCCAGAAGTTTGCAATATCGCGCGAGAAAGAACATGTGGAAGAGAAAGTCCAAATCTAACAAGAAGAAGAATTCATATTGAAGTAAACAAATCAGCTCCAGTGAACTAATTCTGGCCACCCACTAATCAGAGTATCAAATGTTTGGTTCAAGAATAGGCAATTAGGCAAATATAACTTCCTAAATTTGACTAAGATTTTCCTAAAAAATTGATATTACTTTCTGGATATCAATGCCTAGCTCTTTTAAGAGGTGCAATTTTTTATCATTTCTATCACTCCTTTTAACATTTATGTTTTCCCATCCAAGACAGCCAAGGTTAAACAGAGAGTACAAATTAAAAAAATAAAAACATTTGTAATTGTTAAAGTCATATTACAGACTTAACTTACTTACAATTAAAGACTTGTAGGGTAATTACATTTAACCAGATGTGCAAGACCTCTATCCAACAATGTGAAAGAAATGCTTGCACAAGACGAGAAAAACTCACAAACCCCAATGGATAATCATATACAGCATAAGGCAACTAAACATCACATGAACAGATAACTTCAGCCAAAAGTTGATGGGAGAAAAAAGAAGAAAAATGTGAAATTACCCATTTTTCGGAAGTACAAGAAGTTTGTTACAAGTCGCCAAAATTGATACTGCTTCATTACTAACCGTGGATTCAAGTACAGGTTGTACGGGGAAATAATCTGCAAATCATTAAAATACATATCATGTGTATTTGTATTTCCAGATAAATGCATGACAAAGTTATCAATAGGAAGTAGTTAACTTTACAAATTAATTACTACTTTAAAATAAAAGAATATATTAATGACAGTCTGACACAGGTGGAATGTTGAGTCTAAAATATAGAGAAGTTGAAGGCAGATCTGTAATTCACCACATGACCTTTGCCTCACCTTTGCTTTCTAATTCTAAGATAAACAATAATATTAAAATTTTAAATACTAGCCTGTATTTCGTATCAAACTTCAGAGACAAACACTTATGTTACAAACTGATATTGGTATATCAGCATAATAGTACATATTATTACTAAAAGAAAAAAGGCATGCTATCTCTAATATGACTGGAATAGTGCATGCAGCATGCATATACAAATATACATGTTGCTGCCAAACACCAGTCATGTTGCCTTCATCATGTTACATTAGGCCTCTATAAATTGACTTAAAAAAACACCCAAATTCACAAAGCTAATATTTAGTACTTATACAATCAGACTACTCTAAGTCTCTAATGCTATGTTTGGACTGCATTACACAATATAAGCAACAGACAAAAGCAGAAGTGTGTGAATTGGCATTTCTGTATCAGCAAAATATAAGTACTTCACTACGAGTTCCTTTACCTATCACTATAGAGACTCAGTTTCTTTTTTTCATTTTTTTTTTCCTTTTCTTTTTTCTTTTTCAAGGAAAATCGAGAATCTGAGCTATATCAAAACGCTTTATATATAATACTCCGTAGGAATTAACATCTACCGAGCATCTGAGATTCTGAGCTATATCAAAACGCTTTATGGTCAATGATTGAGCATCCTCGCTCCTAACTATGCTACAGCATTTCTAACTATGCCAATTATAACTCAACTATGAATTGAATCTGCTTTGAGCTTCATACTATTAATCTATTATAACAGATAGACACAACGATACTACAAAACCGCAACGACATCCTATCCTGGATTCCTGGAATTCAAACAACAAACATATTACCATAATTTCTTTCCAAACAAAAAAAAAAGTTGTGTATAAAAACCATCCTAAACCCACACAAAAAAAAAAACTTAATTTTCTATGATCTCCGAATTTTCGGACCATCTGAATCAAACAAAATCTCCACTCAAGAAACTAGCAAATAGAGCAAAACCATCTGCCTCAAGCTCATCAACCATAAACATTCTACCAACAAGCTGAACACAATGCCAGAAACTTAATATAATAATATTCAATTACATATCAAAGAAGAATGCCCAATTCAGAATTACCCTTATTCAAGATTGTAGGCATAAACCCAATTCATATCATCAAAAAATCTAACCCTAATTGTCCCAAAACTAATACAAACAACAAAAATCAAACTATCCCAGAAAATTGAACAATACCCAGTTCAAATTATCAAACAAAAAACCAACCCCAGATGCCCAATTCAATAAAAAAAACCCAAAAAAATCAAAATCCAAGCTCAAAATCAATCAAAACAGCAACAAAAATCAAATAAACTAGAAAATCAATTGAATAATTGATTATTATAACATACATCAAGAGAACATCCGATTGTTGTAACAATTGCAGCAGTGAGATAAGATCGAGTGATGATTGGCATCTGCTTATACCATTCTTCGACCGCTTGAGCCATCTCAAACACTCTTGTATAAACTTCGATTCAATCGAACTGTGTTTGATGTTGCTTAAGAGGAGAGAGAAAGTATTTGGAGTTCGAGCTAATGAATTGGTATTTGTACGCTTTAAATTGAGTTGGGATTAAAATGAAATTTTGCAGGTGAATTTGCGTGAATCATATATGAGGAAGTACTAATGATGAAGGTTTGATATGTATTTGCAAATACATATCATTCCTTAAAATATTAAAAAGTATAGTAAGCACATGGGGGTGAAAGGAGGAGAGAGATTAGCAAGTTGGACCAATTTTTAAATGTACCACTAAAAGCTTATATAATATCATTGAATATGTACTGATATTATTTCTATAAATAGTTTGTACCACTAAATGAATATACAGTACCATTGAGTGAATATATAGTACCACAGAATGTTCAATGACACTATTTGATCATCTAGTGATACTATTAATCACCCAGTGGTACACTTAAATCCAGCACGTGGGGGTGAGAGAAAAGGAGGAGAGAGATGGGTAAATTTCATGCGAAATGTCTCAAATGCCCCTTGATATGTATATACAAGTACCTATCAAACCTCCTTTTGGAAGGCCTCTATCTTATATATATATAGAGCCTATTAAATTTCAGATGACATTTGTTTGTCCAATCATATGGCGTGTAAAACGCACGACCCAATTGTATTTTCCCGATTCTCTCTAAACTTGATTTTTTTATCGTCGTAATTCTTCCATTTTTAAATAGGAAAATGTTATACATACCCCTTAATACTACATATAAGCATTAAATTTACACTTGAAAATCGTAAAAAGTTAAAAAAATCATCAAAATATAAACACTAATAACACTGATTTACGCGTGTTTTTGTCATAAATTCCTAATTTTATACAATTCCCAAGAGTATATTTAATGCTTATATACAGCCCTTAGGACTACATATAACATTACCCTTTTAAATATTTGCTCCATTTTTTTCAAAGTACACACGTCGATGCTAATTTTTAATTAATAATATTTTTAATTAGGAATAAGTATAAATTCTAAAAATTAATAATATATTCATTGAGACGATTCAAACAAGTATCCACAAGTCTTATTTTTTTTTCTTGTGTATAAATCACAAACATTAGTTAAAGTTGGACAAATAAACAATGCAAAAAGTAGAAATAGAGTAATTAATTCAAATGGAGGGAGTATTAGGCCCTGTTTGATTCACCTTAATTTTGCTGAACTGAAATTATTTTTATTGAACTGAACTTATTTTTACTGAACTGAAATTATTTTAACTGAACTTAAATTATTTTTACTGGGCTAAAATTATTTTTACTGATTTTCTATTATAATTATTCTTTAAGAAAACTGAATTTTACTGAACTGAACTTATTTTTACTGAACTGAAATTATTTTTACTTAATATTATATTTTTAAGGTGAAAAGAATAGGGCCTTACACTAATCTATGCGTGACTGAATGATTCTATTATTAAAATCAAATACGGTGTATAATTGATATTCATAATTTTATCATTTCTATTGTCTGGGGCTACCCAAGTTTATCAATTTGATAAACAATTGAAGTTTATCAAGGGGTAAAAGCGTCATTTTCAGTTGATACTGAAGGGTGGTTATGTAATTTAATAATCACAGTTAACTAGCTGCTGTTATTGTTCCATCTTCATCTTCTTCGTATATTTCCAGCCATTGCACAACAATGGAGACTTTGTCTCTTCCCCACCCACCTTCATCTTTTTTGCCTCCTTCTTCAAGTTGCTAATATGGGGATTTCGCCAACCTCAAGTACCTCCATTTTCGACCACCATTCTCGGCGGCTTCGCCGCCGAATTAAACAAAAACCCTAAGATAAAAGGGAGAAATTAAGGGTATGGTTATTAAACAAAAACCCTTAAGGGTAGGTGTTTATCGATTGCTTGTGAGCTTTTCTTCCCCCATTGAAATCTCCATAGAAGTTGGTCTAACCTTCTTCCTGAACAAGTGGATGTTTGTGAGTTTCACTTCTGTCAAATAACGCCGTGAAGAGTGACAATTGTACATAAGTACTACACTGAGTTTTTTTATTATATAAGCTCAAATGTCAAGACCAAATATTTATATAATTGCCATTTGATAAACATGTCTTGTTTATCAAATTGATAAACTTGTATTTCCTCCTATTGTCTTATCCTAATTGCAATTTTCTTGTTGCTTCTCTTAGTTCAAATTTCTAATGAGGGATGTTGTGGAGAGTCGGGTCAAGAGCTTGTTTTAACCTTTGGCAGAACTCTTAGCTCGTTGATGACCAGGGGCGTTTCGTACATAGTAACATAGTGGATGGCATGACATCACTTATATGTGGTGGAACATCAATAATTTTAATAGACTAGGGCAGTGCTACGCGCGCAAGGCAATTTGGTGTTGCTAGTGTGTGAGACCGGAAGTGTAAATTTTTTTGGCTAATTTGTAGTTTTTATTTAGGTAATTATAAACAAATGTATATTAATTAGTGAATTTACATGTTGATAAATTGAATTGTATTAAAAATGTTTTTTTTTTTACCCCATTGCAAACTATTGCGTCAAACTTTGTAACTATTGGTTCTAAATTCTCATTAGTCTATAAAGGATAATATAGTCAAGTGAGGTCTTATTGGATTTTCCTCATTGTATATTTTATTAATATTAAGTTTTTATAATTTTTACGCATATAGATTTGGAGTTATATACATCATAAGATATGTATATGACGTATTAGAGATCGTGAAAAGTCAAATGAGAAAAAAAAAATAGGGACAGAGGGTGTACATTGCTTTCATGTAGATGTCTTGTATGTCTTGGTGTTGTGAAATTCTGCGGTGTCCTGGAGTAAAATGTAGTGCAAGTAAAATGTATTGCTTTCAATTTCATATAGATGTCCGGTAAAATTCTGATGTTGTTATTATTTGGGTTGCATGCGATAATTCTGCTGTATTCCATGAAAAATGTCAGTATTGCCCCTAACTTTTTAGATGAAAGTACATTCAAACCCCTCAACAATGATCAATTCGCACTGTTACAAACATGAATTTGCTCCTAAATATTGTTTAGGATAAATAGTCAAGTAAGCCAACTTAGCTAATAACCTTTTTCCTCAAATAAAAATAAAAAATAAAAAATAAAAAAAACATATCCACACACATCCTATGAGCTCCATTTGCTGCCGGTGCCGAGTTTTTTTGCCTTTAGCACATCCAAAGTCTGAACATACTTTCTTTGTATCATAAGAGTTTTCCTGCATCTTTCTTTGTAAATTCACATCACCGTCGATGATAATTCCATCGAATTTGATCAATTCATTCATTAATAATTTCACGACATTTACAACATCCTTCTCTCCTACTCTTCCCCCTTTCAAGATAAATGATTCAAGAGTTGACACCTGCCAATTACAATAACAAATTAAATCACAATTCACCAATTACCTCGATTTAGAGGTCAGACAGATTTCTAGCTAAAATACAGCTAAAACACTTTAATTGAACCAGATTTCTAGCTAAAATACAGTTAAAATTGAAATCATAATAATAGAAAGGTTCTTCTAGAATCAAAACCCACAAATTTTAGAATTTAAGTGTAAAACCCTAACCGTGTATATGTTAATTTTCAAGGTTTCAATTTCTCACTGCCGCCACTGATCTACCTTCCCCCGCAAAACTGAAAAAGGGATTAAAAAAAAATTATAAAATAACTAAACTTAATGATAAATCGACTTTCCAACTTTCCAACTTAGGTTAATCTACCTGATTAGTGGAATCTCACTCATTCTTACATTTTTGACAATCAACATGACACTTCCGAAGGTAAAGTTCTTTGTTATAATGGGCATGCACAACACACCAAACAAGAAAAGTGTGACGAATTGATGAGCTCACAAAATTGAAGCTTATATTAAATGATCAGCAACTTGCATTGATCATTAATCCACTCAGTAAATTCATCACATTAGGATAAAGTATACAGCCAAATCATCAATTATTTCTAAATCAACCACATTATCCAAAATTCCCTAATATAAACCAATCTTAAAAAGAGAAATTAATGAATCAAGCACAAATTAAGTAAAGTATAGATATCCTTTCAAAAAAAAAAGTGTAGAGTACAGATATAGATAAGAATATTGACCAATTAGAGAAACCTAGCCTACTACATTGTTTACTTCCTGAACTTAAGTAATTTTTTGTTAAATTGGAATTATTTTTACTAAAATTAATTTATGTTTATGAACTTAGTTTTACTGAAAAATAAAATTATTATTATCATTGAAGTTAAGTTATTTAACTTGGACAACAAAAGTATAAACGTCACTCTACAAACAATCAAAAGAAAATAAATATTAGCAATGGAATAAATGTCTGTTAAAGGACATATTAAGAATTCCAGTAAAAGAAATCCACTAACCCAACTTTTTTCTTTGGTTGAATTGTTATTGGTCTATGAATATCATAACTGTAGCATTTGTAAGTGTCAAAATGGCGAAACATGACTGAAAAAATTATTAAATTGAACAATCCCTACCTTGATTAGCATCAATGATCAGAATAGAAGTTGATAACTTCAATATTTGCGGGCAATCACAATCAGAGACTAACTTAAAACCTGAAAAAATACACAAAAATAATTTATTTTTTTTAAAATAAAGAGAAATGCAACATTAAAACATAAAAATACACAGGATAATTGAAGTTCCCACATTTGAGACCGTGTTAAATTTAATGGTAAAATTAACAGTTGTTGCACAAATTTTGAGAGAACTTTTAATCAAAATCCTAATATAAGCAACTTATAAATTCAATTTTTTGTCAAAAAAACCCAGAAAATCTATTTGCATTAATGGGGTCGAATTAATTAAAACCAGATGAAGAACAAGTAAATCGATGATCAAAAACTCAAATTGGAATATTCTGATTAATAGTTGGGGGAAATAAATTCAACCCATCAAAGTATTGATGATCAATTACAGAAATTACTTACCAAGTTAGAAAATTGATCGTGAATAAAAGCTAGATCGATGACCAATTAATACATACGGAGATGAACCTTATAGCCTCTGAGATTCCAGAACTTGCCTTTCCAAAAAATCTGCCCAACAAAAACGAATTAGGGGTTTAGGGCTTATGCTTTGATAATTAAGCTTATATACTGGTATTTGTTTCAAAATCATCTAAAAGCACAATACAAAATCCTCAATTCTGGACTTTTAGTAATTTAGTAGATCAATTCTATAAAAATTAAATTAACAAATGTAGCACATATTGGCAAAATTAACATCTAACAGGACTAACACTCAATCAATCGAACCCCCAATAAAAATTAGCAATTGACATGTAAAAAACAAAATTCTTTGACCGATGATTTCACCTTCACCTTCGTTCTAGATCTGTTTTCTATCTCCTCGTTCAGCGGCTATTCATCCTTCCGTTCCTCGGTCTCTCGTAGTTTGATAGTGCTGAGTGGTGACCGTGGATGGCAGGTTCATTGTTGATGGTTGTAGAGAAAGTGAAAAGGGAAGAAGAGAGAGAAAAGGGGCGTATAGAGGAGGAGAAAGTAGGGGAAGTGAATTGCAGATTCCATTGTTGGCTAAGTTGATGCAATCGTATGCAGATTCTTCAGATGTGGCTCTCCTCTTGAATTTTTGAATCACACCATTGAGGTAATTGGAAATGATGTTAAGTTACTTTATTAGAATTCAGAAGGTGAAGATTCATTTGTTGGCAATGCAAGTCTTATTTGTCAACATCATCGATCAGGGAAGAGAAGAAAATTGAAAAAAAACAAAGTGGCTAATTTCTAGGTAAAAAGCAAGGTTGCATAAATCATGAAAAGAAAGAGATAGAAGGGCAGAAGGTTAGAAGAAGAACATGTGATTTTCTTCAAATTTTTTTTTTTAAAAAAAATACACACACATGTCCCCCACACATGTGAACACTATTCATAAGGGGAACAAGTGAAACATTTTAAGGGTTGTAGATTAAAGTGGGAATATGGGACTATTGATCAAGTTTTCAATGAGGGACAAAAAAATGTATCATTAATTAGCTTGCTACCCCTTTGAGCTAATATGGATGTAATGACTAGGCAACTTAGGCAACTTCCAAAGACATCTACTATTCAATTAAATCAGCTTATATTACATGCCAGGTAAATGGTATACGACCATGTACCTTGGACGCTTTTCATCAAGCTTTTGTTAAAAGTGTGGAAGTTGGATGTTACTCCGAAGGTGCGTCACTTTCTCTAGAGCTAGGGGCAAGAACCAAGGGGGGATGTCGGGCTGAGGGGCATTGACCTCCCCCTTGGTTTGGTTATTAATTAAATGCTGGCATCAAATTATTAATTGTATTATACCTGAGTTGGCTTTGGATGAAAATTAAGCTCTTTAAGTCCCAAATTTAAATATTGTCCCTAACACTTCTATTATTATTATTTTTTTGGTCTCGTTCTTTTTGGACATTTCAATATACTCCGTGTTATTCACAAGATACTACTACATAGTTTGCCCCCCTCCCCTAAAAAAAAATCTAGTTCTGCCACAGTTTATAGTGAGGGATTTGCTCCAAAAACGGCTTTTAATTGATCACATTATCAGTTTGTGGTGCCAAAAAGAGAGTGAATATGTTTAGCATGTTCTGTTAAGTGTGTAAGGGTACGCGATACGTGGGACAGTGGGAGGATTGTGGCTATGGTTTGCTATTAAATAAAGATGACATGGGGAACATGTGTGAGTTCGTGAAGGGATGGGCAAAGCAGGATTCGAAGTTGCTACAAATGGGGGATTCATGTCGTGCTTATGGTAAAAGCGAAGTAAGATGATATTCTATAAATATTTTACACTCGTTGTAAACTTGTACTTAAATAATTAAAAGTTACTCAAAAATAAATAAAAATTACCTCAGTTAGCGAAAAAAGTAAATTCATCTCAATTGATTAAAGATTACTCTAAAATTACTTATTGTAAAACACAATTATAAATTACATTAATTTAAACAGAGTGTACATAAAAAAAAAATGTGAAATTTACACTTTATCAACCTATTTTCATTTTTATCGTTTAACACTTGTATTTATATATGCATTAAGCTATTTTATTTATGTTGAGTATTATCAATATTTTATTTATTTTACTAACTAGATACATTTAACATAATTATATTTTTAAAAACTTATTTGGTGTAACATATGTTGGGTAACCAAATATCCAACTTGTTCTGGGTCCAAACAAATCGAGAATTGAAATTGCTACTAAATATAACCGATTCCTTAATTTATAACCTGAAATAAGAACCACCGAGTCTAATTCCAATTTCGAACCCACCGATTCCGTTTCCAACTCTGGAATAACCTACCATAATAATTCTTCAAGACCTCAACCCATAATCCTCAACACTTGATTTTACCGCTTATTCTCTCTCTCCAAAATTCAAATTTGAAAAAAAAAAACAACCAGTTACATTTCAAATCCATACATTCATTCATTCAGACAAACTCCTCCCAAATCCGATAATCATCCATACAAAAGCGCCCAGAAAAAACTTCCGACGCCATTTTCTTCATCTTCTTCTTCTTCTTCTTCTTCTTCATCTTCAACAATGGCGTCTGAAAATCGGCAACCGCCATCTCCATCTCCAAACATTCCTTCATTCCCTTCTTCTTCACTCTTCAAAGACATTTCCAATTTCAAAACCCCAAAACCCAAAACCTCTTCTTCTAGAATCTTCCAATCTTCCACTCCCAGATTCTTCACTGCTTCCAAACAAATGCAAACCCCTTCATCTTCTCTCTCCTCCTCCACCGCCCGCCGCCGTCGCCGGCCGTCTTCACCGGCGGTGAGTAAACTCCGTCAGTTCGAGCTTGAGGTGGCGCAGTCGTCCCGGAAGGAGGAAGTTAAGAAGGAGAGATCGATGAAGTCTTTAGCCAAGTCGCTCACTGCTTGGCTTAATTTTTTGTTTGAAAACCCTAGGTCTTGCGGTTGCGATGACGGCGGCGCCGGCGCCGGGGATGGAGGCGACGCCTCCGGTGGTGGTGGTGGACGGAGTGGAGGGAAGAGAGAGAATGTGTTTGGTGGTGGTGTTGGCGGTGGTTGGAGGTTGCCGAAGAGGCAGAGGGAGGAAGGGGGTGGTTTCATGGAGGAGGATCGCCGGGAGGTTTTGAGTTCGAAGAAGAGGTTCGGGTTTTTGTGGAAGTCGTTACGAGAGGTTTGTAGTTTCGACGACTTGGAGGTGAGGATGAGGGAGTATTTGAGTTTGGAGGGGTGTATGGAGGTTTTCACTGCAATGTCTCAAGTTGCTAAGGTGTGCTTCTTATGTCTTAATGTCTTATTAATGTTTATGTGTCACATTTATTTTTAGTCTTATTGATATTTCTCGATTATTGTTCGATATTAACACAGTATGTTTTAGTGTATGACTGTATGGATTGGGTTTAGGAATAAAACACGCGACTTAGTTTTGTTAGACTGGCCACGACTAGTGTAACATGTATATTGTATCATATTGCAAGTTCGGGATTGATTAGAGCACTTATGTGAGTATTTTTAGATATTAGGATTAGCATATGCTCCAAGTCTCCAACTTTTGATTGAAGGTTAATTGTCTAGCTTGCATTGTAAATTTGCAATTGCTTAGCATTAGCATATGCTCCAAACCTCTAAGTCTCCAACTGGAAAGATGTAGCTTTATATGACAACATAGTTCTGTTAATGTAGAATTGAAATGTAAGAACACAAATGGAATTTTATATCAATAGTATTCCTAGAATGAATTAGACCCATTTATTTAAGTACGTGGACAATTTTATATTATGGATTGTAGTAATTAGTAAACATTAATCTACATGAATAATTCTTCCTAATGCAAGGAATATGGACTTAATGAAGCCTTTTGTCCAAGAAAAGTAGAAATACAGAAAGCCTGCAATCTTTATAAAATTTTGTCGAATTCATGCTCTTGAATGAAAATATATAGAACAAATGGAAATGTGAACAATAGCTCCTGCATTCTGATTTCTGAAACATGGGTGAGAAAATAATCGTCAATTTAGATGGATTGGTGCTGTATGCTATTTAGTGAATAGTTCTAAACTTCTGATTAGGTAAAAAAAATCATTGCAGTAATGATTACTGAGGATACTTCACAATTTCAGTATGGGAGTGAAAATCGTTACTTTTTGTCTAGTCTAATATCCAATAAGGTCTTAACTTGTCCTTGTTTGAGAATTTTTTCTCACTTTCATATGCTGTCTTGTTTCTCAGAATATTGATGAAGGCAGGCTTAAAATGAAGGCACATTGTCCCTTAGTCACTGATGTTGGAATGAGAGAAAAGGCTATCAAAGTTCTTATGAGCTACAATCCAGTTTGGCTTCAGATTGGATTGTACATTATCTTTGGTGGTGACTCTTTGTTGCCTAAGGAAGATTCTAATAGGGAAGACGATATTGCATTTCTTAAGATGGTGATTGAAAAACAGTTGTTCTCACACGCGGGTCTGGCAAAAACTTATGCGTATAATAAGTTGGTTGATGGCATGTACAGGCCGGGTTACTTTGAAACTTTAGGCAATGTCATACTAAAGAGATTTTTGATGCTTGTTCTTATACTTGATAGAGGTAAATGCCAGAGTAGCTTGCCTATCAAGTATGGTATTGATGGGCTAGATGGAGGTTCTCCCCTGTTGTTTAATGTGAAGTCTAACATCAAATCAAGTCGACAATTGATAAACGGTAAGAGTATTAGTTATGGCTGTTTTCTTACCCGAGTTAGTGAGCCTGACATCATTCCTAAGTTGACTTTTCCTGTTTGATGGCAATAATCAGATTTCTTATCATCTGAAGTCATGCATGGAGAGGGTAATCTACTTGCACATCTAGTGATTGTGGGGTACAAAGTATCATACCAACAGGTAAGTACTAAGCAGCTTTTCCTACTGTTATGATTTCCCAGTATCCTAGTAGTAATTACTATCATTATGGCTGTAAAAGTACCTTGTATCAACCCTTAGAACTAAGTTAACACTGCTTAAAAGCATGGAGCCATGGAGATAACGGAAGAAGAAATAGTATAGAGAAAGAAGCATGTGGGTGTGAGTCCCAACTTGAGAGAAAAAGTGGTGAGATAAACTTAAAGCTGATATGTTAACTTAGGTCTCAGATGGAGGGAGTATAATTCTTAAGTTAGTGGTTTAGCATGCACTTAGGATTCTATAGTATCTATAAGTAGTGTGCTTTATTATCTTTTTAAACAACATCAATGCAGTATATCAAGTAAATGTTTAAGATGAAAGATAATTGTCTATGTGCAGAATCCTCTCATTGAGTATGACTTCAGAATCACAGATCTATTTCAAGATATTCAGGATGGTGTGAGGCTATGTCGAGCTATTCAGCTCTTACAACATGACTCCTCTATTCTACTGGTTAGACTTTCTTAAAACATAACAACCTACATTGTAGCCTTTCTGGGTATTATGTTAACTTTCTAATCTATTATTGACATGCTGTATATTGAGCAGAAAGTGGTGCTTCCATCAGATACTAATAAGAAGAAATTGGCAAATTGTCGCACTGCGCTTGAATATCTCAAGCAGGCAGGTGTTTCCCTACTCGATGATGATGGTACAATGATAGTTGGAGAGGATGTTGCTAATGGAGACAAGGAACTTGTGCTTTCCTTGTTGTGGAATGTATTTGTTCATCTGCAGGTCTGTGATATCTGTGGGTCACATGCCTTAAGGAGGAATGGTTTATAAGTTGACATGATGTTTTGCATGTTCAATTAAATAATTCTAAAAGTAAAATTATAAACTAAAACATGATAATATGTAGTCATTTGCTTTCTTGACAAGGTAGCATTCAGCATTTGCCCTGCCTTTTGTCTTCCTTGCAGCTACCTCGACTTGTAACTAAGAAGATTTTGTCAGAGGAAATTCCTAAAATCAGTAAAGCTCATACTGTATGTATCCTAATTTTATTACTTAATATTCAGTTTCCTGAACAATAGCCATGTTTGTGACTAGGATTTTGCCATCCATTTTACAGGAACTCATGGATGTAGATACAAGTAATCATTTAGATATGCTCCTACACTGGATGAAGGTAGGGGCTACTTAACCTTTGTGCATCCAAAGGCATAGTTAGTTTCTAAATTGGAGATCAATTAGTGACTCGAGTCAATTCTATGTGATGTTTCCCTTTGTCATATTTGCTACAACATCTTTCATGTCAAAACAGATGGATTTTTTTAGTTAAGTTCTAAGTGAGTATTAGGAAATTAGGATGATATTTGTTTTGGAATTTATGCTCTGATGTCAAGTTAAAAATTGTAGAAAGATGCTAAGAAGTATTGAATGTTGGCACAGAAGGTGGGTGATTTTGTCTCTATTGTTCTATGACTTTTATCACCATTACTTGCCCTCAAGTCATGGTTGTGTACTTTGTGTGTCATCTCTTCAGGAACTGATACCCTTGTTCACGTTTTTTTTTTTTAAAAAAATATTTTTTTGAGAAGTTTGTTGTGATGTGTTTTTTTGATAACCAAGCTGGAATATGTACTTATGTTGTCGCAGGCAATCTGTGGAAACTATGATGTCAAGATGGAAAATCTGTCTTCATTGGTTGATGGGAAAGCTATGTGGTGCCTGCTGGACTTCTATTTCCGGAAGGAACTTCATTGTTCTTGTTCAATTAAGGTATGCTTTTCTTTTTCTATGGTTGGTTATATGATATTTCACTTTTTCTGCTTTCTTTTGGTCATTAATCTCACACTATACTTTCTTACAGGACCTCAATGATACAAATGAAGGATCAATTGTGTCTATGCGGGATACTTCAGATGCAGTACACAACTTTGTCTTATCTCAGAAGTTGACAACATTGTTGGGAAATTTTCCTGAGGTGAATGCTTTACTTCAGCTAAAATGTGGCCATTTATGATTTGAAAGAAGACATTTCATTTCATTTTTTGAAAGTTGACAAAGGTTTTAGTTATATTTATGAAGGCAGTGACTCAAGACCATGAAAGAAAAACAATTTTTAGAATTAGAAATTTAGAACATAACACAATTCCTGCAATCTACTCTAAAATTTAACACCTTACAGTTGCCTAATGCAACTAATCTTATTTCTTAAGTGAAACACAGTTAGGTGGTATCACACATTGCATAACATTTCTACCTGCATATACATTGCATTATTTCACTTAATTTTTGTTTATTCGATTATATTATTGACTGTTTTTATCACTTCAGCTTTGAATAGATTCTCCATATTCTCATTCCAGGTCTTGCAAATATGTGACATACTTGAGTACAATGGCGCCTGTAATGACAGGAGTGTGATCATATTATTGGTCTTCTTGTCCTCCCAATTGCTTGTCAAGAAAAGTAAGGTAATGTCAGTGCTTCAAAAATTCTGTCTTCTAAGTCATGATATGAGACTTATGTTGAAAACGACTCTCAACAGGATAAACTAAACTTCCACAAGCTCATGGGATGCCAATGCCAAAATCCAGAGAGGAAAAGGTGGTCCATGAGTTCCGAAACTACATGGCATAAGGAAAGGGAACGGTCTGCTGGAGGTTGTTTCATTTGATTAATGACTTTTTATGTAGTTTGTAAGCTGCTGTTAACACACTGTATACTATGCATGAAGTTGTTGATTTTGGAACCTTTGACAGTGTCACTTTTGCTTCTCTAAGATTCTGGGATTCTATGCAGCAATTGAAAAGATGATCAATCTTCTCTGATTTCATTCTCTTCACCTAACTGTTTGAATTAAAATTTAGATGGTGGAATGAAGTTTAAAGCAGTCCAGGCCTGGTGGCAAGAAATGGACAAAAGAAATAGTGATGGCGTTAATCAATCAGATGCTCTTGCTATGCTGCCCCCCTCTGCTGAAAATTGCAGCTTTGAAATTTGGAAAGGTGATAATTAACAATCATGTGCTTTCCATTTTCTAACTTGTTATCTTATCTTCTGCTAATACTTTTACTCTTTCAGCCAATGTATTAATGATTTCTTTTGAGTTTGCTTCTTTTGGGCTTTAAAGTATTGTGAACTCTACATGGAAAAACCTGGTTTAATTACTGAAGTTCTGCGATGTAAGCCTACTAGTCATGTCTTAAAGTTTGTTTCTGTTGACCTATTGCAGTGAATGCTGCTGAAATTATACAGAGCCATGTCAGGAGAGTGGTTGAACGCAAGAAATATTTGAAGATGAAGCAATCAGCACTGAACATTCAGCATGCTTGGAAGCAATTCCTTGTCAGTGAGTACTGGCAGACTCGGTTTTCAGCTGCTACTATGATTCAGAGGCATGTACGTGGCTGGATACTCAGAAGAAGATTTCTGAGGCAAAAGCAAGCAGCTCTTCAGATTCAAAGTGTTCTTCGCTCCATGAGATATTTGAAGGCTTTTCATGAATATAGTATAGCAACCAAATCCGCTATCATAGTTCAATCCCATGTTCGGGGGTTTATTGCTCGTAGAGACGCTTGTAGACATAGGAACTGCATTCTTCTGGTGCAAGTAAGTTTGAGTAGACAATTATTTAAAAGAAAATTTTGCAGGCCCTTCCTTCCATTGATAGTTCTCCATTTACTATTTTTCAATCAGATGTTGCTAACAATTGATGCAACCTTTTTCATGCTTGTGCTATCTGTTTGGTGTGATTATGAAGCTTCTTCTCATCACCTTGCCATGACTGTTGGGCAATGTTAATACCTGTTGTCAATAGTAACCATTTTTTGTATTTGTAATTGCAGAGTTATTGCCGTTGTTGGTTGGCTAGGACAAGCTTTCTTCGTAAAAAAGAAGCAGCATTAAGAATACAAAATGCCTTTAGGGTTAAGATGTGCCGGTATGCATTTCATCGCAATAGGAATGCTGCAACTGAAATCCAACGCCTTATCAGGGGAAAGATTTCACGAAATAGACTCCTAGGTTTCTGAAACATTCACTCTTTAATAAGCTTCGTGTCCTTTACTTAATCTTCACAATTTTCCTCTGACAATTGAGACAACTTTGATGTTGAACATTTGTATAAAAATTGGCTTATGCAGGTTCTTCCTCCCTTCGTGTAGCTGCTTCTGGTAACACTACTCTTACTTCAAGCTACAGGTCATACAGCACCGAGTTAAGTATAGTTTTAGATGCAATTGTGAAGCTGCAAAGGTGGTGGAAAAGCGTTTTAGAATACAAATTGAGAAAAGAAGCCGCAGTCATTATTCAGTATTATATTCGTGGATTTCTCTGTCGTCAAAAAGCAATTAAAGAGAGACATCATGCCATTACTATTCAAGTAAGATTGAATCCTTAACTAAAATGTTCACTAGAATTTTTTTCTCAATGAAATATTTTAATGTTTGGACTATCAACTTCCAATTTAGTTTCCTGTAACTCTCAGTTTGGAGTTTAAACGCTAGCTGGAATATGATCTTATGTTTTCCCATGTGTTGTTGTGTCGGTTGTGGCTAACTGAGGATGGTGTAATGTACTAATGTGTAACCAATGAATACAAAGAAGTATTTACTGCTAACAATATTTTTTTGGAATGAAAATTAGCTTTGCTGTACCAATTTTCTTGATGAGTAGTTTGTATTGTGTAGGCACATTGGAAGGGTTACCTTGCAAGGAAACATGCAAAAGAGCAACTTGTTGATCTGCGCTTGAGAATACAGCAGTCTGCTGCCACTGTAGAAGATAGAATGCGAATTATGAATAGACTGATAGCAGCACTAAAGGAGCTAAAAGGCATGAAAATTGTTAGCGGCATTCTTCATAATTGTGCAACTCTGAGTGAGTTTCTTACACTCACCACCCCCTCCTCCTCAGATGAATTAGCTTTAGTTATGTTCGGTAACAAAATATAATGTGTTTCCTACATATGCTCACAGATATGGCAACTACACATTCGCAGAAATGTTGTGAGCGGCTTGTAGAAGAAGGGGCAATTGAAATCTTGCTGTATCAAATAACTGCAGTCACCCGAAGCATACCAGATCAGGAAGTTATGAAACACTGCTTATCTACTCTCCGAAACCTTTCAAGACATGCACATTTAGCTGATGTGCTTGTTGCCCATCAAGGATCCATTGAAACCATCCTTCGAGAGTTTCTAAGGTTGGTATATCATGTCATTTACAGCTTAGAATTCCTTTTCTTCCTGGTTTTTTTTGGGGGGTTCTTAAGCTGTCTACTAAGTTGGCAAATCTGAATCTGGTTCAGGAACAAGGAAGAGGGCTATTTCATTGCTTGTGAGCTATTGAAGAACTTGTGTACGCGCCCAACAAGTGTTGAAGCAACACGTGGTTTGTCTTCCATGTTGAAGCGACTCCAAGCCCTTGTGGATGATCTTACCAGAAAAGCGAACCATGAGAAGAGGTTGATTTTGTTTGTTCCTTATAATCAATTTTAAAGATAACAAGCCAACCAATTTCTAATCTGCCTTGGATCTGTTTTCGAGTTAATACTAAGAATATGGTATTGCATATGCAGGAAGCCTCGAGCTGCGGCTGCACAAGACACCACAGAGCGAAGATTGAGAGAGGCCACTGAACTGCTGAATTTGATTACATGTGGGCTGCACAGTTCATGGCCTTAAACTAGTAATCATAGAAATCAAGTGCAACTGTAGAATTTGTTGTTGGACAACTCTAATTTTTTTTTTTTTTTTTTCTTAAATAGTTTTCTTGGAGGTTCTATTCAACTGCACTATTTGTGCATATATTAGAAATTTGTTGAATATTAGTACAATTAACAAAAGTTGTAGTGTTCATATTTCAGGAAATCTGCATTCATATGCTGATATACTATGTATATATTTCGGTATTTCCTTACCTTTGTTAATTGTATTCATAACTTGATCTATTATTGACACTCTTGTCAGCCATATTTCCTTATCTTAGTATTCGGATTCAGTTGAATCATTAGTATCAACAGCAATAATCTCTACCGCTCTTTGATTTGATAAATGGTAGTTTCATAAGCCGATAATTTTATTTTTGTTAATGCGAAATTCATACACATTTAGCATAATCTCTTCCCTGTAATGCAGCAAGGAGAGGGAACAATACAGAGAAATAAACAATAATCAGCTTTAACTTAATTTATTCTTTTTCTTTTTGACAGCAAACTTAATTAATTCTTTGATTAGAACTAGTGGGAGTTTCTTAAGCTGCAACTTGATTGGCAATTTGGGTGATTAACAGTTGTTTAGCGTGCTCAACCACGCAAGTGGAGCTTTTTTTGGATGATCGCGAATGATTAGTGGTGTACAAGTACAAGTTGATAGAGAGCTTGACTAAGACATGTACTAGGCCATGGCGGCTCACGTTGGCCGCCTACAAGGAATCTGTTGAACAAGATTCTGCCCCCTATAATAATCAATAGCAAACCATTCCACAGTAAAATCACTATCTTGCACGTCTTCACTATCTGTTTATAAGTAGCATGTTAGTTACATTATACTTGAGCATATGGATGCTAAACCCGTATGTAACGCAGTAACATTTCTGTCTCGACGTCCTTTAGAGTTTAGATACACAAGTGTATAATAGAGTTTATAAGCGAAATTTACCCTCAAGAGAAAAGTCTGATTCCAAAATGAGAGATCCGGTACATATTTGCTGTCAAAAACAAAACTTGGTGAAAATGATACTCTAGTTTGCATTTGGCAATAAAAAAAATTGTTCCACATTAAAAAAAAAAAAAAAAAAAAAAAAAAGTTCAAAATAAATAAGATTCCAAGTGGGAACTCTAATCAACTGAAGTGTGGACCACTTGATCAATAACAGATTCCCAATATCAGAAGTTGTTGAAAGTTGGATTAGATTTTGTCTTCCCCATTCATTTTCAGAGGGCCCAATTTAAATTAATACAGCTGAATTTCAGCCTTGTCTTAAGATAAATTTATCCAAAAAAAGAAAAAAAAGTTATGTAACACAGTATTATTACTTATTAGTATTATTGTTGTTGTGACTTGTGAGATCCAAGTAAATACTCGGGATTTTATTTTATTAAGAAATGACTTGTTATATTACGACTAAAGAACTCGGGGTAGTTTTTTAACATCCCCAAGAATAAAACGGTATTACAGTTCTCCCTACCTTTGTGATGGTTTTGACACATTCAAAAGTCATGAAATTTCGTAGAACAATTGCCTAAACTCAACATATCGAAACAATTACATATCAAAAATATCAAATGCCAAATGCTACATAAAAAAATAACTTTAGGCAGCCCTTGCAGTAATGTCTAGTCTATTAACTAAAACAGCAGGATCAATGAAAAAACCTCTTCTAGGCACAGTTACTGTAAGAACACCATCCTCATACCCAGCTGATATTCCATCAAGATCAATTCTTCCTGGAAGCCGGAACTTCTTCATGAATCTCCTCGGAGGATCGACGGTATTATCACCGGCCTCGGTTCGAATTATTAGGTACTTCAAGTCCTCTAGTTCCACCTTAATGTCTTCTTTCCTCACCCCTGTCATATCCAAATCACCAACAGAGAATTACGAAGTATATATAACATAATAACCAGAACTTTTTGGGATCACTGTTAGTTTTCAGTTTTTAGAAGTAAAACAAGTTGTATGTATGATTATATCATATATTGAATTTAAAAATAGCCATACTTATTTTAACTAACTAAAACTATTATTTCTTCTGATTTCACTTTAAGGTAGGTTAAGTGTATAAAGATAAACTTCACAAGCTATAAAAAGGACTAGGGGATTGGTGACTGATGGAAAAGTTTGGCGAGCTTCAGATGTACACAATCTTATGTAATACACAAAATATTTCGCTATATGATAAAGAGGGAGAAAGAATGTATAGTTAAGGACTTAAGGTACCTGGAAGATCAGCAGAGAAGACATGAGAATCAGGAGTTTCTCTCCAGTGTACATAGTTTTCAGGCTTATGGAAGTATGGTAAGAACATGTATGGATTGTATAGAATGTCCCAAGAATAAGGATGAAATGGGGAGATCTCCATTCTTTTTTATTTAATTTGTTTTGGTTTTTTTGAGGTTGAAGGTATGCAAATGCAGAGACTAACAGTAGGGTTCTGTTAAGGAAGGGAGGCACAAGGATTTGGGAGAGTGTCCTTTTTTATAGGCCAAATTGGGAGGTGGATGTGGTATCAACATCAAAGCTTACAAGTTGAAGATTTGGTAAATTTAGTTCTTTAATTTTTACTTTTTCTGTCCAAAATTAATTGTTTTTGTCATAATTTCACTAAAATCACTCTTTTATACAAGTTGTCTTCTTTTAGGATAACTATTTCAGATACATACTGTACATGACACAGAATATTTGAGTCCACAACCAGAAGTCTACAAGGAGTAATGTTTAATTACTATCTCCGTTAAATGTTATGTGCAATTTTGAGGTATTATTTATGAGATATAAAATATTCTAAAGTTGCGCACAACATTTAACGAAGGTAGTAAAAAAAATAATAAAATAAATTCAATGCCCCTATAAGGAAAGATATTTTTGGGAGGTGAGGATCAGAAAGATTGGTGGCTGATACAAAATGACAGTTTTGCCCCTAGATTTTTATCCCAAATATAATATCTACAGAATTAAAAAAAGAGGTACCATGTGCTAGCTATATTGGAAATACTGAAATAGTAAAGTTTAAGTAAAGTTCAGTATCCTGATACCTTGGTTTCATGTGTCCTGTGTCCATTTGCTTTTGGGTAAGGCCTGCTGCTGTCAATTATGCAGTACAAGTATTTTATGTGACATAAAGTATAAGGAAATTCAGGCAGAAAACTTCAGAAATTGAATCACTAAAACTCAAGCAGCAAGCTTCAGTAACATGTATTGCAGAGAAACACATATAGTTAAAGGCTTAAAGCAGTTTATATATAATGGATCATGGAAAGGGCCGATTACAATAGGTCATGTGTGATCGTTTTTGTGCGGTTAAGTTGGAAAAGGATTAAGGAAAATATGTGACTATAATTTAGTGTCACGAGTCACGACTATGTTACTTTGACTCTTCTATTTATCTTAATTAAGTCTCTGACTTGACACTAATACTAACTTGAGACATCGATCACCCTGAAAGTTCAATAAAGATCCAACTTTTTTGTAGAAAAAAATCAAGATATAAGGAAAGCAAAGAGAGATCTCCAAACACTAATGTTCAGTATCAGCAGTTCCTTACTTCCTGACTTCAAAAAACTGGTCAATGGCACGCTTGGCATTTGATATGAATGTATTCCAGAGACATTATTTCATAGCAATTCTTCAATAGGTTTGTATTATTGTCACAAGTTTGACAGCCAGAACTCAATCAACTAAAACTATCATCTATCAGATCACCACAATAGGAAATGCTAAGAATATTAGCAGCAAGTTAAATGACCAACTAAAACTTATCAGAAAAAGAAAGTGGTCTCCATGAAGATTTATCAACGCGATGAAGCCCTGTGATGAAAATTGGTTTTTCTACATGAAAATAATTAGAATATCTAATGTTTCATTCCACCAAATGGAGTAGTACAGTAGTCATGCATACGATACAATAACAATGTATTCAAATTCAATCATGTTCCACTAATCAGACAGTAGTTTATTGAGAGGTACCTTAAAGCTTATATCTTTATCATGGATTTTCCATCATACTAAAAATGACAATCCAATTACACACAATATTTAGTCATTGTCGTCAACCCAAGCAGACAAAGCAGTTACTGTAACATGGCACATTTGCTGAAGGTCTTCTAGAGAACGGAAAGGAAGAGGAATGACAGGATGAGTGATAAGCGGGGCAGCTGAACGAAGAACATGCTTAACAATTGTGCAAGAAAATTCAGACTGGTTGGTAAAAAATGCAGTTACGCCCATGGATTTGAATCATTTGATCAACTCAAGAGCTCCACCCCACCTTTGCTCTCTAATTAACAGTTCAATGCAACAATGACATGAGGAAAAAGCAAGAAGGGAATAAAAGTATTCTCATGGGAAGCTCCTCTTCTCTTTATTTTATGGCTTTGTACAGGCCACACATGCCCTTATGAGACTCCTTCCAATGCTGCTTCTGGCAATCAGGGAAACAATAAACTATCGCACAAAGACCTACTGCAAGAAAAAGACTAATCAGTGCGAAATTCTCACACATTGCACATCGCCAAAGTATCTTCTAGTATGCTTTTTATGTCAGAAAATGGTCTTCGCTGGTTGGTTCTGTATACTCGGTGGTGGTTGAGTTGGCTGACGAAAAGGATTTTTCCTCATAAGCCTGACCAGGTGGATGTGAAACTGTCACTGCTACAATATCGTTGCCCTTGGCCATCCCTGCAGGCCATTGAACATCCACCGTCTCAATAAATGGCTCAAAACGCATAAATTGAGACCATTTGGTTGTGGCTTGCACATCTTCTTGTAGCAAAGGGTGAACCAAAGTCATACCTCTCATAGAAGCATACACAAATCTAAGCTCCTCAAACATTGGAATCCTATATCTAAGCTCACCATCAGAATTGCAACACACAACATCAAAAACAGGAAAGTACTCGGTTCCTTCAAGAGCCAAAGACTTTATCATTTTCTTGTGACAAGGAAACATTAAGGACTCTTTCTCAAAGGTCACTCTCATAATCTCAGTATTCGGGGCAGGAACGGTTTCTCTTAGCTTCGTTGCCTCCTGAGCATCATTCTCAGATCGATATAAATAAAACGCTAGATCCCCACCATCCCCCCCAATGAATTGGACACAGGGAAATGGCTGCACTCTGCCAGGCCACTCAGAGTTTTTGCCAACCCTAACACCAAAGAAATGCCCGGGCCGTAATCGCCTCCATGGATCAGTCCTATATAGAGCTGCACCAGCTCTATAGAGTGACTTGATGAAAGAAGCAGTTACACCCTCCACTTTCATCAAGCAAGTACTAGATGCAGGACCAAGTCCTGGCCCAGATCCAAATTGCTCATGGAACCTACCAACCAAGTTCTTCAAATGCACATCCATATGAAATTCAAATCCTACTAACTTCCACCAAAAATCACTGAAAAATAAAAATAAAAAAATCAACAAAACAATGACCTCAGAATAATGCAGCTTATCATCCAAATCAAAATCAACAATATCAATTCAAATTCCAAGAACAATGAAAACCCCAGAAATCTAATGGCAGAATTACACTTTCCAGGTTCCAAATCCAAAATCCCTTCTTTTAATAATTAAACAAGTGAAATTCATTCTCAAAATAATTACAAATTAACGAATACCCAAAAAACCAATTTCATAAATGTTGCAACCCAGATGCCATGCCAAAGTTTACTCCTTTTTTAGTGAAGCAGTAGAGTGATGAATAATATACTTATAATAAACTAGTACTCAAACAAATTAAATAGAACAACAATGATTGAAATGGCTATAAGATAAGCAATTACATTGAATGGAAGAGTGTGAAGATTAGTACTGTACCAGATTTCAGTTGAAGAAGAACAAAGCCTTGCAATTTTGTTGATGAAAAATCCTATGAACTACAAAAATATGGGTGTTTTTTACCTCTCCGAATTGAGAAAAAGGAGGGGAAAAAAATCTACCACATTGACAGTGTCAAAATAGAGCTGTTAAATAGGTCACTGCTGTAATATTGACCAAATTAAGTTGTAGTCGATAAGATATTCATAGGTCAATAAGATATCCATAGGTCAATTATCTTGAGGTAGTCTTAAACCTTGGTTCTATAAGTATTTTCTAATGATGGTATATTGGTATGAAAGATTACGGGAGTGTTAGGCAATTGGCTTTTTGTCTAGCTTTTGGATTTCTAATTTGGTCAATCAGCCAAAAAAATATATGTTTGGTAGTTCGCTTTTAACCTAGCTTTTCCGCCAAAAGCCAAAAGCTAATAGGAGTAGTTTTTTCTATTGGCTTGTTGGCCCACTTTATCACTAATAAACAACCAGCAACCATTAATAATTTAACCAAACACTTTTGTAAATAGTCGGTTAAAAGTCAATTCATACCGCTAATACTTCCAGGCTTCAAGTTAGTCAAACAAGCCAACAACCAATTGTCGATTGCAAAACAACCCAAACCTGTTTAGGAATAAGTAGGGGGGAAAAAAACCTTTTTCCACTAATAAAAATAAGTTGATTCAAGTGGAAAAAAAAAATCATCTAAAGTAAGTAGAAAGCAAAATCTTATATTATTGTAAGAGATATATATAGGTCAATGTTCATTTTCTATATAGATAACCAAAAATTAAACTCTGGCTAATTATTAGAGGAATGGCGGAGTAAGTATTATTACATCCTGTTTTTGATGGTCAAAATAAAGCAAAGATTTTTCATATTAAAGCAAAGATTTTTCATGGTCAAAATAAAGGTTTTCGACTTTTCGTAACAAAATTCACGAAATTTGGCCAAAACGAAGGTTTTAATGGCCAAATTCGACCATGAAAACTCTAGATCTAGAGTTTCATGGTCGAATTTGACCATTTTAAACCAAATCCGAGATGAAATTTAAGGGTCATTTTTGGTTTAAAAGGTATGTTTTCTTGTTTTTAATATTTTTTTTTGAATTTTTAATAAACCCATTAATATGATTTGATTTCTGGTAAGTTTTGTACTTGAATTGTTTTGGTAAATTTCATTAGTTTTGGTAAAAAATCCGGTGGTGATGGTTTCGGTTTGGTGTGGGTGGGGGTGGGTTGTCAGTTCGTTGTGGCTTTGGTTTGGTTTGATTTTGTTTGGTTCGGTTTTGATTGGTGTGGTTTGGTTCGGTTCGTTTTTTTTGCAAAATTTGATGTCTATGATACTTGATAGGAAAATTCGGTGCGGTTTGTTTTTTTTTATGAAAATCGAAATTTAGGTGGTTTGGTTTGGTTCGGTTTCAGAGCCAAAGTGGTGCGGTGTGATTTGCAAAATCAAGAAACCGAAATAGGGTGGTTCTGTTTCGGTTTGGGCAAAAAACCAAACCGAAAACTGAACTTTCACCCCTACCCTTGTATACTACAAAAGTCTTCATTTTCTAACTTAAATTTTACCCTTGAAAACAATTATAGGTTATAATGTATCAAATTAGAGCATGTCCACATTTACTGAACTGAACTGTTGGAGCTGAATTGGACTGATTGGAACTGAAGTGAACTGAATATTTTATGTAAGAGGAAAATTAAAAGCTGAACTGAACTGATTGGAGTTGAACTGAACTGAAATTAAGTAAATGTGAACAGACTCTTAGTTATATTAGCTTTCAAATTATATATCCATTAAAAATTGCACATACATACAATATAACTTATTATAAATTAAAAATTACTCGTAAAAGAAATTAAATTACCCTCAATTTAATCATATTATTACAATTAAAATATTAAATTAACGCTCGTCTTATACAAAACTTATTATAATTCCTCAAATAAAAAGCTTATTATGATTTTTTTTGATAAAATATTATAATTTTTTTTTAGTAATAATAATAATTGTACTCTAATAATGTCCTTTCCATGTTTCAATTATATATATATATATATATATATAGTATATATTTTTTTTTATTTGGAAAAACACTTTTATTACCAAAAGTGGTTAAGATTCAGACAGCCATTGATTATTAAAGCCCGAAATCTTAGCCCAAATAAGTAAACGAAAGAGAGGCCCATAACTTCAATATAAAACAATTGGCGCTCGTCATACTCAAAAATATCTCTCTCACCTTCTTCTTCCTCTTCCTCCCATTTTCTCTCTCCTAGGGTTTTTCTCTCTCCTCTTTCAACGTCAATTCGAAAATGATGCAACCAGGACAACAAGGCATGGTAGCTCCACCACCATCAATGGCGGCTTCGCAACCTTCCATGGATCAGAACTACCATCAGCAGCAACAGCAGCAGCAGATTCAGCTTTTGCAGCAGCAGCAACAGCAATACCAGCAGCAATGGATGGCGCAGCAAGCTCCGCAACAGCAACAGCAGGCTTCGCAACAGCCACCGCAGCAGCAGCAGTATCAGCAACAGCCTGCTGCTACCGCTGAGGACGTTCGTACGCTTTGGATTGGAGATCTGCAGTATTGGATGGATGAGAATTATATTCGTAATTGTTTCGCTCATACCGGCGAGGTATATAGAATCTCATTTGAAATTTTATTGATTTTCATCGATAAATTTCTCGTGATTTTTGTTGTGAATTTGCTGTTTTATCTTAGGTATTCTATTGAATTAAGGTTATGGTAATCTATGATCTGTTTATAAAGCTTATTTAATTAAGGTTATGGAAATATATGATCTGTTTAATTTATTGATTTTAGTATAAGGTTGTAAATTTGTTATTGTCTTTGGCTTGTCGAAGGTTTTCTGTTTGATTGAAGTTGTGAGAATGTATGATCTGTTCATGTTGTGATGATTGAAGTTGTGTCGGATTAGCATTGTCGTGTGTTTGACTATATGTTGTCCGGAGGTTTTGGATGTTTACCATTGACTACCTGACTGGTCCTTGAAGATTGATGGAGAGGGTACTAATGAAAAATCTTACTTGGGATTTTTTTTTGTGGCGGAGGTTAAGGAGATTATATTATTGTAAACTAGTGGAGGACTCGAGGGAGACCTTGATTTTTGATTCATATTTTCTCTAATATTGAAGGTACTGTGTTATTTAGGGAGGTTGTCTTTTATTTGTGGATCTTGTTAATATTCTGTTTTACTGATGTTATTTAACAAGTCGACATTTAATAAGGTGGCTTTGATTGCCGTAGTTTGTAATTACTGAAAGTATAAGGAGTTGATTTGGTGGATTATGTAAGAGAGGGTTCTTACAGTGTGAACTCAGTTTTATTTTTAGGGAGGCAAATCAGATTGGTATGACTGAACACATAATATGTTAATTTCATGTGTCAAAATGTCTGCTTCCATGTTGCAGCTAATTTTTTCAGAAGCTTAGGTGCGTTTACTTTATTCACCACTAATATTACCTAATCTTGCAGCTTTCCAATGTCAAAATCATTCGTAATAAGCAAACCATGCAGTCAGAGTGCTATGGATTTCTTGAGTTCACCACTCATGCTGCTGCTGAGAGAATTCTACAGACATACAATAATACCCTGATGCCAAACGTTGAGCAAAACTACAGATTGAATTGGGCTTTCTATGGATCTGGTGAGAAACGGGGAGAGGATGCATCTGATTATACAATTTTTGTGGGTGACTTAGCTACAGATGTTACTGATTACACATTACAAGAGACTTTTAGAGTTCGCTACCCCTCAGTTAAAGGTGCTAAGGTGGTGATGGATAGGCTTACTGGTAGGGCAAAGGGCTATGGATTTGTTCGTTTCAGTGATGAAAGTGAGCAACTACGTGCCATGTCAGAGATGAATGGAATGATGTGTTCAGGTCGTGCAATGCGTATTGGAGCTGCTGCTAACAAGAAAAATGTTGGTGGAACAGGTATTTACTAACATTTGGCAGTGTGTATTGTTATATAGTTGTCATAGTTAATTAATTCTGCATGCATGAACATGTTGAATTTTGTATTGATTCCTGCTTTTGTTGTTTATATTAGTCAGAATATAAAGTTGGTAAGGTTGAAAGAATGGTGATTGCTTATGCTCTATGTTGGTTTACAATTAAAGTTTTATTTGGGTCTCCTACATTCAGTTGTTCTCTTGAAGATGCGCAGAAATTCAGTTCCAGTGCTTTCCTTTCAGATTTGGGAATTATTAATTCTAAATTGAAAATCTTATAGAACTCCCATTGTCTCAAAGCAGGGTGTCAAGAGGTTCTACCATTTAGGGGCCTGGGACTGAATTCAGCCGAAATGGTTACCCCCTTAATACGTTGCCTTGTGTAGGTCAGTAATGTCATAAATTTTCCATTTACAGCAGTTTCCAGTGCTAAAAGTTATTCTTCCATTCAGTTTAGTATATTATCCATTTTACAGCTATCAGTTAAGTTCAATTTCATTACAATTTAGGATGTCAGTTTTTGGCTATTCTTTCGCTTTAGTTTAATACGTTGCCTTGTATAGGTCTGTAATGTCATAAATTTTCCATTCATTCTTCCTTTCAGTTTTGTATATTATCCTTTTTACAGCTATCAATTCAGTTCAATTTCATTACAATTTAGGATGCCAAAATTTGGCATTTCTTTCGCATTAGCTTTTTCTTAATGCTCCTTTGCCCTCCTTTATAGATTTTCTTTTTCTTCTTCTGTTGTCAAGAGGTGACCTGTTTGTGTTGCTTATTTTTTTTTATTTTTTATTTTTTAAAAAAGATCTACACGAGTCTGTGGTCTAATATAGTTATGTACCTCTTATAAACAGTGAGTAACATCGTATGGATTATTTTGGTTCTTAGGTTATTATGATCTCCTGAGTGAGCTTAACTACCCGTTTATTTCATAACATTTTGAGATTCATTTCAGTGCCCTAAATAAAATATTCAAAGTATGTATTAGTTGGTCATAAATAATGTATAATGCCCGTATGTCTGTTCTGTTCAGTGGTTAGGGATTGTTTGAAATTTGTTTGCTAAATGTTTTCTGTGATCACTATATTTGTGAATTGAGGTGGTGTGACTTTACCTTTTGGTGATGATAAATTATCCATATGGGTTTTAGGTTATTTGCTCTCTTTTTGTTGAAATATTTGATAGATTTGTGCTCTTTCAGATCTTTTAGTTGATGAGCATATTAATTTTAATATTTTACTTGTTTGCTGAGGGAGCTAGGTTTTTAGCTCTTTCTATTTGGTTGTGCTGATATTTTGCATGAGTTTCTTTTGTTTTTGTGTGATAATGTTCTGTTTTGCCTGTTCTTGAAAGAATTTACTTTGGGGGTTTTACCGAGTATTATAAAGCCTACTAACTTTTCATTTTCTGTCCCCTTGTATTTTGTAATCTTTGCTTTTGCACTCTTTTTAAAGACTGTAAGAGTAGAGAGAAAATTATATGACAAAGAATCAATATGTAAACACAAAACCTTCCCAATAGACAGTATGTTTATTAATGGAGACTAAAAAAATGTTGTCTTATAATGACAATGAAGTATGCTAATATCATGTCATTGCTTTGCACTTTTATGATCTGACTTTGTAGTCTAATAAATTGTTTTTATTTTTTTAATCTTTTTCTTCAGTCAGGAATATTAGCACTGTTGTCTTTCTGAGTTACATGATGGTCATTATTTTTAGTTGGTCGAAATAAGTTTTGTAAGGTCCTTGTTGCTTTATCCTTGTCCTCTTTCTTAATCGCAGCTTCATACCAGAACTCTCAGGGAACTCAAAATGACAGTGATCCAAGTAACACTACTGTGGGTACTTTTCCCTTAAGAGTTTCATCTAAGTTGTACTTGATAATATCTTGACGTGATTTTGTATTTTTATTTTTTTTTTCAGATTTTTGTCGGCAATCTGGATTCTAATGTTTCTGATGAAATTTTGAGACAAACATTCAGTCCCTATGGGGAATTGGTCCATGTAAAAATACCTATGGGCAAGCAATGTGGATTTGTTCAATTTACTAACAGGTTTGCATGGACTTGTACCTTTTTAGTTGCATGTGATTCTTGCAGGTCTGCATATGTGATTTGGAAGTTAATATATTGTCTTATTAATTCTGCAGAAGTAGTGCTGAGGAGGCATTGAAAGCATTGAATGGAGTACAATTAGGTGGACGTAGTGTTAGACTCTCTTGGGGACGTAGTCCTTCAAACAGACCGGTATGTTTTCATTTCTTTTTGGGTGCTCAGTATAGTATATCTTTGTCGTAGTCCTGAGCTAAGTGGTTGAATGTATGCAGTCGCAACCTGATCAGAGCCAGTGGAATAATTCTGCTTATTATGGATATCCACAAGGATACGACTCCTATGGATATGTGTCTGCGCCTCAAGATCCTAACATGTACTATGGTGGTTATCCCGGATATGGCGGTTACCCAATGCCTCAGCAGGCACAGATGCCATTGCAACAGCAACAGGTTAGTTGATGTTTATATTATTGTCAGTCAATGTTAGCATATCTTCTTTGTATAGGTTTATGGGTTTCTATGGAACAAGTTTGATAATTTTGGATGAATCACCTATGAAGCATTTTAAGTGTATCCAAAATGTTGGCTGTTCATGTTGTGCAGTTGCAATGTTAAAGTCTTAGTTCTTGTTTCTTATGCTCAGTTTTCTGGCTCCTTAAAAAGTTCTCGGAAACTTTCCTGTTTAAAATCTTATTACGTTTGTTGATTGTGCAGTGATCCAGCTATGCTAAGCGCCTAAGCGGGATAAGTTGATAGCCAGGGAGGGTATATTTCACCTGAGGCTGCTCTTCTGGAGCTATGGTCCTCTCTGAAATGTCTGAATGTAGTATACTCTGTGATTCTGCTAGTCAAATTTTCTTTTCTTTTTTTTGGATTTTGCTCAATGCTGCTTGTATGTAGCTTGCTTTTGGTCCGGCTCGCGTAATGTTCTTGAGATTTGTCATACATGGATATGGCTTGTGAGTTTTGATCATGTCATGTGTTAATTTTTAAATTAGATCTATTTTTGATTCTAAATTTATCTGTGCTGCCTTTGAATCTCTCTTTTTTTTTTTTTGGAAATAGCTAGGACCTAACAAAAGAGAATTTGTTGCCATTAAAAATTGATTTAAGTTTTAGCTAAGATTTTTTTTTGTACTACTAGAGATGTATTAAACGGTTACGTGTGCCTGTGGGAAGTAGGGCACATGTTTACAAATCTCAATTTTTTTTTTTGAAAGAATACAAATCTCAATTTTAAAGAAAGCTAAACAAAAAGAGTAAATAGGAGGATTATGACTCTTGCAATTAAATTTATTGAAGGTGTATTAATACCACACAAATTGCCTAATTATATCATGTACTGTAATTTGTTTATTACTCTCAAAACTTCACTACTAGAGGTATTATTAATGTTTATCTAGTCTTATCTCTTCGTTTATTTATGTAAACTAACAATTAAAATTGAAAGCAAATGTAATGTAATGAGTCAATGCCAGCCTAGTTACATTTTGCCTCTGGAAATAAGGACTATCAGAAAGCCAAACGTTAGATACCGAAATTCAATCAAATACTCGTAATAGATCAGTAACATGGAATATAAGTCAGTAAGCACGACATGTCTTTTTAACAATTTTGTTATGGCACTAAAATTTCTGAAGCCAAGCTATGCGCTATACTATTAAAAAAAAAATACTGGCTTAGTTCATTCTAAAACATCTAACTAACAAGTCCAAATAAACTGTACAAAGATGACAGACACAGGCTGCATAACCTCATTGTTTGAGCACAACTTCAGACCATTAACTTGATCGACACAGACAAAATCTTCATTCCTATTATTTTCCCCCAGGGAAAAACGTCTTCAATATGGTTTCTTCATGTTTAAGCATTTATCAGACGCTTCACTGAACAACTCCTGGACTTGCTTTAATTCCTTATCTGGGCAGAAAGAACAAGAAAATGTGCAAACATTAGCTTTACTAAACTCCACAAAAGTAGCATCAGGAATCTACTTGGGAAATCTTTCTACTGAAACCAAGCATCATATTCATTTGGTTTCAAGTAATACATTCTGTTAGACTGATAGTTACCACAGTAATAATTCACAGGCCACACAAGTAAAAATGTACACGTATAAGGTACACAGTACACAAGTCAGTGACCACCTTCATGGCCTCATGTACCAAGAGTAAGCTAGTTGATCAAACTCCTCAATTAAATATTTGACAAGGCATACATACAAAGTCATGTTACACCTTTTCAACAGTACATTATAACAGAACCTAATGCTCTGCTTATTCTGGCTGCACAACTATTTATATTGTAAAATGATTCAATGGGGCAAAAACAATATTAATGTGGTTATAGATGTATCAACTAAACCAGAAGCTGTATGCAGATCAGGGGCGAAGCCAGGATTATAAAACTCCAGGGGCTGGTTGATGCTTTAATTTATTAAATATAAATATATAAGATGTTAAGTATTATTACTATGTGATTGTACATTTTTTTACGAAAAGGTCTTATCAATTTTACAAGGATACTTTGACTGACATTTGGGGGGGCCACTCTTCTATCCACACCTTCATCTCTTGGAAAGAGAGGGAAGACTTAGCAATAGAGCAAGCAGCTACAGTACAAAGAAGAGAGCTAAAATTGAAGCTACAAAAATCGAATTTACTACCTAAGCTAAGCTAAATTTTTAATATAGCAGCAAAATTTTTAAATAGATAATCTTTATTAATTAATACTCTAGGGTACTTTCTTCTTATTTCTTGTATTGCTACCTATTTATCTTTAATAAAAAGATATCAGTGTTTTTTATTTATATCATTTGATAACCTACCAAAAGATATCAGTGTTTTTTATTTATATCATTTGATAACCTACCAAGAAAAATAATTATTCAAATTAAATAACATAATGTGAAGTGTGTAGCTTAGTAATTATCAACAAGTAATTTAATGTAAGAAATAACCCTATATTAACAAACAAGTAGAATGGTAGAAGGGGGGGGGGGGGGGGAAATCAATTTGGCTAACTAGCTTTTTCGTGCCACTATGGCACCATTCACCAAGAGTAAAAAGATCTGACAATTTAGAGCAAAGGAGATTTGAATCTAGAATCTACAGTATTAAAGCTTTAACATTAAAAGGTCATACCATTGAAGCAAATGCAACATTACTGAATACTGATAAGACTAGACAAGCATAATATATGTACAGATTTTATGGAGGCGAAGTATATAAATTAAAGGCTGTGGAATTTGGCTGCAGGGGCCAGGCCTCCACCAGGCTCCCCTTCGCCCATGGTGCAAGATTGTCAAGTGGTACACCAAAAAACTAGGAAAGCATAATCGACTTGTTCAAAACATTCCAGAGTATGAAAATTTAAAATATTTCCAGTCAAGTATATGAGTATTTTTATGACAGCGGCTTCATTTCATACAGGCAAAATCTAAAGAAAGAGTAGACAACGCAAACTATTTCATACGGAATGTAATTAATAGTAAAAAGCAAGTCATTACCAGCAGCTTCCAGTTGCTTCTGCAATTCTTGGCCAATAGCATCATTTTCTGCCTGGTAATATAAACAAGAAAGGCTGCTTTAGTAGGCTCTATAAATTTCAATATTCACAGCAAATTATCTACTAGCCTACGTAAATACCTGAAGCTCAGCGATTCTTTTCAGTTGAGCCTCTTCACCTCCCTCAGCTAGTGGTAGGGCATTAACCAAGGCATCAAACTGTAAAGAGCAAGTTAGATAAAAAAAAATTAGTGATGACACAAATTATTTGACAAGGCAGAAGAGAAAATTATTCTAGGCATTTGATGGGTTAAAATACTTTCCCCAATCTAGAACTACTCATCTCCCCAACAAATTATTAAGAAAAAAGAAAAGAAAAGAAAGCTTGCCATATTTGCACTGGTCTAAAGAATTACAAGTAAAAACTAGAAGACAGGAACTGATATTAATATACAAAAATCCGTGGCAAATCGCACAGGACATTACCAATTAACTCAAGAAGCAATCAAGTCTTGAGAATAAGCCCTAAATCCTCTATAGAACTCTATGGTAGAAACAGATACAAAAATAAAACCAAAATGGCAAAGGAAAATAAAAAACAAGATGAAAAGGGAGGAAGATGAACTCTACATTGGTTTGCCATGTGTGTGTGTGTGTGAATTTTTTGGACAACGGTATGCCATGTTAATAATTGAAACTTGGTGGGCTAAAAGCTGCACTTTGGTTTTACAGCATAAGTATGCAGCTAAACGTTTATTCTAATTGCCACCCCGATATCTGTAATTTTTATGCTCAAAGCTTACACCTTTAATTTCATCTTTCCAAGCCTAACAAGATACCAAGCCTAACAAGATCCAGAAAACAGAATATCTTGATCACAGTCTAATCTTAGGAAGGACACATCAAAACCATATACTTCTGCAAGCTCAAATACAATTCCGATCAACCTAATATAAATAACTTCTTTGCTATGCGGCTTACTCAAACTGAGCAGTTACTCTCTACTTGGTGAACCCTGTCAGCACAAATAGCTGCAATGAAATGCAAGCCTATTACCACTTCTTCAAGTTGTAATTAAATCAAGTGAAGAAAATATGGTCTAACTTTTTTGGACAGAGTTATCATACACACCGAACAACCGAATTCCTACTCATTGACTCAAGAAAGTCATTCTAGTATAAAATCACAAATGCTGAATTACCACCAACAACCCAATATGTATATAGGAAGTCTCAAGAGCTCCACACACAAGCAATCTCTTCATAAGCTAATTGACACTAGCAAAAGAAGCCGGTCTCGATACATTGAAACTAGAACAACCCCAAAAATCAATATTATAAACCTAAACTCGCATAATTCCAATCATTACAATTCAATTTTCATCAGTATTCCACCCAAAAATCAATTTATTTAGATACTTTAAAAGGGTAGAAGGAAAACAATAAACCCCAGAAAAATTTACCTGCTTTGCAGCCTTAACAAGAGCAGCACTGGCGGTTTTGGGTTCATCAGCAAAATTGGCGGAAGCATCAGGCGGCGGTTGTTGCTGTTGCTGCTGCTGCTGCCCTTGTTGGGGTGGATTGGGATTCGAATTATTTGAACTAGGGTTCGAATTAGGGTTAGGGTTAGGGTTCGAATTAGGAGGTTCAGGGTAATTAGGAGAGAGACGAACAGGAGGAGCATCTCTTTGTAAAGTTCCGAAAGTATTGAATGCAAGTGATGCTATCAAATTTACTTGTTCTTGCAATTGTGATATTATATCCATCTTCTTCCCTTCAATTTTCGATGGAAATTGCAGCAAATTAAAAATGGAAATTAGAGAACTAGATCAAAAATTAAAATTAACTAGCAAATCAATTGAAGTATAACAAAGAGGGTATAAGTGTGAGAGATTAAGAGTACTTACTTGTGAAGATTTGCGGATTTTTTTTTCTGCAAAATTCGAAGAGAAAGCTCTGTAAATATGAGCAGAGTAACGAAGAAGATGGTTAGCTGATTGCTGTAGTTGTAGCTCTATAAAGTATTGACTGACATACAGAAAACAATAGTCTTGGTTCAGGGCGTCGTTTAGCTTTTCACTTGCTCCGTATTTTACAGACACGGAATAATATGATGTTTGTGTACTTCTCCCTTTGTTTATTTTAGAAAAATTTGCAAATTGCATTTGCAAATTACAGCCATTTAAAAAAAATTGCAAATTGCAGGCCAAAAGTTCATATAAATTGTAAATTGCAGCCCGATTTAACTTTGTAATCGGTTTACTAGATGAAAAATCTTCGATTAGGGTTTTAGGAGCCATTTTGGTACTTATGGATCCGATTTAAGCTCGAAATTAGCAAAAAAATAACGCAAGTATCTCGTTTTGCGTAACAAAAATGTATCGATTTGTGGGAAACTGTAAATATGAGACTTTCGTTATTTTTTTTTTGCTAATTTCGAGCTCAATTTGGGCCCCTAAGGGCTAAAATGATCCCTAAAACCTTAACCGAAGATTTTTTAACATGTAAAACTATGAAAAAATTTAATCGGACTGCAATTTACAATTTATACGAACTTTTGAACTGCAATTTACAAAAAAAAAATTTAATGCCTGCAATTTGCAAAATACGGACTTTAAATGATTGTAATTTGCAAGTTTTCCTTTATTTTAAGTGTTGCACTTCTTAGACGCGACATATGTACTGATGCACTGAATTATTTAAAATAAATAGAGGAAGTGTTACGGTTTTAGACTTTGTTGGGTGTATTCTATATGACCTATTACTATGGGACACTAATAGAGTTAAAAGGAATTACGCTTAATTACTCAATCGGGCGAACAAATGATAACATAGTCTACTTAATGTCCTCCCTCTGCCTAATCAGCCATTTATACATGATTTAGTTCAAGCTAATAATCATGCATATAAAGGTCACAGAGATTGTTTCACTTCTTAACAAGCATGCAACATCCCTGATGAATGAAAAATTCGATTATGTTCATCTCCTGTTACCGTTGCTAGCTAGACATCAAGACACCTTTGATTACAGGATTACAGATTTATTATAAACATCTTGCAATAGCAAGCATCACCAAACAGAAAATAAATGAGAATCATACAATTGGTGCTCAACTGTCTAAGTATCCCATGACAAGTTCAAGCAAGCAAGAAAAACTGATCAGCTGTGCAATTTAAGAGACACAAATAACATACAAAGGCACGTGTAGAAACTATATTTATTCATAGATGAGAAAGACTTAACGAGTTCATTACTATAATAAGAAAACATAAACTAAAAATTGTTTATCATAACCTACTAAAAGCAAAGCAAATCTTAAGCAGCAGCCTTCCAAACAGTAACAATCCCACATAACCAACTCAAAAGCCACCACGGAGACGAAGGACAAGGTGGAGGGTGGATTCTTTCTGAATATTGTAGTCAGCCAAGGTGCGTCCATCCTCGAGTTGCTTCCCTGCAAAGATTAGTCTCTGCTGGTCCGGGGGAATCCCCTCCTTATCCTGGATTTTAGTTTTCACATTATCAACAGTATCTGAGCTCTCAACCTCTAGGGTGATGGTCTTCCCAGTCAAAGTCTTGACAAAAATCTGCATCCCACCTCTTAAACGGAGCACCAAGTGAAGGGTAGACTCCTTTTGGATATTGTAATCTGCAAGGGTCCTCCCATCCTCAAGCTGCTTCCCAGCGAAAATCAACCTCTGCTGATCAGGGGGAATGCCTTCCTTATCCTGGATCTTAGTCTTTACATTATCAACAGTGTCTGAGCTCTCAACCTCCAAAGTGATGGTCTTCCCTGTCAAGGTCTTAACAAAAATCTGCATCCCTCCTCTCAAGCGCAGCACCAAGTGAAGGGTAGACTCCTTTTGGATATTGTAATCCGCAAGGGTCCTCCCATCATCAAGCTGCTTCCCGGCAAAGATCAACCTTTGCTGGTCCGGAGGAATGCCTTCCTTATCCTGAATCTTGGCTTTGACATTATCAATAGTGTCAGAGCTCTCAACCTCCAAAGTGATAGTCTTCCCTGTCAAAGTCTTAACAAAAATTTGCATTCCACCTCTTAATCGGAGAACAAGATGGAGGGTTGACTCCTTCTGGATATTGTAATCAGCAAGAGTACGCCCATCCTCGAGCTGCTTCCCAGCAAAGATCAACCTCTGCTGATCTGGGGGGATTCCCTCCTTGTCTTGAATTTTGGTCTTAACATTGTCAATAGTGTCGGAGCTCTCAACCTCCAAAGTAATAGTCTTCCCTGTTAAAGTTTTCACAAAAATTTGCATACCTCCCCTTAATCGGAGCACAAGATGGAGGGTTGATTCCTTCTGGATATTGTAATCAGCAAGAGTACGCCCATCCTCGAGCTGCTTCCCAGCAAAGATCAACCTCTGCTGATCTGGGGGGATTCCCTCCTTGTCTTGAATTTTGGTCTTAACATTGTCAATAGTGTCGGAGCTCTCAACCTCCAAAGTGATGGTCTTCCCTGTCAAAGTCTTCACAAAAATTTGCATACCACCCCTTAATCGGAGAACAAGATGGAGGGTTGACTCCTTCTGGATGTTGTAATCAGCAAGAGTACGTCCATCCTCGAGCTGCTTCCCAGCAAAGATCAACCTCTGCTGATCCGGGGGGATTCCTTCTTTGTCCTGAATCTTGGTCTTAACATTGTCGACAGTGTCAGAGCTTTCAACCTCCAAGGTAATTGTTTTTCCTGTCAAAGTCTTTACAAAGATTTGCATTCCACCACGAAGGCGAAGCACCAAGTGGAGAGTAGACTCCTTCTGGATGTTATAGTCTGCAAGGGTTCGGCCATCCTCGAGCTATTTACCAGCAAAGATCAGACGCTGCTGATCTGGGGGAATTCCTTCTTTATCTTGAATTTTGGTCTTAACATTATCAATCGTATCAGAACTCTCGACCTCAAGAGTTATGGACTTGCCAGTTAGGGTTTTGACAAAAATTTGCATCTAAACGCAAAACAACAATCAATTAATCAACCATTCAAAAACAATAATCAATTAATTAACCATTCAAAAAAATAATCAATTATTCAACCATTCAAAACAACAATCAATTATTCAACCATGCAAAACAACAATCAATTAATAAACCATTCAAAACAACAATCAATTAATAAACCATTCAAAACAACAATCAATTAATCAACCACTCAAACAATAATCAAATGTGTAATATAATCGCTATAACTGAAGAAATTCCAAAAACCTAACTGTAATTTAGCATCAAAAGAAAGCACACACTCACATAAATCAATAACATAAATTCTAACTGAAGACAATTCACAAAACATTACAGCAATCAAATATGAAGAACAAACCATCTAGAATAAACTATGAAAATCTGATCTAAAGAACAATTTTTGCAGAAGCTCTAAAGATAATTAAACCCTAATGTGTAAAGATAATATAAACCAATTTCAGAACCAAATAATCAAATTCGGAATAATTTTAATAATTGTATGCAAATTAGAATTGCAAATTGATCGATTGATTGAAGTAGAGCTTGAAACAAAATAATGAAAAGAATTCAACAAATTGAAAAGAAACCAAGAGAACTTACGATTGAATATTGGGAAAAAGGGTGACGAGAGAGTATTGAATGTTGGATGGAGTTATTCGATCGCTTTAGATGTGAATATATTATGAAGTTACGAAACCTACGTCGAGTATTATAGGGTTTGTTTAACCGCCATAAAATTAGCAAATACAAGTAGGGTTTGGAATATGGAGTTGCCAAAAGCAAACACGGCATAAACCTAACGTCTAAAGACTCAAAATCCTTAAATAACGGGTTAGTATTAGGGTTTTGGGACATGTTTAATTAAAAGAGTTAACATAATGCACCATGACACATAATTAAATAATAATAATAAATAAATAATATATGAAATTTAAATTATTTAAAGAAGATCTATCCCTGCCCTACCACCTACTTGGATATCTATATCCACCCTATACCCGCCCCAAAATCGTCCCAAATTCTATGTCATAATATTGTATTGTATCACATTAATGATAATTACATCAAACTATGTGAAAAAATTTGGGACTCTTATGGTTTAGGCGGATTAAACCTTAAGGGGTATCAAGTTTCATAAATTCTAAACTCTTCATAAGGAAATATGAGGCGGGTATGGGCAGGACGGACATGGGGCAGGTCTAATTTAAAATCCATACCTGCCATGCATTCTGTACCCATCCCTGGCTCCATCACCCGCCAAACCTCCCTCCATCCCCGCCCCACTAGGCAGGATGGGGCGGGTCTCCCATTTAACCCGACCCACTGTCATCCCTAGTTTAATTTATCCCAAGATAGAGAACATTCTAGAAATTTAGTTTTATTATTCTTCAGCTATTTTATATTATAATCCAAATTTTAAATAAGGCAAATGGATAGTTGTTAGTTACCAAAGTGCATGTTACCCCAAGATTATAAGTTTGAAACTCCCACCTCTAAAACACTTGTTTAAAATGGAAGTTCAAAATTAGGGTCATTATATACTATTATGAGATGGGTTCCATCACTAGATTCACTCCCATGTTAGTCTGTACTCTCATACTCTGTAGAATGCAGTGAGCCAATCTTACTCAGCTTCTAAACTTTGCATATTCTTGATAGAAACTTACCGAGTATAGACTATGACACTTCATATTGAATCAAATTGTGTAAGACTTCACTGAGTTCTAATACTTGCACGAAAGTACCTACGCTTGACAGATTGATACGAATCAGAACAACACAAAACGTGGGTAATTGGGTATGAATCCCTTAAGATGATAATTCAAACTGCAATCATTTCAAAACAGATTCAATTTACAAATTTACAAAACATACTGAAAGCTCAATGTTTTGTAAATGGTGTTGCAGGTTTTGCAGCTTTTCGTTGTGGGAATTCACAATTAAGAACCTGCATATATACATCACAGAAACATCTGATCAACTGTGGTCTATATAATCCAACAGTTAATCAAGTTCTAATTCAAATCTAAAACATGAAACATTTGTACGTATCTTATAGTTATAGTTCATATATGACAGAAAAATGCATCATAAAGAATATAAGAACAGTTTACCAGGTGATTACTACAAATATAAAGCTAAGTTTTTCATCAAAGCCATGTAAAGTTCAGTTCCTACAAGTTTATCTGTTGAAACCATAAAGCAATCAAGAAAAATCTAACCAAAACGATCAGCCCAAGTAGTCAGGAGGGTCTAATTCTATCTAGTTTGACATCTGCAATGACCAAAGAATATCATAAAAATTGTGAGCAATTAGAATTATTAATAATTCTCCTGAATCCTGATCATTTATCTCCTCCTTGTTCCGTTTCCATTGGACTAATGTCATTTGGTGGTTCAGACAATTCATCTTCATCGTCTGGATTCTCCATGCTAATCTGAAACCCTGAATTTGTACAAATGTCCTGCTCCATGACTGTCGGAAAATCTACTACTGATGAGTCTTTCAGGGAAATTGCGATTTGAGGAGGACTAATATTTGTTTCCTTAGGCAACACAGTATTATTAGCTTCTTCAAGCGGCTTGACAGCATCCTCAGAATTCTCATTAGTGACAGCATCCTCAGAATTCTCATTAATGACAGCATCCTCAGAATTCTCATTCGTGACAGCATCATGTTGTATCATATCCTCCTCATTTGACAGACTCACAGTTGTTTCATCTGTCTTCTGCTTCTTCACCGGAGGCTCTGACAAGTCTTTCAGACTCTCCATTTTAGCAGAAACCTCCTCAATGATCTCGGCTCCTAGTGATAGCTTCTCCTGATCCTCCACATCAGCTAAAATCTCCTGCTGTTCCTTACCATCTGATGCTTTCTCCTGCTGCTTCTTATCTTCTGACGCTTTCTCCTGTTGTTCCTTGTCATCTGAAGCTTTATCCTGCTGTTCTTTATCCTCTGATTGCCCCTTCTGAGTGACACTTGGGGAAGGAACCTTTTCTTGCTGTTGGATTTCGATATTTTTACCTGGATTCAGAGAAGAATTACGAGCAGTTTGTTCAGCTACCTGAGTGATGACATTCATCGGGGGGATTGGGAAATCTTTTCTCTTATGCATCTTAGTATTGGGAGCAATATCATTTTCAGGGGTAACAGGAACAATACATTCTTCCTTGAACACAACGCCTCGCAATGATACATTACTGTTCCCAACTCTGACTGAAAGGAAATACCCTGCATCAAAGGCATACTCTAGGACTCCTGTAACCACCTGCCCTACCATCTCATCATATTCCTGATCTTCTTCATCATCATCATCATCGACATCTTCAATACTCTCTTTTCCTTTTGACGGCATGCTTGCTGTAGGTTTGAGTGTACTAGATCCCTCCCCTTGTATGCTGGAAAAGCTGGGAACTGGAGGTCTTGGAGAAGCTTGACCCTCACCCTTCCGAGGGCGCCCCCGTCTCCTTTTTGGTTGTGCCTCTGCTGGTATAGTAACAGTTCCCTGATTCATCAGTTGGCTCATCCTGCATGCACATACAGATCCAACTTCAGAGACAGCCTGATCCTTTTATTATTCATTCAAGCATAACATCATCATTCATAATTATAAAGTGAAGCATAAGGTGTTAAAGAGAATTCAGCTCAACCTAGAAAACAAAATACTATAACAGAAGTTCAATCCATAAAATAACAGAACACAGCAGTTCAGTTTATAATACTCTCAAGTATTAACTGTTATTACAAGAATCATTGCCTAGGGTAGCCCGTAACGAAGTTTTTCTTCCTGTTGATTTATAAGATTAATGAATGGGAAAGTAAGATGTGCTTCAAAAAAAATTATGTGACAAACAAAACCATATGCTAAACTAACAGAAATACATGTCTCTCATTTCTTTTACCTCTTTTAATGCAAAGAATCCAACAAGGAAGAAATGCACATTGAACTAGAGATTCCATCTTATCATCGTACAGCTTGATTGGGCATCACTAACACACACAACACACGTACACGAAGGATGACAAAACAATTCTCCGTTCCACATCTCGTTATTATAAGTAATGTCACTTTGGTAAGACCTAATCATAAACCATAACTATTTAGAAAAGGCGGTAACTTTTTCCAAACATCCTAAAATTATATGGGACACATAATGTACCTTGTAAAAAGAGAGCACTTAGCAAACTTCTATTAAAGAAAAGCTCATCTACTGATTAAAGTCTTGAAGATGCTTTTGCAGCTTTCACAAAACAGAGGAAAAGTTACTGCTAACAAGATTTACAAAAACAGGACAACTAAACTTCTCAAGAAACCAGTACGTCTAATGGTAGTCACCATAACGCCATTACGTAAACTCGAATCGAGTTCATCGTACTCAATCCAGCCTTAAACATACGGAAAACCAACATGATATTGTCTCTAATTTCACCAAATTAACCATAGAAATGTGATCTTGAATTGTTAATTTGTAATCATGGCTTCATGGGATATATGTATACGATGATCATGTATTATGTTACATAAACAAGAAGCTTTAATAATCATAAAATTAGTCTAAACACACATAAATATCGTAAAAATCATCATCATATGAGTAATCTTCTAAGAAAGCAAAGATTAAAAAAAAAATGCCCAAGAATTATGACTAACGAGTTCTTTATTAATAATAAAAATTATATAATTCACTATGATAATTCAAGATCAAATCATTTTGAAGAGAAAAATTAAAAATAAATAATGGGTAGTATCATACCTGTAAAAAGTTGTCCTGTTGTTATCACTATGAAAGCTGATTTGCAGTGAAAATGATGAAAAATCACAGTCACGAAATTAAGAAGATTTGTGTAAAGTTGCGACGCTTAAAATCTCCAACAAAATGGTAAAGGGTTAAAGAAATAAAGAAATTTAATTTTTGTTTGATGGTGCAATTACCCAGAAAAATGAAATGGGATGATGAAATGAAATGGGATAATTGAGTATTGAATGAACATATTTATAGTTCATTGTGAAGTCTCAATTAATAGCTCAACTTTGAGAATTCCTCAATAAATTGTTTCTCACCAAATGCCAAATGGGTTGGGAACAAATTGGGCTAGGGTTATTTGGTGTAAAATACCGATCTTGGCCCGAACTTGAAAAATGGATCGGATTGGATAGGAATATTGGATACTTTCGTGTTATATTGATCTTATAATTTTGATCAATTTTGTCTGACAAAAAGATTTATAAGTGAGAAGATCAATATAAAATCGAATGAATAATAGTTACTTTTAAATAAAATCTTCTACATATAATTTTAGTTTTGAATTTTGCACTGTCATTTTCTCATACTTTTCAAGCATTATTAATATGAGTTCACATCAATCACAAGGTATTTCTTATAGCTTTATAATCCTTATTTTCAATTAGTTTTCTAAAATAAATAAAATAAAATTATATAAACCCAGATGCAAGGTGTACTCAAGGTTATTTTTTTGCTCATTTAGTGATTATATGAGTAATAGCCATCAAAATGAGCAAAAGAAATTCCCTTATATGCACCTTTCATCATAGTGTATATATCTTTGTGAATTTTCTTGTTATAGTATAATTCTCTATATAATATTATATTAACATGTACGGGATATTCTTGTAATCCTGAATTCAACTCATAATATTAGAGAGTTAACTTTTTAATATTATAACATTCACAATATATTATATTTCCATTTTATGTTATACGAAGTATCTCAATGCCTTTTTTTCTAGTTGAGCATGTAAAACCACGCGCTTTGGCACATTAAGCCAATCGACGTGATAGGAATATAATAAAGGAAAAAAAAAAAAAAAAAACTATGTGTTCAAGTTTTGAACCCAAAATGAAACACTTTTCCTACAAGTGGGGGTTCTCACACATCCAACTTACCACAAACGTTGTCATATTTATCATTAAGTATCATTTCCATCATTTCATAAATTTAGTATTCTGTAAGAGATATTAATCTTCGTGAAGGGTTGGTGTTAGGATAGAGCTTGGGTTTAAGGTTAAAACTTTAATTAATGTTTTATTTGTTGTACAATATGTTCTATTATTAACTACTTCCTATGGATTTATATAAGTGCTATATTTTGGCTGTATGCATTTGTCGGGTTAGCTTTCTTTAGCTTATTGCTCTCTTATTTTTGGTGAACCTTTCATAGCAAGTCAATTGCATGTCTGAGCTAGTTATAAATTGTGGCAAACTTGATTGAAGAAGATTTCACAAATTTGTCATTGGATTAGGCTAGCTTGTCGACAACCTAGCACAACATGAAAAGGCCCAATCCAACTTGAGCTCAACCAAAGCATGACCTAACACAATTCAATTTTGTTGGACCACATCTTTTTAAGGCATAAACCACATAGACATATCAACCCGGAAAAAGATGACCCTTCATCACTAAGCATTAAAGAAGTCGAGAATTCGAATAAACATAGTAACACAACATAATGTGCATTCTATTTATATGATTGTCTCTAATCTAGACCTAAATGAACTCACTTTAAGTTATCAAAAAGTTATTTTAGTTGTAAAATAAACTTAAGTTAACCTTTATTAGTTCTCATTGAATGATGTATGTTCTGTTCACCTTATCTTCACTTATTTCAAGTGTAATAAGTTCAATTAAGATAAGTTAATATCAGTGAAAATCAAGTGAATATAACACACTCTAACCCTTATCTAAACCTATATAGCTTGAAAAAAAAAGCACATATAAATTGAGCCTAAAAATATACCGTGATTCCAATGATACGTGGCATGCATCCATGCCTAAATGCCTAACCAAGTACTCGAGTCTAAACTCTAAAGCATCACCAACCCAACTCCACCAATGCCAATCCTTTTCACCCCAAGGAACTAACCAAGGGTCAAGAATGCCCAAAAATCCAAGATGAACTTAAATTCTTGAAACCGCCATATGATCCAAGGTGGTTCGTGTCATCCACGAGTCTCCCAAATTTCACAACCACAAAAAATCAAAGCATAACTACAAATTTAGAATTTCCTCCTAAATTTACTTCCACTCAAAAACATCATCTTCATCTTCTTCTTCCATAATTATTCATTCTACAGAAAAAAAATTCAATCATGGCATCTCTACTAGCAAACACCATCTCTCGATTCTCTCTTCAACCCTCTTGCGACCCACCATCATCCACCTTAATTCATCAAAATCCCAATACCCTAAAACCCAGATTCCCAAATCTCTCAAAAATCAGAGCTGAAGTTGGGTACGATTCAAGCGCAACAATTACTTCTGACCCAGGTAATAAATCTATTTCTCCTGCTTTAATTCCTAAAAATGAAGATGACCCACTTCAGAGATTCCTTAAAAGGGAGTATAAATGGGGTTTTAGTGAAAAAATTGATTCTTTTACAATCCCAAAAGGGTTATCTGAAGAAACAGTTAAGTTAATTTCTGCCCTAAAAGAAGAACCTGATTGGATGCTTGAGTTTCGATTGAGTTCATATCGTAAATTTTTGAAGATGGTTGAACCAAAATGGTCAGATAATCGATACCCACCAATTAATTTTCAGGATTTATGTTATTATTCTGCTCCTAAGAAAAAGCCCACTTTGAATAGCTTAGATGAAGCTGATCCTGAGCTTCTTAAGTATTTTGATAAATTGGGTGTGCCTTTGAATGAAAGGAATCGTTTAGCTAATGTTAGTGGTAGAAATGTGGCTGTTGATGCTGTTCTTGATAGTGTTTCGATTGCGACTACACATAGGAAGACATTGGAGAAATCAGGGGTAATCTTTTGCTCGATTTCGGAGGCGATAAGGGAGTATCCTGATTTAGTTAAGAAGTATTTGGGGAGGGTTGTGCCTTGTGATGATAATTATTATGCTGCTTTGAACTCAGCTGTGTTTAGTGATGGGTCATTTGTTTATATACCTAAGGGTACTAAGTGCCCTATGCAAATTTCGACTTATTTTAGGATCAATGCCTTTGAAACCGGGCAATTTGAGAGGACTTTGATTGTTGCTGATGAGGGTAGTTTTGTTGAGTACTTGGAAGGGTGTACAGCCCCTTCATATGACACGAATCAGTTGCACGCGGCTGTGGTTGAGTTGTATGCTGATGATGATGCGGAGATTAAGTACTCTACGGTACAGAATTGGTATGCTGGTGATGAAGAAGGGAAAGGGGGGATTTACAATTTTGTTACTAAGAGAGGATTATGTTCAGGGGAAAGATCAAAGATATCATGGACACAGGTGGAGACAGGGTCAGCTATTACTTGGAAGTACCCTAGTGTTGTTTTGGAGGGAGATGACTCGGTGGGTGAGTTTTATTCTGTGGCTTTGACTAATAATTACCAACAGGCTGATACTGGGACAAAGATGATACATAAGGGCAAAAATACCAAAAGTAGAATTATATCCAAGGGTATCTCAGCTGGGAACTCAAGAAATGTGTATAGAGGTTTAGTTCAAGTCCAGTCGAAGGCAGAAAATGCTCGGAATTCCTCACAATGTGATTCTATGCTTATTGGGGATAAAGCTGCTGCAAACACTTATCCGTATATTCAGGTATTTCCTTGAAGATGTCCATGTTTTCTTATACTTTTCATTTTACATGTTGCATTTGTACTGTCTGTGTGTTTTCTTATGCTGGTATTGTTGAATGTTGAGGACTTGAATTAAAATTGTCTGAACTTTGTTTTTGGTTTAAGGTTACTTTGGATTGCCTTTAAGATGTATTATATTTGAAAGGCCACTAAATATTGCTGATGTTCTTAGCAGTAAAGCTCCATTAACCCTACCCCCTCACCCCTTCTCTCTCTCTCCCTCCCCCATATGGTTAGTTTTGAAGAAAACAAGAGGTTACATGTTTACAAAGATAATATTGAAGTTTGTTAATGATAATATATGAAAATTGTTATGCTATATTAGACTAATAGGGACACCTTCAAATAGATGCACCTTTTTTTATACTTTATTATTTCAACAAAGTTCACCTTATCTAAACTTTTAATTATAATGTAGTTGAACTTATTTATAGTTGTAAAGTGAATTTGGTAGCCCTTATCAGAACTTATTGGTCCTCACCAGAAATTATCCTAAAAGAGGCCTAATAATTAACTACCAACAAAGAATAGGACTTGGTGTGAGTTATTTTAATTCTATACCTATTTCATACTTTTAGTATATGTACAATGATGCAAGGTTTAGAAAGAAATATGTTAGAGGATTCACAATTACTGATTCCAAGAGAGTGAAATGTTGTGGGGGTACAGTGGAACATATAATGAATAAATGTTGAGAACAAAGGACTAATGGAGTTGTTTCATTAGAGTTAATATAGTATATCATAAACATGTAAACAATTTGTAGAATTATGTAAATAATTTTCTCTTTTGCTTGCTCGTTTATGTTGGTATTCTTTGCAGAGCTACATAGTATTATTAAGTAATCAATCCGATTCTCTAAACAATCATTATAAACTTTCACTTTTATTTCCTACGTGCCTATCCATTGCCTGTAACTTAGTTTTCATATCTTGGTAATCTTAGAGTTTTGACTCTCGTTCACTTCATATTTTCATTGACACTTTTTGTGCAAATAAGTTTTGTATCATCTTGTGCTGTATAACCTGGCCCTAAACACTGTTAGAAGAACTACACTTTTTCTGAAAAGCAATAGGCAATAGCCTGCACTTGAGTTCTATGCTTGGCACACTAATTTCCATCCCCTAATTTTAATTGCACACTAGTGAAAATTCTGAGGTAGAATTAGATTATGACACTGTACAAAGTTGTGGTGATTATTTTTTCTTTAAAATATCTTGTATTAGGTTATATGTAAGACTAATCAGAAACTTGGGAATGGTTAAATGGTCTTCGAAGTATCTGCATGATAATGCACAAACAAAGAGGCAAAGAGGCTTTGTCGTGACACTTAGCCTAGGAAAGTTTCCCCTCAAGTATAAATTACTTGTGGTAGGTTGTGACGAATCTTGAATTTTAATAATCCACCGTCAATGATTTCTCCTGTTATTCAATTACTGTTGATTAGCAGAACTACACTACCAGTATCTTTATGAAATCAATTTTAAAAGTTCAGGAGATTCTGGAGATCAATCCATACATATAGGCAACAAATGAGACAATTTTTAGGCTCACATAACAAAATTCTTACTGGCTATACTCATTTGATCGTACCTGGACTTATAATTGGTTGCTTGCTTGTGCTTTATCCTTTGTCTTATTAACTTTAATTTGTGTATAACTGATTCCTTTACATTGGAACAATGGAGTAATAATCTGATCTCTCTTTTTTACACTCTATTTTAACCCCCCTTCCCCCCCCCCTCTCTTCTCTAGCTGGAAAAGGCAACTTTTTACTACCACTGTTGGCCTTGGGTCTTGGGTAGTGCCAACTTCACCTTTTTGTTGCTGAACTGAAATTGTTAGCTTCCTAGTATTACAAATTCTAGTATGGAAGGAGATTAGGAGACTGTTAAAAAATTTAAAAATCAGTGTAATAGAGATACATATGTTGAGATGGATGTGTGATAACACCTAGGGAGATAAAATTAAGATGTAGATTTTGAAGGAAAGATGGAGTTACGGGTATTAAGGATAAGATAAAGGAGAATGGCATGTGAGATGTCTACCAGAGGATGAACCAGTAAGCAAGGATAATGGAGGTTTCAAACGGATTTGAGGGAGGCCAAAGCTAACTTTGATAGGGGGAGTTTAGAATGACATGAAGAAAGGGGTTTGCAAGAGTATGTAGCACTAGATAGAAATAGATTAAGAAAGGGAATCGTTGTGGATGACCAGGGTGATAATGTCTTGGTTCATGCAGCCGATCTCATCCTTTTGGAGATAAATCTATGATTTTTTATTTTCTCAACTGGGATTATGAACATTTTATCTGACTCACTTCTAAATTTTCTGTCCTTTCCTCTCATAGTTTCTTGCTTCCAATTTGAGGCTCTCTATCAATGCAATGTCTGTCGTAATTGGAATCGAAAATTTCTAGAACGTGTAATGTTAAAATCAAATGAAGGAGTTGATACAAAATCAGCAGAGCAGTACAGTCCAGCCAAAGCAACTTTGGGGGCTGGGTATGGGGAGTGGGAAAGGGAGTTTGGGGATGGGGAATGGAAATTTGGGGATGGGGATCGGAAATTGGTGTTGGGAATACATAAAAAAAAGTCTCATTTCCTTGTTTGGGTAGTCTTGAAGTCGTTTGGGATTAACTTACAAATTTACCAGTCTACCCTTATAGCTATTCTTCCCTCATTCCCTTTCAAAAGGGTTTTTGATCTATCTCTCAAAAGGTTTGGAATGGGCACCTCCAATTCCCGTTCGCTTTGATTATGACTCCCAGTCCCACCGTCAATTCTTTCCACATAAAGAACACCTCCAAAGTTGGATAGGGTGAAAAAAATTGTATCCTGTTTTTTAATAGCACACTATCTCTATTTTCTCTTGATACCCAGTAGTGACTGGTTGACTAAAGCACTAGTACCTTCTGGTCTGCCTTTTAGCTCTCTATCTCCATTTAACACAGTAGCTCAGGGTTTGTGATAACATGATAAGCTGTAAGATTCTCCCCCTTCCGTTGAGTAAGTACTTGAAACACGAGGTTTCTCCATTTGAGTTTTTACACCTTTTACACTTTGTTTCCAGAGTCCTCTGTTTTCTGCACAAATCTACGGGCACCTTAGATATGAATGATGACAATGAGTGACTGTGTTCTCCCAGAAGCCAGGGGATATTGGTTGGCAACTCATTTATTGGCATAGGCAGCAATAAAGTCTTTTTTTTTTTTTTTTTTTTTTTTTTTTTTTTTTTTTTTTTTTTTTTTGGCAGCTTGTTTCAGAATCACAATTTGCAATATCTTTGCTAATTTAAATTATTGTCAGCTTGCTTGTGGTATTCCTCCGTGTGTTCTACTTTCTATTGTGTATGCCTTATCCCTTAAGTTGAACCATGGAGTTTTATGATTTGTCCCCATACCAAATGCTCTGCTTTACTTCTCTTATCCTATCTTCTTCCTCTTTGTGGGGGACAAAGTTAAGGCTTTAAGGGGTGTCTATCTGTTGTCTCATTAAGACATGATTATTTTTAGATTGTTGCTTTGATGCTATGAATAGCTGCTTAATGCAACTTCTTTCCCAATTTCGAGTAGAAATTAGTGGTCTGATCCCCTTTTTAATTTTAGTTTTATCCCCTTCTCCTATTCTCCTAATTTGATTAGCTCTATCTACGGTTGTCACAGTTAGGGAGTGATGCAAGTGGCAAACTAATCAAGGCACAGCTTTAATGACGAAGCTGTATCCCCCTCTTACTAAAATGCTTCTGTTCCTTGCATATTCCAAACATTTAAATGTGCTGTGCTGAGTCTCTGAATGTCTGACATTCAATAACTTCTACGCTCATCATTTAACTTATTTTTTAGGGTTGCTAGTGCTTTGTCATGATTATCTAATGTTTATGAACAGGTAAAGAATCCTTCAGCACGGATCGAGCATGAAGCTAGCACATCCAAAATTGGAGAAGATCAACTTTTCTACTTCCAGCAAAGAGGAATCGACTATGAAAGGGCAATGGCTGCCATGATATCTGGGTTTTGCAAGGATGTCTTCAATGAGCTTCCAGACGAGTTTGGTGCTGAAGTGAACCAACTTATGAGCATCAAACTTGAAGGGTCAGTTGGTTAGATACCTTTTTTATTTAAATGTGTTATGTGTTCATGTGGTTGCGATGATGGACGACTCCACCTTTGTGAATAATCGAGTAACAAAACTGTGCTCCCATTTCCCTTTTGAGTCACACTTCAGAAAATTGTATGATGCTTAGTTCTTAGGTCGACAAAGTTCTGTATATATTGTGTTTCCAAAACATATGCTGTATGATTACCTCAACCTGCCAAAACATACTAGTGATAAGTGGTTCGTGTTTTTGTAATGCATATAAGCTTTTATTGTTCCCTCTAGTCTATTACATGTTTCTCGGTCATCTCAAGGTAGTATACCGCCTTCTTTCTTAATTGATGGTTACATGTGTTCTTAGTGAAAAATACTTCACAAATATTGTAAGTACTCCATATTTTGCATTATTTCATGTACTTAGCTATGAGATACAGCAGGGACTTGTGGGGGATTTATGAATTATGTTCAAGGTTAAAGTAGCTATGTTGGAAGTGGATGAAGTGGTAGAATAGTAATATCGCTCCCACTCCATATTGGTTAAATGTTGTCACGATATTTATTTGGAAAAAAAAAAACTTATCCCCTTTAGACGGTTGCATAATCTATGAGGTGAACATATATTCAATTACTATTCTAGATTTCTAGGCTTAGGAATTTTGTTTACAAATTAGGCTATTGATGTTGATCTTTCAAAAAAAAAAAAAAAAAAGGGGTATTGATGTTGAACAGTTAAAATAAACAAACTGTTTATTAGTTATTCATAATTATCACCTAATTTATTTTTAGGAATGAAGTCATTGATCTAGAATAAAAGTTTAAAATAAAGAATGAATCATACTAAAGATTTGTGAAAAATTGTCAATTTTCTCTAGATTTCTTAAATAGTTCTGCTTACATACATTGTCCATGCAATTGGTTTAGGCATGAAATATGCTGACAAGTACCTAACTCCCACCATGTAATTTACCTTATCTCAAAAAAAAAAAAAAAAAAAAAAAAAAAAAAAAAAAAAGATGGTTATAATAAGGCTACTAGAATACTACAGAACGAAGTAACCATGCAGTATATCTGTATATGTATACTACAGAACGAATATTAGAGTTGACAAATTGGCTAGCCATGCAGTATGATGGCATTCACTACTAAATCTTTTTTCATTTCCTCTCCATATTTTTTAGGTTGTATAAATGTGTAATATGTTTATGTCACTAATTTTAATTTGATTAAATTTTAAATGTGCGATAATATGTATATGTCACTAATTTTGATTAAATTATAAATGTGCAATAATATGTTTATGTCACTAATTTTGATTAAATTATTATATCGAACCTTGCCATCTACTTGTCTTTGGAGTGGATATTCCTTTTTTTATCAGGACATCATTCTTCTTATCCCAATACTTTTAGGTGTACACCTTTGTAGTTGGGTAGACAAATTTGTGAGATATGTCAATTTAGCAAGATTATTTTTCTTACTACATATTAAAGAAAAAGAATAAATCTGTATACTCCGCATTATTGTATAATTTTTTAATTACTTGTACATGTAGAAAATAAGTGAGCAAGCCAAATGATAATATGAATCAATAAAATTTATGATACATTTATATGATTGCATGATAAAATATACGAAGTATACACCAATTTGTAGCAGGATATTAAAGTTGAATTTGAGACAAAGTTCGCTTATATCTTCATTATTTATCTTCATCGAATCCTTTTACTTCATTCCTAGCCCATTGTTTACAATGTATATACAATTGTCTTAGAAAAAAAAAATCAATGTATGCAATTGAACATAAATATAATAAATGCGTATTATAAAAACTCCTCCTAGTTCAATCTAATGAGAGTCTTTGACATTTTTTTTTAAGCCATGCAATTTTTAATGATTCATCCTTTCTTTAATATTTTTCTCCTTTAGAAGCTTGCAATTGAAAAGGAAATATATTAACAGAATAACAGGTCAAGTTAGGTATTTATATAGCAAAAGGAAGTTAGTTTAATTTAATTTGTAGTACATAGGTCATCTTTTTGTTAATTATTAATTAAGTGTAAGTTCTTGTATGGTAGTCAAGATGACATATTAATTTAATGGTTTGGTGAAAACAAATTACAAAATATGTTGCCGCCAATCTTCAAGAAATTGACCGTTTGGTTAAGTTTATAAATTAATTCTTCCTAAAATATGTTTTTTGTTTTCATGTAATTCTTTTTTTAGCGCTTTTTTGGTCCGCGGGCACAATAAGGAGACACATCAAAACACTGATTGAGTAACCCTGATGAAATTCTTGACCGACTGAATAACCCCGACCTCAAAACCTCTGACCGACTGAGTAACTCCTAAAAGATTAATAACCTCGGTTATACCGTGTGACCAACCACATATGAAAAATTGTAAACATTTTTTTATGAAATGTAAAATAAAGTTTCCTAAAAAAAAGTAAAAATAAAATTAATTCTTTTTTGAAAGAAAAATTATACTACCCCGATCTTTTTTTAGTTGCAACTTTAGAATATTTTATATCTCTCAAAAAATACCCCAAAGTTGCAACTAAAAAAAAATCGGAGGTAGTATTATTAATGAAGTTGTTTTAATGATCAACTTTTAATTATTAGACAAATTATATTACTTTAGGTTAGTCAAAAAACAGTACTACAATTAGAAGTTTGCAATAATGCTTTAATATATGTGTTATTACAAAAGTATTAAACATTCTATTAATATATTTTTAATATAAATTGTTAAAAAATGTACCTATTATTTAATTTCTTTTATTATACTCCATATTTGATTTTAAAAATCAATTAACCAATAATACGTGGCATGTCATGATGATCATAGTTGTAGCTTGAGAGTGACAGCTTAACTTACCATCAAATTAAGACAATTAAATTACAATTATTTGTATTTATTTGCCGACCCAAATAAAAATTGTTGGTCTTTTCTTTTATATGAAGAGTTTATTTGGCAAAATTAGTGTCTTGCATAGTTTTGTTGGTCTATTTCGGATAATAATAATAATTCACTTAAATAACCTTGGCCTTTAAAATAAAAAGAAGATAATTTGAGGGCAAATGTACCAAAGAGAAACACAGACCATTGATAGTGTGCTAATTCAATGTCAACGCCAATTATAATTAACTCCAAAAAAATGTCAATAATTTTGGTTTATTGTGTAGTGAACAAAAAAGAGTACGTGTAATGTATGGTTGTCAAGTGGAGGGCACGGATGAGAGTCTCTTAGCTTGCCTCTTTTTAATTATTCTTTTGGTTGGTAATTTTGGGCCCAAAAGATGCTTCATTCTCTTTTGAAAGGAACAAATTCGATTTTCGATTAATCGTTTGATTGAATGTAAGAAGTTAGTATTCTTAATTATATAATCGAAATAATCGAATTATACCATGCATTATTGTTATGGAGTTTCACTTCCCACAAAGTGTAAAAGTTTTTTTGATTAGTTAACTTTGTATTAATTATAATAAATTGCAATTACGTATAATTTTTGGAAGAGATTTTCATTTATGTCTTTTTTTTTTTAAAAAAAGCTAATCTTTTTTTGTAGCAAGTTCTATCGTTGAATTCTAAGCTTTATTGATTGCATTTTTTTTTTTTAATTCGTATTATTTTGTCAACCAAATGATTTCACAGTCATCTACTCCTCTTATAATAATCATATTACAATGTCAATATATAAAATGATCATTACACTATCACTGTCCTCTTAGTAAGTGTCCATCTGTGATACTCTAGCTAGCTTAGCATGATGTTAAATAATAAATTGTATTTTTCATACATCTTTGAACTTGAAAAAATGATGTGAGGCATGTCATAGTTAGACTTAGGGCTTGTTTTCTTTAGCTTATTTTCAGTTCAGTTCATTTTTTAATTTTCTTCTCTCATAAGCAATTTATTTCACTTTAGTTCAGCTTCAATAAGTTCAGTAAATCAGAACAGGCCTTTAGACCTCTAATAACAAGTGATGAATTGAATATTAGACCAAAAAGTATGAGAGGTCAAAAAATTTTAAACTTAACCTCTACATATAAAACAATATATTGAGATTTGACCAATGAAGAAAAATATATAAATAAATATTTTTTAAGGGTATAAATATCTTTACACTATTTGTTCTATACTAGACAGTTTTAAAAAAAAAGATAGAATTAATTAATGATGGCAAATAAATAAACAATGTTTTTAAAGGCATAAATGTCTGCAAACTATTTATCAAAGTTTGTTTGAACTTAAAGTATGGATAAGTATACTCTTAGGGCCTGTTCCGATGACTGAACTCAGCTGAACTGAACTGAACTGAACTTATTAATTAGTGATTTTTAACTACGGATTAGTGATCTTTGATTATTTATTACTATACATATGTGTATATACAAATGTACATATTATTATTAATATTAATATTATTATTATTATTATTAATTATTGATGATTATTATTATTATTATTATTATTTATTGATTATTATTATTATTGTTGTTGTTATTATTATTATTATTATTATTATTATTATTATTATTATTATTATTATTATTTATTGATGATTATTATTATTATTTACTGATTAATATTATTAGTATTATTATTTCAATTATTATTATTTATTGATTATTATTTTTTTTATTATTATTATTATTATTATTATTATTTATTACTTATTGATTATTATTATTATTATTGTTATTATTATTATTATTATTATTGTTGTTGTTGTTGTTGTTGTTGTTGTTGTTGTTGTTGTTGTTGTTGTTGTTGTTGTTGTCGTCGTCGTTGTAATAAGAGCTTAAAAGAATGAAATTTGGCTTTATATCATTAGTAATATCATTAGACGTAAATTAAGAACCGAACTGAACTGAACTGAACTAAACTGAACTGAATTTCAACGGAAGAGAACAGACCCTTATAGCCTTAACCTTTATCATTTATAAAAACAACACACTACCGAAATTTAATTTAAAGTTCAATTAAAATAGTGGATTTTTTTAGCACATTCGAGTAGCTATAATTTAGGTGATGATTAAGTACACAATAAGTATCATCAGATAATTTCCAAGTATCCCTTTTTCCTCCTTTCTCTCTCCAAAACCCTAGCCTCCATTATTGAATTTTGAAAGGGCTTCCATAGATTTTAATCGGTGGAAAGCCCCAATCCTTGTTTCTTTATTGTTTTTTTAGGTTTATAATAATACTTCCTCCTTTTAGGAGGAACTTTTCTCCCTCGAAAGAAAGGGTTTCCGATCTCCTTCGAAAGACAAGGGTTTTTCGACCTCCTTCGAAAGACAAGGTTTATCTTCTCTTTTCGAGGGAGAAATTTCTTAGTTTTGAATCCATGGTAGCAGATCTAATGGATTGTCGTGAAATTATTTCGTTGGTGAAAAAAGTTATCAAGTTTTCGAATACGAACAGATGAATCAGAAGGAAATCATCCTCACGGCTACAATGGATCGTTAGATTGTCTCTCCAACAAGGCTGTAATTTTCAGCGATATAAGCGGGAGATGCTCCGCAGTGCAAGATTTACTCGGCGATCGTAGTTTTTATGAAGGAAAATTCTATTGATTCAATATCTTATGTATTTGTTAACGTCGAATCTCTATTGTAGATGTCGTATGACTTTTAATTAATGAAATATTTTTGCTATTCAAAAAAAAAATATCATTATTAAGACTTAAGAGAAGCATAATACAAGATTATACAAGTGATTAACAATGCAAACTACTTTAATATAAGCGTATGAATGTGATTTATAAATGCACATGCATGCTATATATATATAGTATGAAAAACTCCCGTTTTATGCCTCGGAGTTTCGTTTCTTTCCATTTGAATTAAACAAATAATAATTTTCATTTGTCAACTTGCTTGATTTGTTTACTATGTTGACTCATTATCACCCAGTTTACAAGAATATTCGTGTCAGTTTTTCGGTTTAATTATTAATTAATTTTCTTCAAGAAGGGTTAATGATTTTACATAAATAATAATACTTCGTACGTACTTCCTAAGGTGAGCCGTTCCCCCATTAAACCTATAGGGCTATAGTTATATAACATTAATGTATACAATAATGCATTTGTGTAGGTAAGCTTTGTGATAATCTTAACAATTATGATGATTCTGTCTTTCATGTTGTGCCAAGTAGAAAGCTGTCTAAACTTATTTCTTCATCATCACGAATTCACGAGATTGTGACAATATGTCATGTATATTTTAATCGATTTCAATGTTATCACTACTTTTTGGTGTTGTCTATAGGGAAACAAACGGAGTAGCAAATTAGCTGACATCAGCATTACTTAGAACGTAAAGAATCTTATATTAAGCCAATAAGCGATTTATATTACATGCATGTAACTGATTAAATTAATGGTTATTAGAAGGCAAACTAGATGATTTCAATCACCTAAGTGACCTCATTCCAAGGTGTTGTTTAGTCCGTGGGAATCCTATATAATCACCCTAGCTTTATCTTTTTTGGGTATGAGAAAGTTTAAATTACACGATTCTGTCTCATTTTTCGGCTGATATTTTTCCAAAATTGAAATGGATGTGGGAAGTGACTCTCGGAGTCATGAAAGCTGTTATATTTATCTATATCATTGTAACAGGCCAACAATAAGTTTCCAAAGTCTCAATGATGAGTTTGATTCAATGGTCGTCAGTCTATTTTGTACATCTATTGTAATGGTAGTTGTGACTTGTAAGAGATAATTATATCGTAAGTTCGTAACCGCCAACTAGGCATTCCAATCCATTAAGATGATATGTACTCCTTCCATCCCCTTATTTTGCCCCTTAGGTGCATGATGTTCACTTTATTAATTTTTGGTTGTGTAAAGTTGATAAGAGAGATTAATGGTGGGTCTAAAATATTGTTTGTGAAAGGAAATAGTGATTTGGATCCCCTATAATTGTATATGGTATGAAGCAAAATAAAGAGATTGCCTAAAAAGAAAAGTGGAGCAAAAATTTAGGAAAACTCATACAGTAAAAGCCAAAGGATTTGAATATTTGATCAATTCACATTATAATTAAGGGCACCAACTCCATGCTACTATCGTTTCGCTGAAATAATTCAAGGAAAAATTTCATCATTATTATATGCATTATGGTCATCAAAGTTCAAACATTCTTGGACTTATGTTTGATTAGAGTTGTCTAATCATAGAGTATTTTTCATCACCTAAGTTCCTAATTATTGATGAACAACTTTGACAAATTGGATTTTTATACATGCTTTAATTTTTATCTTATAGAACACTGGTTTTGTTTTTGAAATGATATGAACCACATTTTTAGTCCAAACCTTCTTAATTATCAAATTAATATCCTACTATTTACATTTAGTAACAAAATTTGTAAAGAGCATCTTATACAAGAAATAAGTAATATAGTACGGTGTAACAAATTTCGTAAAGAGTGAATGAAAAACGTATTATCTTAGGTGTCTGGTGTCTTTATCATTGTGCAGAGATTCTCCTAATATTTCGTACCTTATATATATACGAAGTATTTTTTCAAAGTTAGTAAAATTAAAGCAAAGGACAGATAATTATATTATGATATCGAGTTTGTAACGAGTAGTGGAATTTAAGAAAAAATTAATTAATTAATTAATTAAAGGAATAAGAAGAGTATGTTAAAAAAAATTGGTCATGCAAGCAACTTATCATGTTAATGCTTACAAGTATGATAAGAAGTATATATGATAATAAAACAGCTAGCTCGAGATTTGAGATCGATGAGATGCATTTATCTGCTGTCTTCGAGGAGGTGCCATCTTCTTCAATTCTTAAGAAATACTCACTTATAATTAATTGGTTTAATTAAACTTATATTAAAGCCATAACTTTTGGTTTACATAGACGGGCAATATGCCACATTTTAGACTAATGCCTTGACTTAGTACAAATTTATTTAAATTAATCTATTCTAACTTTCCAAATATAGATATGTCTAGAGGGTAAGTACTAATACACTCTAATAGACCATTTCAAGTTATGTTTGTTCCTGCTGATTTCTGCTTCCGTTGATGTCCGAGGGCTGGTAATGGTTTACCGTCCAATTGCTCACCTACACAGCCAATACAGATTAGCTAACCCGGGGGTTATCCGGGAATAACCACTCCGATGCTAAAGTCAGTACCTTTGTGAGAAGAAAGTGAAAGAAGAGAGAGAAAGTGTTTTAGAGAGAGAGAGAGATTCTACCTTTGAAGTGAGGATTTGCTTGGGTATTTATAGAAACACAACCAAGCAGGTGCCACCTATACAGGAGGATGGCACACTGACCTTGTAAATAGCAGGTGCCTACGCGGCACCAAGAAACTCTCCACGTGTCAGAGGGACATGCCACGTTCCTAGAAGCAGCTCTCCACGTGACAGAGACTGATGCCGGTAAGGACATGAATTATTAAATGATTAACGAGGGCTTTAAACTGCACGACACTCTTTTACCGACATATTATAGATGCTACCGGTATATCCCGTATAACTAGCCCCCCAAGTGAGGACGTTAGTATGACTGACGTGCTCACTTGAGATCGAACACTGTGCTGGTACACAATATACTATACAAGAATGACGAGAAAACGAAAAGATCTACGATTTTGGCCCCTAAGTGAGCAAATTGACGAAAGTACTTTGCTCAATTTAAGACGAAAAAATCTACGATTTGCCCCCAAGTGAGCAAATTACCGATAGGACTTTGCTCAATGTAAGACGAAAAAATCTACGATTTGCCCCCCAAGTGAGCAAATTGCCGATAGGACTTTGCTCAATGTAAGACGAAAAAATCTACTATTTGCCCCCCAAGTGAGCAAATTGCCGATAGGACTTTGCTCAATTTAAACTAAAACCGAAAATAGTAGTGAATATGGTTTCACTTTATTTGAATTTTTTCCTCAGGATTTGGCGGGAAACTTAATAAAATAATGGGGCACGTGTCAGTCATCAAAGTAGGGTGTTTTTGAAAAGGCGTTTTATTACAGCCGTTGGATGACATGCAGTAAATGTCACATCAACCGTTTCATTTGGACAATATAAAATAGCGAATTTCGTACTCTTGACCCTTCATTTCCTTTGCGAAAAAATTTCGAAAAATATCTACTTCATTTCGCTCGTAGTACGCACATATTTCTGCGATTCAGGAGTCGATTTGTCAGAGGTTTGTTCAGTTGTGTTGTGACCGGTGTTTGTAAACGGAGGACACTTAATTCCCGAGTTACGCTTTCAAGAGTTGAGTTCAAAAGAGGTAAAAAACCCTAACTTTCTTTTTCGATTTCTCACTGGTTTGTGGTTAAGTAGATTTTGCGTTTATTTCATTATTTGTGAATTTCTGGTTCTGGAATGCGTGCAAATACGGGTAAAGCCAGTGAGGCTGAACTCTGTACACCCTTAACTTCTGTAGAAGAAAGAGAAGCTTATTACCGCCATAAGTTTCTGGCTGACGCCGAGAAGGCTTTGCGTCCTACCAACCCCGATATTCCGGAGGACACAGAGATTGCCGATGTTGAGCCTATTAGCGTTCATTATCATTTGAGGTCAAATTTAGATTTATTTAATCAATACGACACTAATATTGACAGGATGCCGAGAACAAAACACACCAATTACCAACCTGAGGTTGGTGAGAGCAGTAGACGCTCTAGTGGGGGAGAAGATGATGATCCTGGGCATGAAGCTTCGGATATTAGAGAAGAAGATATCCTGTCAGTAGAGGAAAGTCTGGAACGACAAGGAAGTAGGGGTGAAAACATTGGTGATGAGGAAGATGAAGAGCAATCAGAAAGGCTTGGGGAGGGAGAAGATGATGACGAAGAAGACGAGACCGACGAGGATGTTCAGGCCGACTTCAATCTTGCTGCTCAGATTGCAGAAGAGGAGCGACTCGACGAGGAATACGACTCATATCAAGATGATCCGAAGTATCTAGAACCCTAAGAAATTCCCAGCAGCTATGAGATAACTGAGTCAGTTGTGGATCCGGTATGGTTGCAGACAGCCACCGAGAAAGACTATTGCCAACATGGCAAACGCTTCTACCGTCTTCCTAACGGCTATGAACTGAGACTACCAAGCGAAGGTCAAACGGCTTTGGATTGCCCTGCCGGCCACATTGTCGTGTATGCAAAGCATTTAGAATTTGGTTTACGGTTTCCACTCCATCATTATATCGAAAAAATATTCAGGGCTTGGAACGTTTCAATTGCACAGTTAACGCCTCCAACCATCCGAAACATAGTGTCTCTTGTCTGGGTTATGATATTTATGGACTTTCCCCTTACCCTGAACTTGTTTCGGAGATTGCACTGGATCAAGAGAGATAGCCAGTCACCCGGATGGTGGTCCCTTTTTACCGCTCCCGATAAATGCACTGTGTGGCCAAAATTGACCAGTTGCAAGAATTGGAAGAACGAATTTTATTTTATGAGTGTTCCCGACGATTTTACTGTCCGTAGGACATTTCATCACCCACACAGCATGTTCGAGACCATACGGTCGAGAGCGTTAGGAAAGATGGAGAAAAAAGCTTTTAAGTGGTTTAATTGTACATATGTTAGTGCTGGTAAGAAGAATAAAGCTGTTCCGGGGGTGTGGCTGCCCCATTGTAATTATATACTGGGCAACGCCCCTCTTTCTCATGTCGGTCTCTGCCATACCGATGCTTTTGGTATGGAAACATTTATAAATTATATACATTTATTTATATTTATCTTTACTGTACTTGCACTTTGCATTTGGCAATAAATTGACAAGTGCTTTGCCTGCTGATTCTCTTACCTGCCTGCGTACATCTTACTTAAACTTGTTTCTTGTTGTTTTTTTTAAAAAAAAAACGCTTATGTTTACCTTTATGGTGTCTGTTTCTGATGTTTCTTATCGGGGGTGTTTCCACCGCCAGGTATTGACAAACTTGACTTCAGCCGGCTAGGGCTGTATGCTGACGGGTGAGTGAAGAAACAATGCCCAGATTGGCCAAAGAAGTCATACGACACCCTTCCTGTCTTCGCCACCAGAGCCTCTAAAAGAAAAAGAACGAGGCAACAAGATATGGCTCCTACCGAACGTGTTACCAAACCCCGCACCCTAGCTGTGAAAAGGGGTGGAGGGAATGCGTCTAAGAGGACATCTGAGTCCTCCGACCGAGAGCAACAGAAAAAGCAAAAGAAGCATGATGGTGATGCGGAACCCTTCCAAAAGGATGCACAAGGGACCTGGCCGGAAGGGGTCGTTAATTTGGAGGACGAGACCGATCTCCATCCGCCGAAAAAGCTGACGGTCACCTTAAGAGATCCAAAAGGTCTTGGGGTCAGCAGCGAGGTCAGAACCGGCAAGATGGCCAGCATTGAAAAGCCTCCAAGCAAGGAGACAACAATTGTCTCGGGGCGCACTGGCGGCCCTGGAAAGAATGCTTTCGTCCCGGCTCTCGTCGGTGACTTTATCGAGATTCCTCATGTTAGAATCCCGGCAGAATTCGCTGACGAGTTTGTTGTGCCCTTTGGTGCTGCTGGTGACCCATGGCACCCCAGGATCAATGTTAATCGCGGAGAGTCTGTTCTCTGTGACGACCCTGTGACTGGCGGAAGCATGGGGTGGAGGGTACTCAAGGACTTGGCGACGCCAGTCGACAGGCCTGCCAACCGCGTTGCTGCTCCCTGCGGTCGGCAGATGAACAACATGCTCCGGGTAAGACAACATTCTTACCTGTAGATACGTATCATTTCTATGTTACATATCTGTGTTATTTATATTGTTGTTTATATCTATTTGTATTATTATTATATTATTATTTTTTTTAACTAACGACAATTTCTGTTTATCGTCAACTAGACCGTCAACTCTGCTGTCGAAGTGGTACACATGTACCAGCATTATCAGCGCGCCACCGATAACGCCGAGACCAAGCTGAAAAAGGCTGACGACGCTTGCAAACTCGTCTTCAAGGAGCGCGATAAGGTTAAATCTGATATGAAGACCTTGCAAAAGCAAGTGTCTGAGCTAAACAAGAAGCTGACGGACCAGGAGCAGTTACAAAAGAAGGTAGCCAGCCTCGAGCAAAGTCTGAAGGACGAGAGGGAGGTGAAGGCGAAGCTGGCCAGCAAAGTTGAGGAAATGGAGCGTGATAAGCCGGGAATCAGGCGTCGAGCTGTAAATCGGTTCTTGCAGACCGACCTTTATGCCAACTTGCTGGTTGACCAGTACACTGGCGGTTGGGTCTCTGCGCATCGCTGTGTGTGCAAAGCTGAGGGGTGGGACTCGACAAAATGGCAGGCCGTCGAGAAGGATTTTAATGAAGAAATGAACCACTCTCCTACCAGCTATGAGAATGAATACTTTGACGAGCTCCCACCGCATGCTGTGATAACAAACTTAGACCCACGCAAATTGCCAGAAGTAGAGTTTGATGACGGCCTTATCAGTAGCCCTGTTACCACTCATGCTGGTAAAGATGGGTCTGTCGGTCCCTCCAACGATGAAACTGTGAAAGAGCCCGTTAACGCGGCTGAAACAACAAAGGAGGCCGACAAGAATTAACAAGGAGGGCGATCATCGTTGGACTTTTATATTTGTCTGTATCTGTATCTGTGCTTCGAACAATTATATTTGTCTGTATTATGCAACATTTTTCTTTAATCCGTTGAATACTTATCTGCGTATGTCTGTATTTAAAACAATTATCTCTCAGTACTTAGTTTATTTGTTTCTTTACCATAATTCTTACTAGCGTGCGTATTTTGTTTATACTATGGTCATTGCTTACCTTTTAAATAACACTTGATGAATGCATGTCTTGAATCGTTTTTTAGCTATTCTCTCGGTTTTTAATACAAATTTACTTTTTTCGGCATTTTAAAGTTACACCTGTCGGCATTTTATTTGTAAATAAAATTTTGGAAATAATGCCCGTATTCAACTCTGTTATCGGTATTTTCAGGTTATACCTTACCAATAGTACTCCCCGAGTTTTTCGGCAAAATTTATTCGTAAATAAATTTTGGGAAAACTCTGTAATGCCTGTATTGAATATCAGATGTGAAACATACCGAGATAAAGTATCCAACCTTTGTCAGGCTGAGCAAAGGCAGTGGATCAGACCGCACTTTCAACTCCCCTTGAGGTCCATTATTACTTCATTTCATTATTTTTCCCTCACTTGAACGACCGAGTCAGCTAGCTAGGCTGTGGTCAGATCGTATCGAAAGTAGGCAGAGTTACTGTATTTCATAGGTATTAAAATAGGTTACAATGCTAGTAAATTCCATAAACATACGTATGACAACATGTCATCAAAATTTATATTACACAACATAGAACACATTTAAACTTCACATGAAATACTTCTTTAACACACTAGCGTTCCAGACATTCTTCAGGGGTACTCCTTCAAGGGTCATAAGCCAATAAGACCCTTGCCGGAGTGTTTCATATACTTGGTAAGGCCCTTCCCAGGTTGCAGTAAATTTACCCTCTGCGTTCCCTTTGCCAGTTACGGCCGTTCTACGCAGAACTAAATCACCATCTTCCATGGGCCGATAATTGACGCGCCGATTATAAGCGTGGATCATCCGGTTTTTGTATGCCGTAGATTTTATGGCGGCCGTCAGCCGCACTTCCGGTAGAAAATCCAATTGCTGTCGAAGCAACAAATCATTTTGACTTTCGCAGAAGTGTTGTACCCGGAAAGTAGGTAGTCCCACTTCTGCCGGAACCACTGCCTCTGAGCCGAAAGCAAGGTTGAAAGGTGATTCCCCCGTAGTTTCTCTTGTTGTCGTACGGTTGATAACTTGCTATTTGATACGATTTTAGGGTGTTTTGAGCCTAGTTTACTTGATATAAATTGCGTTTTGGTTCATTTTTACTCTATTATTATGCAATTCTTGTGTATCCTATGCTTCACGGTTTGTTGGTGTTTTTGTTGAGATTCTAGGTTCAAAAGAACGGCCAAATGGAGCCCATGGATACAAAGCCGAGGTTAGAAGCAAGAAGATGGATGAAAGAAGCCAAGGAAAGGAGCATTATAGAAGAAAAGATGAAAAAAAGGGGTTTAGAAGACCCTGCACGGCTGTGCCAGACCTTGCACGTCCGTGCAGGAGGTTCCAGAAAGCTTCAGCAAGCTGCCAAGGCCTGCACGGCCGTGCTTAATCTGGCACGTCCGTGCAGAAGAGGGTGCACGACCGTGCCAGACTTTGCACGTCCGTGCAGAAGTGCTCCAGAAACTCAGAACATTCTGCCAAGGCCTGCATGGACGTGCCAAATTAAGCACGTCCGTGCAGATGTAGCTGCACGTCCGTGCCAATATCTGCACGTCCGTGCGGAACTGCTCGATTCTTAGCAGTACGTTCTGCCTCAATTCTGCCCCCTCTGCACGTCCGTGCCAAACTTGGCACGGCCGTGCTTAGCCTTGCACGTCCGTGCCAAATCTGGCACGTCCGTGCAGACCTGCAGTCGAACTCCTTCCTTGTTTTCTCCGTCCTTTTTATTTGGGGGTCATATAAATACCCCTTTAGAGCTCATTTGTTCGAAGGAGAGGCAGTTTTTCAGAGCTTTTCTCTTAGTTTGTAGTCTTAGAACATTAAATTCTCAAATCATTAGTTAGTTCTCAATTATTAGCTTGGAATTATTCAAATTCAATCATTGTAGAAGACAAAATCCACCATTGTTGCTCACCTTGAAGCTTCATAGTAACCATTTCTTACTCATCTTTTCTACTTCTCATTACTTTGTTGTTAATTATTTTCTAGTTCTTGCATGTTTTGGATTGTTAATTAGCTTAATCCTTAGTTTGAATTTGTTCATGAATTGCTTGAAATCTTTAATTGCTTTAACCCCCATGGATTGTGAGTAGTCTAAATTCTAGGGTTTGGGCAAAACCCTCAATGTAGTCACTAATTACTTGTTGCATGTGCTAATTTGGTTGTTGTGGGATGTTAATTAGTTGAGCTTAAGTGGTTTAATTGCTTAGTTCTTGTATATGGCCATTGCTAGAACTATTTATCCAAGCTTTCTCAACGAAGGATCGAGAGATGAACTTGAGTTAGCTCCCTTATGCTTGATTGACCCGAAATGCCATGAGAATAGGGATTACCGGTCAAGGGAATGTTTATGTCATCGTGATTATGCTTTAACACTTGTTTTATGCTATGTAACCACGAGAGTAGGTCGTATTCATGATTCAAGTAATCCCTCTAGCTTGAGAGAGTAGTTGGGTGCTTTAGATGACTTCCCCTAATTTATCCCATTAATTTACCTTGATTGTTGCATGCTAATTGTGATTTGTGATGAAGTTGAGTGGTATAACCCAAGCCCTAGATTCCTCTTAATATTGTTAACCTCCTCTTAGCTTAGTTGAATTGTGTTAGAAGAAGTTACTAAAAACCAACCCAATTTAGAATTCGTTTAGCTTATTTAAACGGTAGTACTCGGTGGTTGATTCAACGCCTCTCTTGGGTTCGACCCTTTCTTACCCTTACTATTGTTAGTGAGACCAAGATAGGAATTATCATCTTTGGTAGGCTCGACGACGGCCTACCAAGTTTTGGCGCCGTTGCCGGGGAGGCAAAGTCACATTGAATGTATTATTGTTGAATGAGACTAGATGTGTGTATATGTATAGTAGTTTTCTTACCTTAATTTTTGTTTATGTGTGTTTAAATTGCGATAGTCATTGCTAACGTTTTTCTTAGCTTTGTTTGACTTTCCATGACACGAAAGAGTAAGCAATCACCGCTTATTCCCGTTGATCCAGAGCTAAATAGGACTTTGAGAAACGTGAGGAGACTCTTGCAAGGCACACCCGAGTTTTCCATTGTATATTCGGATTCCGATCCGGAAGAGGTTTTTGGAACTAACGAAGAAGATAACATGGGAGAGAATCCTCCTCAACCATTTTTAAGAGACTATGACCACCCCAACGCATTCCAACTTCGGAGTGGCATACGTCTTCCCACCACAAATGCAAACAACTTTGAACTTTCACCTCAACTCATCCGTATGATTCAAAGCGATCAATTCGGAGGTAGTCCTCATGAGTGTCCTTTTGCTCATTTGGACAACTTTCTTGAGTTGTGTACAACTATCAAGCAAAACAACATTTCGGAAGAGTTCATCTGTATGCACATGTTTCAATTCTCCCTCCGTGATAAAGCAAAACATTGGTTGAGAACGGTTGAAGAGGGATCATTGAGTACATGGGACGAAGTCACTAGAGCCTTTCTTGGAAAGTATTGTCCTCCGGAAAAGACCGCCGAACTAAGAAGAAAGATCACCAATTTCAATCAAGACATTGATGAAACATTGAGTGAAGCTTGGGAGCGTTTCAAAGATTACACAAGGAAATGCCCCCACCATGGTTTTACATCATGGATCATTGTACAAAGCTTCTATGACGGTCTTACTCCTATTTCAAGGGCCAACCTTGATTCCGGGGCTGGTGGTAGCCTCAAAAAGCTATCGGTGGACGATGCATACAAGATGATTGAAGAAGTGGCCAAGCATTATGCATATGGAGGTGATAGAAGGCAACCTCAAACAAAGAAGGGCGGAATTCATGATCTTAGTGCAATAGATCTTATTGCATCAAAGTTTGATATGCTAGCTCACAAGCTAGATCAAGCCACCCTCACACCCTCAAGCTCTTCCTCGCAAGTCATGTCTTGTGAGACTTGTGGAGGAAATGATCACTTGTCCTCTTATTGCAACTCAACGAATCAAGAGCAAGCGGCGGCAATTGGGCAAAGGAATGAACAATACTCCCAATCCCACAATCAAAGTTGGAAGCCCCAACATAACACGGGATGGAAGCAATACAACCAAGGCCCCCTACAAAATAACTACAACCAAAATCAAACCCAACCTCAAAACCACTACAACCAACCTCAATCACAAAACCAACAAGCTCCATACCGCCATCCCAACCAAAGGGATCAAAACCACCAAAGATCACAATATAACCAACCCGCTCCTCCTCCTCCACCTCCTCAAAAGACTAGCCTTGAGTCCGTTCTTGAAACTTTCATGACTCAACAAATAAGGAACAATGCGGAGATGAATGCAAACATCCAACAACTCCAAGCACATAATAAGATAATGGAGGGCCAATTGGCTCAAATTGCACAACAAGTTGGAAGTTCATCCTCCAATCCTAGTGGTCACTTTCCAAGCTCAACGGTAGTGAACCCAAAGGAGCAAGCTAAGGCTATCACTTTGAGATCGGGAAGGGGTTATGAGGGCCCGGTTATGAGTGAGGAGGAGACACAAAAGAGAGATGAGGGAGTTGTGGTGAGAAGTGAGGATGATTTTGAAAATGAAGTAGTTGAAGTTGAGAGAAAAGAGCAAAAGAGTGATGAGGGAGCCATAAAGAAAGACGAGGGAGATGAAGAAAGAATAGAAAATCCCCCTATGAGAGTATATAAGCCCCCCATTCCGTTTCCTCATAGAATTGTAGAGAAGAAGTTGAATGAGAAGTTTTCAAAATTTCTTGAAGTCATGAGAGGACTTCAAGTGAACATCCCCTTTCTTCATGCTATGTCACAAATGCCTACCTATGCAAAATTTTTGAAGGATCTTCTATCCAACAAGAGTAGGCTTGAAGAGAGTGCAACCATCTCCCTTCCTAAGGAGGTGAGTGCAATCATCCAAAACAAGCTTCCCCAAAAGCTTGGTGACCCCGGTAGTTTTGCTATACCGGTTAAGGTTGGAGATCTTGAATCAACAAATGCTTTGTGTGATCTTGGGGCTAGTGTTAGCCTTATGCCTCTCTCTATGGCAAAAAGATTAAATCTTGGGGAGATTAGCCCCACCAAAATGTCAATCCAACTAGCCGACCGCTCGGTTAAAGTCCCATTGGGAGTCTTGAAGGACATCCCAATTCAAGTGGGGAAGGTTCTTGTGCCTTGTGATTTTGTAATCATGGAGATGGATGAGGATTTCAAAATTCCTCTCATATTGGGTAGGCCCTTTTTGAAAACCGCGGGTGTTAATATTGACATGAAAAAAGGGCGGCTTACCTTAAATGTTGGGCATGAAAGAATCTCTTTCTCATTTCCGGAAACGTTGAATGACCCCATGGTTAAACAAGTTCATCGGGTTGATGTTTTGGTTAATATTTTGAAAGAAGACATGGAGGAGTCACAAGATGAATCGACTCATGCTCCGGAGGTGAAAAAGCAAGAGAGGGCCAAGAAGAAAAAGAAAAACAAGATCAAGTTGATAGACAAGATGTTTGGTTGCATTTCTAGTGATGATAGCAATATTATTTTGCCTAAGGAAAATGGCAAGTGTGTGGGAACAATGAGATGGGTCAAAAAGGTGTGCCTTGACCCTCCCTAATTTTGGATAGGGCAATGTCGTCAAGCTAGTGACGTTAAAGAAGCGCTTCCGGGAGGCAACCCGAATATTTTTGTAGTGGATTAACTTAAAAAAAAAAAAGAAAAAAAAAAAGAAAAAAACAAAAGAAGAAAAAAAAAACAGCACAAAGTGCATGTCTTCCAACAACAACCAACAGGAACAAAGGTACCAAGGAGGTTCAAGCGTCGAAGAAGACCCGATCCTTGAGTTAGTCTTCTTTCTCCTTTTTTTTTATGAGCTTTTATTGCTTAACATTGAGGACAATGTTTATGATAACTTGGGGGGAGTCATTTGCATGCCTTCTTGACATGTTGGTTTGTTTGGTTGCGTTTGTTTTGGTTGTTTCATTTCCCTAATATCCAAGACCCTTAATCCAATTTAGCTTCCTTGAAATCCAAACCTCTTGTCATGTGAATATTAGTGTTCCCTCTCTAGTTAGTAATGTGAATATTTTCGCTTTCTCTTCAAAAAAAAAAAAATGATGAAAAAATTGAAAAATGAAAAAAAATAAAATTGCCCAAGGTTGAGACTCAAATGACAATGCTTATATGTTTTTCTTGCTTGACTCTTGAGCGATGAGTACTAGTTCTCTTAGAAGGGTGTATGCAAGAGATGGGGTCATTTAGAGGTCTATTAATCCTGGTTGCATTAGTGTATATGAAATGAAAGTCGATGAATGCTCAATTGCACATCTAGCATAGGATATTGTTAAATTTGCCCAAAGTAGGATATGTTTGAGTCAAATTGCGGTCCCTTGTGCCCTTAATGTGCCTCACTTCCTCCCCGAAATGAAACTCTATTAGGGAATTGGTTATACTTGTATTATGTGTAATAAGTGGCATAATAAGCCACACGTTTCGAATAAAGAAAGAGCCGCTCACAGTTAAAAGAGGCGAGGGCAATAATGTAAAAAAAATGAGAAAAAAAAAATAAAAAAAAAATAAATAGAAAAGAAGGGAGAACAAAAAAAAAAAAACTCCCCCAAAAATTCTCAAAATTTTGATTTTCTTTTCTTTAGAGGTCAACTTGTGGATGCCTCCCACACATTGTCGAATTTGTTGCTTATTGTTTCTTGTGAAATTCCCGAGTTAGAGTGTAATTAAGGGGCCTTGGGTGTGCATTTTGGGAGGTGGACTAGCATTTTGAGATTTTATAACCGAAAGAGGGCTCATTACAACTTTGGAATATCTAGGTGTGCTCTAATGAACTAGTAAAAGGCCAAAGGAAGTATCCTAGTGCAACCTTCTTTAGTTTTCCTCTCTACCCCCAACTCATGTGTACATTTGTATGATCGGTAATTCTTGAAAGTCGTTCACTTGTCTTGCTTGTGTCTCATATCCCGATGAGTTGACTTGGGCGAAAAATTGAACTTGTGCGATTTTTGGCGATGTGCTGTGGACTGCGTGAGTTGTGGGGCAAACTCATTGGAAACCCTCACGAGATAAAAACTCGTCCTCTAAGGCGACTTAGAGGTTTAAATTGCTTCTCACTTGTGCTAAAAGTGATGATGGTTGTCACCATGCGGATTTGTTTATGTATGCTTCCCCCTTGTTGCCTCTCCTTGGATTGATGATTAGCAATTTGTTTTCCTCCTTTGGTTTGACATTTTTGTTTTGCTCGAGGACGAGCAAAAGCTTAGCTTGGGGGGATTTGATAACTTGCTATTTGATACGATTTTAGGGTGTTTTGAGCCTAGTTTACTTGATATAAATTGCGTTTTGGTTCATTTTTACTCTATTATTATGCAATTCTTGTGTATCCTATGCTTCACGGGTTGTTGGTGTTTTTGTTGAGATTCTAGGTTCAAAAGAACGGCCAAATGGAGCCCATGGATACAAAGCCGAGGTTAGAAGCAAGAAGATGGATGAAAGAAGCCAAGGAAAGGAGCATTATAGAAGAAAAGATGAAAAAAGGGGTTTAGAAGACCCTGCACGGCTGTGCCAGACCTTGCACGTCCGTGCAGGAGGTTCCAGAAAGCTTCAGCAAGCTGCCAAGGCCTGCACGGCCGTGCTTAATCTGGCACGTCCGTGCAGAAGAGGGTGCACGACCGTGCCAGACTTTGCACGTCCGTGCAGAAGTGCTCCAGAAACTCAGAACATTCTGCCAAGGCCTGCATGGACGTGCCAAATTAAGCACGTCCGTGCAGATGTAGCTGCACGTCCGTGCCAATATCTGCACGTCCGTGCGGAACTGCTCGATTCTTAGCAGTACGTTCTGCCTCAATTCTGCCCCCTCTGCACGTCCGTGCCAAACTTGGCACGGCCGTGCTTAGCCTTGCACGTCCGTGCCAAATCTGGCACGTCCGTGCAGACCTGCAGTCGAACTCCTTCCTTGTTTTCTCCGTCCTTTTTATTTGGGGGTCATATAAATACCCCTTTAGAGCTCATTTGTACGAAGGAGAGGCAGTTTTTCAGAGCTTTTCTCTTAGTTTGTAGTCTTAGAACATTAAATTCTCAAATCATTAGTTAGTTCTCAATTATTAGCTTGGAATTATTCAAATTCAATCATTGTAGAAGACAAAATCCACCATTGTTGCTCACCTTGAAGCTTCATAGTAACCATTTCTTACTCATCTTTTCTACTTCTCATTACTTTGTTGTTAATTATTTGCTAGTTCTTGCATGTTTTGGATTGTTAATTAGCTTAATCCTTAGTTTGAATTTGTTCATGAATTGCTTGAAATCTTTAATTGCTTTAACCCCCATGGATTGTGAGTAGTCTAAATTCTAGGGTTTGGGCAAAACCCTCAATGTAGTCACTAATTACTTGTTGCATGTGCTAATTTGGTTGTTGTGGGATGTTAATTAGTTGAGCTTAAGTGGTTTAATTGCTTAGTTCTTGTATATGGCCATTGCTAGAACTATTTATCCAAGCTTTCTCAACGAAGGATCGAGAGATGAACTTGAGTTAGCTCCCTTATGCTTGATTGACCCGAAATGCCATGAGAATAGGGATTACCGGTCAAGGGAATGTTTATGTCATCGTGATTATGCTTTAACACTTGTTTTATGCTATGTAACCACGAGAGTAGGTCGTATTCATGATTCAAGTAATCCCTCTAGCTTGAGAGAGTAGTTGGGTGCTTTAGATGACTTCCCCTAATTTATCCCATTAATTTACCTTGATTGTTGCATGCTAATTGTGATTTGTGATGAAGTTGAGTGGTATAACCCAAGCCCTAGATTCCTCTTAATATTGTTAACCTCCTCTTAGCTTAGTTGAATTGTGTTAGAAGAAGTTACTAAAAACCAACCCAATTTAGAATTCGTTTAGCTTATTTAAACGGTAGTACTCGGTGGTTGATTCAACGCCTCTCTTGGGTTCGACCCTTTCTTACCCTTACTATTGTTAGTGAGACCAAGATAGGAATTATCATCTTTGGTAGGCTCGACGACGGCCTATCAACGGTTCGCCCACAATATCTCAGGTATCAGATCCGCCCACAAGCCTTTGGCGTCTTCTACTTTTTTCTTAACTGCCCCTAATATCTGCTTGTTAGCGGCCTCAGCCTGGCCGTTTGACTGAGGGTGACATACCGCCGCATACGCAAACTTCACTTTGTATATGCTTAGAAAGTTCTTTACCGGGCTACAGTCAAATTGTGATCCGTGATCAAACATCATTGCTGTCGGCAATCTGAATCGTGTAAAGATGTTCTTCCAGATGAACTTTTTTACCTCGGTCGCTGTAATCTTTGCTACCGGTTCCGCTTCTATCCATTTGGTGAAGTAGTCTATCCCTACAATATAAAACTTACGGCCACCTGTTGCCGATGTAAACGGCCCGATAATGTCCATTCCCCACTGAGAAAACGGAATTGGGTTAAGAATAGGTGTTAAATCATTTGGAGGTTGATTAATCACCGACCCATACTTCTGGCATTTATCACATTTTTTAACGTACTCCATGGTATCTGCATTCATTGTCGGCTAATAGTAACCCCGCTTCATTGCTTCCAAGGACATCGACCGACCCCCCGCATGATTACCGCAATCACCCTCGTGTATTTCTTCTATCAGCCTTGCCGACTAATATGTTGTTACACACCTTCGCAACGGTAGCGAAAACCCCCGTTTATACAGCAAGCCTCGGAATATAATAAACCAGACGCTATCTTTCTGGATCTTTCTTGCCTCCGTCTTATCGGCAGGAAGGACGTTATGTACCTTGTAAGCCAAGATATCATCATACCATTCTCGACCTGCAGTTGTACAATTTATATCCTTAGGAGGTTGTTCATCAATACTCCTTTCTTTCAAAACCTCTACCATAATCGTCCTCTCTAAGTTGTTGAAGCTTGAACTTGCAAGTTTAGCTAGTGCGTCTGCCTGCGTGTTCATTGCTCGAGGAACCAACTTGATTTCGAAATATTTCAGACCAGATGTAACACTCTTGAGTTTTGCCAAATATGCCGTCATGCTCGGCTCTCGAGTTTTGTAAGTGCCATTGAACTGATTTGCTACTAGTTGAGAGTCAGTTGTCATCTCAATACGCTTTTCTTCCGCAGATATGCATAGCTGTATCCCTGCCAACGCTGCTTCATATTCTGCCTCATTATTAGAGGCTTTGAACTTGAGCTTGACAGCATACTCGAACACATCTCCCTGGGGAGAGATCATAATTAGTCCTGCCCCAGAGCTGGTTGAAGCAGACGAGCCGTCAACTGATATCTTCCATGTGCCGGTACCATCCTCCTCTTCATAATAAGATGTTTCTACAATGAAGTCAGACAAGGCCTGGGCTTTGATTGATACCCTTGGTTTATACTAATAACATATTCAGACAATTCAATCGCCCATTTAAGCAAACGGCCAAACGTTTCCATCTTCTGCAAAGACTTCTCTAACGGCTGATTCGTTAAGATATCAATTGCATGTGCATCGAAATAAGGACGCAACTTTCGTGCGGCCACAACTACTGCGTACGCGATCTTCTCTACTAACGGGTACCGTCTCTCGGCAGTATTTAAAACGTGGCTCACA